CAAGTTAATCCTATAAATAAAGCTAAATATCTAGATTAATCTAGACTTTATTCTAAATTATAAAGCTATTATTATTATAGCTAGATAAGTTTAGTAAAGTTATATAATTATTTATTTAAAAAAACTAGTAGATATATTATTAATAATATAATAAAAAGAGAAAAGCATTTAAAATACTTAAGAAATGGTACTAGGATTAAATATATAAAATAATAAAATAAGACTTAAAAAGCCTATTCTAATTTAGTAAATAAATTTAAAAAGAAATTTTTATTAAAATAATTCTTATATTTAAATAATCTAGAGCTTCTAATACCTAAATTTTTTTAAAAAAAAAATAAATTTATTTAAAGAAATCTTATTCTTTAAATCTTTATAAATTAATCTTTTAAATATTAAATATTAAAATTTTATACTAATTAAATTTTTACTAATTTTAGATTATAAAATTATTAAAATAATACAAAAAATACTAGATAATATAATATCTAGATCTAATAAAATATTAAATTAAATCTAGTATACTCTTCTACTAATCTTAAAAGTATTTATTAGATTCTCTTTTATTTGGCTATTTAGATAATAAATACTCTTAATTTTATTATATTTATTAAAAGGTTAAAAGTTATTCTATTATTAGAATTTCCTGCTATTTTATAAAATCTTAAGTATTATCTTAGATTAACTAGCTAGTTTTTGCTATGTGCTAATATCTGCGGATGCTGTACAAGCATGTCTGAGGTATAATACAGTGGCCAAGCAGCCACCACATAATATATAGATATATAATATACTACTGGTTCTTAGCTAGGGGAACTAGTAACTAGTTCTATTAAATATAAATCTATCTTCTACTAACTATATATTATATCTCTATAATCCCTAGAGAGCCGCTATATTAGTATTACAGCCTCACGGTTTTATTATTAAATTAAATATTATATTATATAAAGTAAATCTCTATAATTATAAAAACTAAGCTTCCAAAAGCTAGTCTATTAAAAGGCTATACTTATTAGAAATATATAAAATATACTATTATTATTAAACTTACTACTACTAAATTATTTTTATTTTTAAATTTATAGAATAGGTTCTAAAATCTTTAATTTTTTATATATATTTTAATTCTAGAAAGTAATTCTATATTAATCCTAATACTTTTTATATTATATATATATATAAAGTTATAGTTTACTATACTAAAAATAACTATATTAATTACTCTTTTTTAAAATAAATAAGAGTACTATCTATTCTATTTTTAAGCTATTTATTTACTAGTATTAAGTATAGCTACTAGTTAATTAAATTTAAAGTCTCTTATTTTATATACATTATCTATAAAGTTTAATACTATATTAAAATATTTTATAATTATTTATACTAATTATTTATTAACTATTAGTATTTAAAATAATTTTTATTTTAATTTATTATTATTAAAAATTTTAATTATTAATTAATTTATATTAGCTAATACCTATAATAATTTAAACTTATTCTCTATTTTATAGTCTATAAATTTTTTTAAAAAGATTTATAATTAATATAGTTATTAAGACTTTAATATATATATATATATAATATAAGAGATCTTATTATTTATAAAGATTAAAAATTTCTAAACCATTATATTATATATTACTTTTATATAATATAAATATTAAATAAAAATATAAATTTTATAGTAATTTCTAGTTAATTAATACTATTTCTATATTTTTTAATATAATTACTATAGATTTTATTATTATTTTATCTTTAAATATTTATAATACTAATAAACCTTCTTATACTACTTATAAAAATAAAACTAGATTTAATATTTTATTTATTACTATTAATAAATTTATAAAGTATATTAGTTTATTTTTTACTTAAATTATTTTTAATGTTAAATAATAAAGTTATTTAATAATATAATACCTATAATTTTATAATTAAAGTATATTTTATTATATTATATTTTATTATATTATCTTTAATTATAATTAAATCTTTATTTTTATACTAATATAATCTAGTATTATATAATTATATATTATTTTTAAACTAATAACTAATATAAATAAATTATCTAAGTTATTAAAATAATATTTTATTATAGTTATATTTCTAGCTATTATATATAGCTAAGTTTTCTATCTAGTATAATCTCTATAATTAATAGTTTCTATAATATTATAACTAATAAAATATCTTATTATTTATTATTTAATAGTAATTTATATATCTTTTAGTATATACTTTATTAATTCTTCAAATAAGATTTTAGTTCTTATTTTAATATTAAAAAATATATAAATTTATTAGTATCTAAATAACAAGAATTTATAATAATTATTATATAATTATTTTATTTAATTCTAGAAATCAGGTCTATATATATTTATATAAAAATGTTATGCGCTGCCACCTGCGGACGCTATACAAGCATGCCTGAGGCGTACTGCAGCGGCCAAGCAGCCACCACATAATATATAGACATATATTACACCGCTGGTTCTCAGCTAGGAGAGCCAGTGATTAGTTTATTTAAATATAGATCTACCCTCTACTAACTATATATCACGTCTCTATAATCCCTAGAGAACCGCTATATTAGTATTACGGCCTCACAAAAAAATATAATTTATCTATTATTATTAATATTATTTTAAAATTAGAATCTTATTATACTAGACTCTTTACTATTATCTATTATATTAGATATCTTATTTATAAGCTATCTAGTTTATTTAATCTATAGAATATATATCTAGTTATTTTTATTATATAATTTAAATCTATATCTAATAGTCCTAATTCTTATAAATATAAAAAGATAAAAATTTTTATTATTTTAGATATTTACTTTCTTAAGAATCTTAATTATTATAAAATTAAATAAATACTTAATTATTATATTTATCTATATAGTTAAAAGTACACGCTCTTTATTAAATATTATATATAATTATTAGGCTATAACTCTAAATATAATTAATAAATTTAAAATAAGAATTTACTAGTGTTAAAAAAGCTATTATTAAGTTTAAACTATTCTATAATCCTAATTATAATATTTAATATTTTACCTATTTATTTATTAAGCTTAGCTCTAAGCCTTACAATATATATTTAACTATAATAAACTATAGTCAATAAGATTATTATATTCTTAAAATTCTTTATATTTATAATCTTACCTAATTATTTACCTTTATTATAATATATTTATTATTATCTTACTTTACTTTATTTAAATAATTATTATGGTGTAGCTAGATTTTTAAATTTTCAATAACTATATTATGAACTATTTTAAATTCTAAAATTTAAATAGCTTATTTAAATTATTTTAATATTTTAAATTAAATAACTATTCTAATAATTTTTTTTTAAAATTATTTATAAAAATTATTATTTAGATTTAATTTATACAGATATTTTCTAGAGTTTTTATTAATTATTTTATTTATAAATGTTATATTTATAGTTTTTAGAGATAAACTATTTTTAAAAATAATTTAATATAATCTTAAAATTATTTTATGATATTATAAAAATAATAGTATCTACTAGTTTTATTTATTTTTTTATTTAATTTAATTTATTATAAAATTATAAAATGTAATTATATTTAATAAATTAATTCTAGAAAGTTATATAAAGCTTTATTTAATTAATAAATTTATTTTGTTAATATTAAGTTCTAGATATAAGGTCCTTAGGCTTAGAGGTTGTTGTAAATAGTGTGAAAGGGTGTAATATACCTAATAAGAGGTATGTAAAGATTATAATTAGTATATTCTAAGAAATAAAAATTATTAATAAATTAATATAAAAGTTTTTAGTATTCTCTCTTTATAATTTATAAAGTAAAGAGTTTCTCTTATATATTAAGTAAACTAGAGGCTAACTCAGCCCTGTTTCTCATGAGCAGGTAGAGGGTTCTATAGAGTGTCTTATACTAGAGCTTTAGAATAAATATTTTCTTAATTTCAAATATATATTTTAATATGATATTTTAATATCTAAACTCTATTTTATTACTATTTGTTTATAATATCTTATGTTTATACTTTATTAATCAATACTGATTTAGTTTATAATAAATTTAGGCTTTAATAGACTATTTTGTAGTCAAGAATTAATTATTATATGAATATATAGTAAAATTGTATATAATGAATAAAATAAAGATTAAATCCTTATTTATATAATCATATCTTTTTATTAATGTTATATTTATATTAATAATAATAAAGAAAAATTTATTTATTAAAATTTAGAATTATTATTAATTAAATCTCTATTTTAATATTTAAAACTTATAAATATCTAGAATTTTTAGATATAATTAATTTAATTAATTAGTTAAAATTAATTAAATTTTATATATCTTTATTTTATATATTAATTTTTATTAATTTAAATTATAGAAACTAGTTACTAGATAAATTTAAAATTACTAATATTTTTAAATCTATAACTAAAACTTTTTTTATTTTAATTTATTTTTTATATATAATTACTACTAAAAAGTAAGAGATAAATAAGTTAAATAATAATAAAAACGTAAAAAAATATACTTAGAATATTTAATATAATTAAATATAGATATATACTAAATAATTATATAATTATATTATATAACTAACAGGCTGTGACAATGGGTCCTAATAGGTGAGATAGATTCTTACAGTATAAGAGTAAGACTTAGTATAGCTAAACTTTTATATAAGACTGTAATATTAATATAATAGCTCTCTAAAGATTATAGAGATATAATATATTAATATAATAGCTCTCTAAAGATTATAGAGATATAATATATTAATATAATAGCTCTCTAAAGATTATAGAGATATAATATATAGTTAATAGAAAATAGATTTATATTTAATAAAACTAATTACTAGTTCCTCTAGCCAAGAACTAGTAGTATAATATATATCTATATATTATATAGTGGCCGCTTGGCCACCATGATATGTCTCAGGCACGCTTGTATAGCATCCACAGATGACGGCGTATAACATTTTAACATAAAATTATATATTTATTACATATTACTCAATATCATAAAAAAAGATGCCTGAACCAAAATGACTACAGTGGTTCTGTATGGGCATATGCTAGCTTCAAGATCCCTAGGTGGTCAGCATGGATCGCCGTCCGGACCATACCCAATCCCGCCCAACATCATCAACCAGAGAATCGAAATATATCGCAAATTGAAGCTTGGACATTATTATTGTACCTTCTTCGAGATGTTCCCTGCCTTGTGCTCCCTTCTACGCTTGATAGCCTCGGGGCTATATTCCGTGTCCAAGACGTAGTCCCACCACCTGAAGCTACTCGAGTAGTTTCCGACAAACTTTTCGTGATGGAGATCATGATGATCTGCGCCAGCCCAAAAAGGTAGGAAATGGTGCAGACTCCATGGAAATTCATATCCGCTGTGTGCATCGATTGCCTGAAATAGTCGAAGTACAATCCAAACATACATTGTGAAGATGTGCAGATCCCCAGTGGCTGCGCACCAGAGGATTGGACACCCGACTGTACCGAATCCAAGGATCATGACCTCGATAGGTGATGCATACTCCGCGGCCATACCGAACGGAGCAGAGTACTGATGATGGATCTTGTGAATAGCCTTATAGAGCGGACCCCAGTGCAGAGCACGGTGAGAGAAATAATGCCACGTGTCTTCCATGACGAAAAAAATCGCGATCTGGTATGCCATGGTCCAGATCGAAGGGAATGGAACAGACGTAGAAAGGCCAAAGAATTGGGCCATTGGATGGAACAGCCTAAACGAAATTCTGGTGTATTAGAACAAACCCGATTGTGAGTGGAATCGCTGGGGTGACTGACCAAATTTGCGGCAATTCCACGGTGAAGTGGCTCAAAAGGACAAATCTGGCACAGTCCCACTGTTCCCGTAAAGAAGGAATCTTGCTCTGACCGGATGAGTACAAACAATTACATGAGGATACTGGACAATGACTTACGCTTTGAATCTTGTAGTTCTTGAAGAACCCAAGCGTATCGATCAGGATCCAAGGTAGAGACCGCCCAAAATAGACCACTTCGTGCATGACGAAGGACATGATACCGGTCGCCAGGACATCATTTTGCATCCAAGCGTACCAGGCTGCCCAGAGGCGCTCGGCAACATTCAGCTGAGAACCATACCCGGCAATGTCATTATAGTAATCCCAGTAGCTTTCCGGCGTGGTCGTCGAAAAAGTCGAATTCCTATTTTTGATTAGCACCGCGGGACCTGAGAACTGACATGAACGGAAAATTCTCTGCTTTCGAGGCTACTTACATGGAATTCATGGTGGACTGGTAATCCCGTATTCCCCAGTAAGGATGACACAACCTCTGGAAGTTGTCAAATATGTTGTTCAAAATTGATATGTGTTAGGTGAAGACAGGTCAAAGAAGATAGGAAGGGTGTTTAAGGGGTATGTTTTTTTTTGTGTTCAGGGCGGGCAACTTAACAGGAATAATTTCTCCTGGAACCGCGTGATTTTTGCGACCTGGGTTCCGAGTGGCGCGACCAGGCACGGTTGGTTTGAACAATTCCCCCCTTGGAGCCTCTGGCACCACCGGCGAGCCGATCAAGGCCGACGATTGTTCCCCACCCGGATGCACCGAGTTCCATTCCCCCCATATTTTTGTTCGGTTCGAAATTAGAACTGTACGGTGTATCTGCCGCACAGGCACGGGGCAGCTCCTTCCATCCTATTCGAGTACTGTAGCAAGTCATGTGTCTGGCACAAGCCATTCTCTGGATTACAATTACAATGAACTTAGACACAGGAGGTGTATGCTGCTGATTTCGCCCTCCGTTTCCTTTTGGACTGAGGCCTTGGTTGTGGTTTTTCGCTCGCGGCTTTGTGGACTCGCTTCTCACCTCTGTTCAGAAGTGATCAACTTACTCCGTACACACACCCGCTATCCACCGTTCCAGCACAGCGTTTTCGCAGGAGTCTCCAAACCAGGAGGTGGTTAGACCCTGGAAAGTGGAAAGGCTTGGGTTGACCGGTTAAGGGCATTCGTCAAGAACACATTGGTGACCAGATCACTCGAGACTCCCGTTAGTCTGTTTAACCAACTGGGAGCCGGGTATTATTATTCAAGAAATCTTAGCCAGTGCCGTCCACGTGATTCTGGGGCCTGGATATTGGATAACACATAATAAATTATTGATTATTGTAATTTTCGAATACCTTTGTGCAGCTTACAGGGTATCTAGATGTCTATGGACGGTGTGGACTCCTACAAGGTTAATCGGGATTTAACTGGTCAAAGCTTACCCATGTTGGATCACATTACCCAGACCAGTGGAATGTTGTCTGTATTCCTGTCTTGATTTTTAATGGTGTGAACAGTTTCAGCTTTGTCACCAGTTGACTACAAGTGGCATACTTACCTAGTTAATGCGAACCACCTACTTAACTAGTCAATAACTGTAGATTTGGGTTTATGTGACTCACTGACTTGAAGTGAAGTATTTTATGAGGGGAGATGTTGCCTAGTCTAGTTAACTAACTAGCGAAGTCGGGACTGTTATTAACTTCGCACTCTTTAGTAGGCGGTGCCTACAGGAAATAAACAGAAGACAAAGTAGATTACCTCTTGGACTCCGAGGATTTTATAAAGCCTTGACGGAACCACTCTGTCGTTTGTACCTGGGTACGTTTGACTGTACATCCACCCTCGCAAAGTGCCGGCCAAGGTTCTAACCTCATCATGATGGCCCCACCCAACATTCCATCCACATCCCGAGTATTGGACCGTGATGTCATGGTAACAACTGCAGGCATGATACGATATATAACTGCATGCCACATGGGATTCTAGTATATTTTGATGGAACAATACTACAATATCTAGCAGACCTGCATCACATACAGCTCCTCTGGACGCAGACAATGTCAGCTTTTCAAAGGCAAGTCGAGAAAGGCCAACATACGAAAAATGCAAAGGTGAAGCTGATACATATAGTGCTTTGCAGTAAATTCTCTAGTCTTGAGGCGCAGCTAGGAGAAATTTACCAGCGAATCGATGACAATCTCGACATTCGTGATCCCAATGGGCGGATTGACTATCCTATTGAGCGCCTCGCTGCCCTCAAAAGCATCATTTCCCAGCTCTCCGTCGACTCGAAAAGCAACGGTCACCTTCAGAGCGATAGCCTCGTGAATGTGATTTCCAAGTCTTGCGACCGTCTTCGTGCATCCCTTGACGTAACCTCAGAATCGGATGTCTTGAGCTATCAGCTGTCGAACCTCTCGTGGTTAGTGAGCGCGAAAGCGTCCATACAGACAATTGCTGTGGTATCAAAGGTTTTTTCTGATAACTTTCACCTGCTCAACGAAGAAATACGATACTGGGACGACGTTTTAGAGTCTGAGTGGGGCCTAAGTCTTTTCACCATCCAGACATTCCCTCTTAAAATATGGCGAAGGAACATGGAACCTGGACACAACGACAGCAGCAGTGCAGCCTCCAAGCACCTCGCGGAATATATTGCTGCTAGGACAAGACCTAGCTCTAGTTTATGGGTTCAATTCTACAATTCGGCCCAACGATGCACTTCTTTACGACCTTGCACCTTCCAAGTTGGGTTATTTTGGTCTTTAAATGAATCGAAGTTAGAGATACAACGGAGAAAGCGGAAATTAAAAGTAATGAGAGACTTTAACGCAAGCTCGGTTGGACTTCTGATCGGAGAGTGTCTATCATTCGGAGAGGGTATTTACAAAGCTGGTAGTATCGATGGATTTCAGGACGGCTCTACGGGCAGTTCTATCAATGGGGACTTGTCCCAAGCAGTGCAGGCCAGTGTCGGTATTCTGAAATCTCTTCTGCAGACAGCTGGGGACGAGAATGGGATTTGCGAGCATGCGAATAAACTTGTTGGGATTGGTGACGACCCATCTCGATGGGAAAAATACAACTCTGGAATCGACCTCGACGCACAAGGCACCCTTCGTGAACTAATCTACATTCTTACAGATCTTCTTCCTAGGCATAAGCAAATCTCAACAGGGTGTATCGTTGAACTTGGACGCCCATCAGCCGCAGTTCGGTATTGGCTGCCAATTTCCCTGGCACTGGTTTCAACAACTACGTCGTTGAAAATCGCGAGGGACGTCGGCCCTGTTTTGGTTGAATCGATTTCGAACTTTGGGGCCACCACCCTCGATTTCTGGAAGAATTGGGTTGTCAGCCCGACATGGAAGCTTATTCGGACCATACGACACGATGAAAAGAGCGATATCGCTCTGATGAGCAAGAGCAGTCTGGAAGCGGATCGAGCAAGTCTTGAAAGAATGGTAGTTGACTTTGTGCTCGATCGTGGTGAGCACAGCGACCCTGCTGAGCCAACAGATTTTATTGCGGATAAAGTCAGAGAAGGCGACTTGACGCCAGTGCTGAGAGCCTACGAGAAAGACCTGCGGACTCCTTTTGTGGGTACTGTTCGGGGGGATCTAGTTCGCGCTCTCTTGATTCAGATCCAGAAAACTAAAGTAGACGTCGAGGTAGCTATGAGTGGCATCGACGCTTTACTCAAAAGCCAGGAGCTTGTTTTCGGGTATGCACCCCGACTCGCCTTTTCCCATTCTCAAGTATCAAAAAATCAAGGCTGACGTACTGTAGCTTTGTTGGTCTGACCCCCGGACTCCTTATATCGTATGCTTCAATGCGTTGGCTTTTTGGGTTTCTTGGTAGTAGGAGAGGCTTCAGGTTGGGCAAAAAACAGGACAACTTACGATATGCTTTGCGGTAACAGACAGTCTGCCTGTTGTGAGAATTAGCTGACATACATCCAAGGAAACTCCATCGAATACTTTCAACGTCTAGTCCCACGGCAGGCGGGCGTCTCACGTATAGAGATCACGGTTTACTGCTATGCAATGTTGAATCACTCCTTAATAAAGCCCAGGTTATACTTAAAGGAGAGGATCTTCGTGCATTTAAGGAGGACACCAGTGACCTGGTTAACGAGAATCGACACCACAGGCAGCTCCAAATAGTTGAAAGGATGGCTTGGACCTACTCAAGGTGGACTTAGGAACGACCAAGGTGCTTCTACTTTCTCACGTTCTAATATTTGGGATGCTACGCTTACCCTACCCCCCATCCCCCCCGAAAATGTGCTGATAGAATAGTCCTTATAAAGTAGAAATGTTATCCTCATATTCACAGCATTATGGTATACATGTATTCTGCAGTGCTTTCGTTTAGCTGATGAGTTCTTGTAGCATGTCTAGTTAAGCGTGTAAATTGAAGATGGGTTCTGGAGGTAGAGTATGCTTAAGATAAGGTGAAAATAAGCTGGCTAATGAATATTACTCTTCCTACCTGCTTAGTACCGAGGCACCTTAATCTTGGGACGCATTTCGATGAAACTAGCTAGCACTGAGGAGTTTGAATAGGGCATATTGTTTCATCAAGCCAAAGACAATCGAGTCTGTGGGCAGTGCCTTGGGCCTCACTGCAAAGAAACGAAGATTAATAATTGTTATTGTTGGCTAAGGTAGTACTTTCCTGCGACTCGACGCAATTTGTCGGTGGTACCTCCTCAGGACGAGGACTTCCAATACGTAATATGGCGATTGGGGGAAGGAAACAATTTACTCCGTATTATCTAATACGTAATAACCCGAGAGGTGAGCAATTCGTTGGTGACGGAAACTATACCGAATCTAGAGTACGAGGCACCGTGGTGGTATTACGGAGAACCACTGCCATCCCTAGCAACACACCTCACCAACAATACATTTTCCACAGGCACACATATACCGGCAGCCCCTTCCATCAAAAACAGAGACATTGGGCGTGTCTTCATAAAATATACTTAGGACCTGCTTGCGATTTGTGCTTGAAAGTTTGGAGTCTTAGCACACTTGACACTTGTTGTCTTATCCCTCAAGCTGGCACATTTCCCTCCCCTGGCGCCTCCAACTATCTCACATATCTCGGCAAAGTCCATCCCCGCCGTTCGAAGCAACGATTCTTCAGTTCCGCGGGAGTTACGAGTGGACTTATTACAACGTGACTACCTGCAAAAAAACACAAAGGCTGAAGCATCGATAGGGACTCGAGATAAGCGGGAAAGGAGGGGAAGTCTCTCAATTTAAGTACGCACATTCGTCAGCATCAGCAAGGCATCGACCAGACCTAGAATTTTGTGCGTCCTATACGGATCCCCCGACGAGATCTTTCCCACGATGGCCGGCACTAGAAACTATGACTTCCTGGTAAGTGCAGTTGAATCGCTATGAAGACCTATGCTCAGACCACCTTGTCGCAGATCAAATTACTGCTGATCGGGGACTCTGGTGTTGGAAAATCGTGTTGCCTTCTGCGCTTCAGCGAGGATTCATTCACGCCGTCGTTTATCACTACTATTGGCATTGACTTCAAAATTCGCACCATTGAACTAGATGGAAAACGGGTAAAACTCCAAATATGGGATACGGCCGGACAGGAGCGCTTCAGAACAATCACAACGGCTTACTACAGAGGTGCAATGGGAATCCTCCTTGTTTATGATGTCACCGATGAACGTTCATTCCAGAGTAAGCGTTAGCCCGGACCGTGTTTCCTTGCATACTGGTCGCTAATTCTAGTCAATTCCATAGACATCCGGACATGGTTCTCAAATGTCGAGCAACATGCCAGTGAGGGTGTGCATAAGATTCTTATTGGAAACAAATGCGACTGGGAAGAGAAACGGGCTGTGACAACGGAGCAGGGCCAGCAGCTTGCGGATGAATTGGGGATACCTTTCCTTGAGGTCTCAGCCAAGAACAACATCAACATCGAGAATGCCTTTTACAACCTTGCATCCGACATCAAAAAGGGAATGGACACTTCAAAATCCGAACAAACTGGCCCTCAAGGTGTTAGCATAGACAACCAAAGCTCGGCTTTGAGCAGCAACAGTGGTGGAAAATGTTGTTGAATGGCTTGCCGTTTGGTTGCCCCCTCTCCATTTCCTGGTATTTCTGGAGGGGCTTCCACGCCAACTCAGATGGTCCTGCCAGCCTCAAACTTCGCTGTGGCGTGTGCACTCACACCTTGTTGTCTGGACCTATTATGTGTGTATATCTATAATTGTCCGAGGATTACCATTTTTGTTCCATTACTCTGAATTTCTGTGGCGGCGTTAATTGATTGATCTATCATGACTTACATACGAGACGGACAGTTTCATGTGATGGTGTCTCCTACCATAACTAATAATAAATATGGCGCAGGTATGTCCTGTATGTGTCCCCAATTTCCCCGTGTACATTGTATATTCAAGGTTGAGTTTGGGTGGCATGAAAGGAACCTGTGAAAGCTCCTAATGAGGGTATGTGCAGAGAGAACATGGGTTAATTCTGTGGGAAGTAGTGAACTAGTTGTATCAGTTAAGTAGCTGACTGCGGAATATCGAGTACTTTCAGCCCCGGAAAAAGGAGTGTCTTTAGGATAATTTTGAAGAGGAATCGATAGTTTAAAGACCTTTGGTAACTAACCACCCCATCCGGTAAACTACGAGATCGCGCCCTTGTCGGGTAACTTAACTAATGGTTGTTGTTGAAATATACTATATGGATAAAGTATGAAGGATATGATGGCCCCTCTGCTCCTTTTATGGTAGTGTTCTGTTTAATTTTGACAGCAGCCTCGCAACCTTTATATACATAAATGAATATTTAGCTCTCGTGGAATCGGATAGCCACTGCCCACGGCTACCTCTAGAGCCACCGAACCAACCGCCTGGCAAAGTTGATGGAGGCCTGGGGATGCCCGGGAATCTGAGAAACCTCCCAGGGGTTTTGGATAACTAGACTAGAATAGGACTAGTCAAACTGGGCCGGCCGCCTTATCCATGAACGATAAAAAATTTCCCCGCCGTACAACTCATGCCTTCTTTCCCTCTAAACGAGGATTAGCAAATTTTGGTGAAGCAAAGGATTGAAAGTAAAAGAAAAGGTCAGATGAAATTTTATTCCTAACGGACCTGTCTCTGATCGACGAATATCTAGCTCGCCTTTAGCCTATGAAGAAGCATTACGTTTTGCGCATGGCCCCTCTTTCCCTCCGATAAGCTAGCTGTATGTACTTGGATATTATGCATTCCGAAGAACCTCTAGAGCAGAGAAGTCTTCACGAGGAATATCGCAAGTTTACGCGCAAAAACCTTCTAAAGACATGACTACAGATTACTAAACAAGAGGTGTTCCCAGTTCTATATACCCAGTAAAGTGCGCAAAATTTTTTATTCACCTTGAACACCGTATGCGCATCTGCAATATGCCAGAGAACCGCGATTTCACCATACGACCGCTACCGAAGCAAGTAAGGAACGACCATCGCGATGCATTTCGAGTATATTTGTCCACTACATCTTTGGCGAGTCTCAAACTGAAGGCCGGCGACGTCTGTCGCCTACTACTTCCCGGCGGGTCATCCAAACAGGCCATAGCATGGAATTCTGCCGAAAGCATCGGAAAATCGGTTGTACAGACCTCGAGAACTCTTCAGGACTGTTATAGGGTCAAACTCGGTGATCAGGTCTCAATAGTAAGGGTGGACGAGCCTCTGGTAGACGTGGACTCCGTTTCGTTGATCGACTGCTCGGACGCTGATAGGACAGAGAAATATGGTCCGATTTATCCCTCTGATAGGAATCATTGGGCATGGGCTTTGGAGCTTCCTCTCTCAAAGTGCGAAGCCCTGGCGGTTGGATTGATGTTTGATTTGGATCTCAGAGGTCAGAGAAGAAGCTTTCAGATCTCGAATATCCGGTCAGTGACGCAGGGCCATGATAGTACTATATTTAGGTTCACAGAGGCTTCCAAGGTTTTGATCGATGAATTGGAGGAAGGCATCGATGAGAGTTTAACTACTCACCTCCAAGTTCTCCCGATTGGCCTTGGAGGGATGGGTCAACAGATTCAATCCATTAATGAGAACCTTGCTGATTTCTATCTGGGCTCTGACAAGCTGGTTATGCCATCATTCTATGAATATAGCAGGGGTATTCTTTTATATGGTCCGAAGGGAACAGGCAAAACAACGTTGTTGGCCCAGATACGACAAGCGGGATGGCGAAGAACATTTGACCTTGGCCCAGTTTTTAATAGAAACGTCGGTGATGGGGAGAATAGGGTGCGCAACATATTTCAAGAGGCGGTTCGCTACCAGCCTAGCGTTGTGATGATAGATCAGCTTGAATTCGTTGCACCCAAAAAGATATCGGTCGACTCGTCCTCCTTAGCACTGGTATTGTGTGAGTGCATAGACTTTGCAAAATCGGCTCGCGTTCTAGTAGTCGGTGCTACTCGCCACCCCAATGATGTCGACGATGCATTACGAACGCCTCATCGACTAGCAAGTGAAATTGAGCTACAAATCCCTACAGCGCACGATCGACGTGAAATAGTGACTGCAATATGTGGCGGCCCGTCTCCTGCCCTGAATGACAGGCTCATTGAGCTCATCGCGGAGAAAACGCACGGGTATGTTGGAGCTGATCTATATGCCCTGTTGCAGCTTGTCTGTCGCAAAGCCCGGAAAAGGCAGATCCATGATCTTGCGGATAACCGTTTGAATACCGAGGAGACAATATCAGATGAGCTTCGAGGGCTACGAATTTGTGGGGACCCGGTCGTCGAGCTCACAATCGAGGAGGGTGATATTATGGCAGCGCTCCAGGAGACACGGCCGACTGCGATGAGGGAAGTGTTCCTGGAGACACCAAAAGTAAGGTGGTCGGATATCGGGGGTCAACATGATATCAAAAGACGACTTCAAAAGGCTGTTGAGCGACCGTTAAAGGTGGGCATTTTAATTTTAATTTTTGCTTTCTATGCTGCGGCTAAAGTTGCTGACTGGTCTAGTTCCCCGAGCGAATGAAAAGGCTGAATGTAAAGAGCAAAAAGGGAATTCTTCTTTATGGACCTCCAGGATGCTCCAAAACCTTGACCGTCAAAGCCCTGGCTACCGAAGCAGGATTGAATTTCATGGCCGTTAAAGGTGCAGAAATTTTGAGCATGTATGTCGGTGAATCAGAAAGAGCATTGCGCGAGGTTTTCAGGAAGGCACGCTCTGCTAGGCCCAGCATTATCTTTTTTGATGAAATTGATGCCATCGCCTCGAGGCGTGGAAATGCGTCTCAAGGTGGTGTAAATGTGCTCACGACTCTACTTAACGAAATGGACGGTATTGAGGAGCTTAGGAGTGTTCTTGTTGTTGCGGCAACAAATAAGCCAGAAGTGCTCGATCCAGCATTGATGCGTCCAGGACGCCTGGATAATATACTATATATTGGCCCCCCCGACCTTGAAGCGCGGAAAGAGATCATAAGTATCTGGTGCAGCAAGTCTGTGATTCACCCTGAAGTAGGGTTAGGGGACCTAGCCTTGAGAACTGAGGGATATACTGGTGCAGAGATTGTGAGCATTTGCGAAACTGCCGGTGATGCTGTGCTAGATGAGGAGGACGAGAGCGGCCAGGAGCAAAACATCCGCTGGATACATTTCGAGTACGCCCTGGAACAAGTCAAAAGACAAATTACTGAAGATGTCATCTTGGAGTATGAGCAATGGGGAGACTCGCTGGATGTTAAGTGAATATTAATAAGATATAATTCCTGGTAACTAGCAGGTATGATACCATGTTATTATGGCTGTTCGCTTTGTACAGTAATTGCAACCTCCAAGAACCACATATCCCGCCAAGACGACATCACAAAGAACATCAGCCCAGAGTTGTATCTGTCGATTTATGGCGGACCGACATTGAAGTCAGCTATGGACGCAAGCTTGCAGTCGATGCAGTCGAAGGGTTAATATGCGCCTAACCTATTGTGGTTAGGACAATCTCATTTGTGGGGAGAGTTCACATCTTCTGAGAAGATTCCAACTTCCGTACATACATTAAGAACCATACCTCTGTCTCTTTTAAAATGGGGCTCGGCATCCTTTAATACGCCAAAAAAATAAACGACCACCATTATCCTCTGAGTGTTAGCTATTGTCACGGAAATATTCTATTTCCCGGGGACTCTTTCACCGGTTGACATACGCCTTCGCAGGACTGCACATCACACATCGCAAAACTCAACTCTTTTGCATCCCAGGACAAGTTCCTTTTGTACACCATGCATAGAGAATCGTCCCATAACCACCAACCTAGGCGCTCTGTTTCTCCACGATCCGAGTCGAGGTCCAGAGGGCCATCTCGAAGCCCTATGTCAGATAGTGTCGGCGCTCGCAACGGACACCAGTTTGCGAGCCGCTCAAGGTCGCGGACACGGGTGGGTCGGAGCCGGAACCGAAGTCGAAGCTCGAGTCACCGTCCGTCTTCTCGATCGTATAGAGGCCGGAGCTACAGTCGGAGTCCGAGCTCTCCTAAGTACACACAAGGAAGCTCAAAGGTTTGAACCCACGTCACTCCAACGTTTTGACACTCAGACAATTGAATCTGATGCCAAGAAAAACAATGAATAGATTGTCGTGGAAAAACTGACGAAGAATGTGACGGAACCACATATATTGGAGATATTCGGGAGTTTCGGGGAGATTCAGAGCGTCGATCTTCCCATGAACCATACCTGTATGCCCATGCACCTATTTTTACTGAGCTCCGCTAACATGCCAATTGGTAGTTATGGCAAACAGGGGTACGGCGTATATTCTCTACCACGATCCCGCAGACGCAGAAGCCGCCATTGCACATATGCATGAAGCCCAGCTGGACGGGGCGGTATTGAATGTGTCTATCGTACTACCAAAAAGAGCATTCTCCCGTTCACCCCCCCGGGTTTTAAGTACGAGGGGGAAACACGGACGTCAGAGACATCCTCCAGGGCGACATGCGGACAACCGTTCTCCTCGCCATTCGCCATACCAGCAACGAGCTTCCCCTCCGCGGGCGTATGGTCGAGCTCGGCCCATGGAAGGGCACGACTTATATCGACCCCGATCACTTTCCCTTTCTCGGTCTCGATCTCCTCAAGGCCCTCGTTCGTTTTCTTCACGTTCCCCATCGGGATCCCCTCATAGGAAAAGGGTAGGTGCACAGAAAGACAGCCCACGACGAGGCAGACGCCGCAGCCCAAGCTACAGTAGCTACGATTACAGCAGTCGTAGTAGAAGCCGGGCCCACAGTAGAGATAGGGGGCGCAATTAAAATGGTCCGTTAAGGAGGTAAACTATGGCAGCATTACGTAAGGATTTACGTTCGCATCATGGTAGGAAAGCTACCTCCAATATCATTATTGATTGGACGAATGGGTTTACCTTACTAACCCTTGCTTGTCGGACTCGGGGTAGATCCCCATTTGATAATCTATTCCGGTCGGTGATGAATAGTGTTCAGTCATTGGGCCCACGGATTACGGAGCTGCGTTACCTATGCTAGAAGAAAGAGCACCAGCCAATGTACATTGCGGCGAGATTTTGAGTATCAGTTGCCTGGATGATGAGCTCGTCGACGTGACCGTCCACCGATAACGGAACTGATTCCCCTGGAAGAAGGCCACGCAGTTTGTTACGAACGTTTTCTAGGACGCCAGCAGGGGTATCCGGGACGTTTGCATGAGTTCGGCGCTTAGTTGATGATTTTAGTGTCAGCCCGCTATTTCTGCTTGAGGACCGGGACATGTACCTTTTTTCCAATAAAATCAGTTGTTGGGTCGTGCAAGAACGTTTCAAGTATGGTCATGAGTGCATCTTCATTCTGCCGCAGAAGATCGAGACTTAGTTCACAAGTTTTCCGGAATGGACCTATTAGATTGTTAACCAACCACAAACATCTTTGTGATGGCACAAACAGACCATTATATCCATAAGCCCCAAATGCGTCAATCATATTCTGGGTCAACCGAAACGGAACCAACTCTGGCTTATCAAACGTCAAGCCCTGTATGCATGAGGTTAGTTGAATGCCCCGCGGGTAAAGCTTGATACAACTCACCTTGTCGAAAAGACAGTTGAAATCGACATGGAGAACACCGCCGGTGCCTTCCTCGAAGAGTATGTTTTCGCCATGTCGGTCTCCCAGCCTACGGTATTAGGTCATTTAGCAGAGCACGGTCGACTATATGTGATTGACGAACCCTAAGACATAACCAACCATCGACATAACAGCACAGGACCGAGTATATCGAAGTCTTGCGGCAAACCAGGCACCCGTCTCGGGAAACATCTCCACGAACCATTCATGCAAAACAGGCGGGAATCTGCATCGCACTCAGTGGCTGACAAATACCAGGAGATTGCTAGTACTCACGCTGCTAGAATCTTGTCTGTGAATAATGAGACTTTGGATGGGTCCGAGCATGCTTCAGTAAGATAATGGCGTATCTCCTCGTACTAATGAACCGGCCGTCAGTTTGTCTTCGGAACGGATGATTGAAAGGGCGTATTTTTTGGAAAAACAAAATCCTGGCGATAAGCCATACATTTGGCGTAATTCCCCTCTCCCTAAGTGACTTTGTGACTAGATCCCTCAAGGTTCTTAGGTTGTCCACCCACTCAATAAGCCCGCATTCTTCATTTAACGGCGTAACGGCGTATGTTTTGATATCTTCTATAGGTGAGTGAAAGTGAGGGGAAATATGTGCGCGGCACACTTACACATGCGCCTTTTGCTGGATTCCACGTCCTTCTTTAGGAATCTGTTGATCATATTATTGAACTCCATCAAGCGTTGGTCCTTACGAAGGTCATCTTTTGGTTTACACAGGATATTGTATACCCTCCCGTCAGACCCTCGGATGCCAATTTTACGAGGCTTTTGGAGAGAGCTAAGAATTTGAGCATCGTCAAGGACCCCTTCGATAGTTAGATCAGGCGTATTGATATGCGTAATTCCATACCTTCGATAGTGGTAGAATCTCGAGGAAAGGCCCTGAAGCCCTTTAGATACTCTGAATCATGACTACCCGGTAAGCTTGGGGTAAGCATTGCCTGGAAGGGAACGACGAGTCGACATGGCGTTACTTTATGGTTGAAGTTGACATGTCGCGCAAGGTTTATCCGAGAAATTTTATTCTCGATCTTGGCTACACACAACCGTAACAGCTCATCTGAGAATTTTTGGCCTTGGCTAATCATTCCGCGGATGTCAATGCTTGCCTCGGTCTTCAATTTCTTGTTGACGTCCTGTTATTACTTTAGCCTGGGCTGCATTCGGACAAATATTTGTGACTGCAACTCACGGTTATTTTTTGGAGGCAAGTAAAACCTCTTGACGCTCGGTCCTTGGAGGATGACTTGACAACGGCCAGAACAGTCCATAGTCCTTGCTGGGGGAAAGCATTCACTGCCTTTGCCACGATTCTAGTCAACAGAGTACAGACTGTAGGGGCTGGGTGGCAGATTCGTGCGACGACTTGGGGTAGGATTGTAAAAAGCTGGAAGCAGTCAGCTGCGAACCTGACATACTTCAGACCCAGACTAACCAAGGCAGCTGGCATCCTATTGACATATTTTTTCAACTGCGAGTGCATGTCATCCAGGCTCTTTTTTCGTTGATTTAGCGTGTGCGCTTGGAAGTCCCTTTGAGACAATTAACAGAGAGGCTCAAGGAGGGAGGCAACTTTGAATGAACACCCACGCATTATCACCCCTTTTCGGATCAAATGGCTGTTCGACAGCAGAAGCATGTTCCAGCCAAAGAGTCAGGACTTTGGGTAGTGACTGGAAAACGTACTTATTCCCGTGTGCCAATGACCGAAGGTAGTTGTCAACGACCAGTTTTGACGCTTCACCGCTCAAACTATGACAATTAGCGTCAGCTCCCCCCTGTTTTATACCTTGTTACAAGCAACTTACTATATTTGTGCCTCCTTCCCTGGCAGCTTCAATTTCTCCGAGTCCAAGATCTTGTTGTAGTGCTTTCCAAGATAATAATGGGCCTTTTCCCATCTGAAGTCCATAAGACAAAATGAATACTAGCAAAAAGGCTTTACTTACCTTGAATGTAGCTTGATGGCCTCGCGATACCTTTGCACTATAATATCCGACTGGGTTTGTCCTGCTCTATCGGTCCATTTCGCTAATAATAGGTGTGCCTAAATAAAATTAGACAAACAATTGAAGAGTAGTGGATGCTTCCGGTTTGCGACATACCCTAGCAGCGAGTAGATTTTGGTGATTCTCATGACTGGAGATAGCGGATTGTGGATTTGGATTGTCAGGATTAGATGCGGTCGAAGCAAATTCATTCGCAGCTATTGCGCCCTCTAAAATCTGTATGGCCTTCCGGTGATGACCGTCTTTCCAGAGTAGTCTCGCGTGTTCGATAGTGGCAGAGCGGTCTTTTAAATGAGCAGCATTAAGCATGGACTGATATGCTTGATTGCCAAAATTGCCTCTCCTCAACAATCGAGCACTCGTCAGCCACGCAGCGGCTATGTCAGAGTCAACGAAAGTACCACTGTTGCTGTATTAGCGCGACGTATTTAACTTTCACCTGGATAGCTCACCTCAACTCCATGGCAGCTCTCCTTAGCCCGAGAAGATATTGTTTGTCAGATAAATACCCCCCTAGAACGTCTAACCGACGATCTAAAGAATTCCGTAGATCCGTGCGTGAATCCGGATTTTGGTGCGCATCTCTCGCCAATATAACAGACTCAACCTCTGTCAGTGCGTGCAATCTGAGCATACTATCGTGACATGATTGTAAGGATGTAACGGAGTTTGTTGTAAGAGCCTTAGCGACACTCAATCGTAACCCATCGATAAGTTTGCCAAACTGCTGTCTCTCGCCCTGACGGAAAGCATCTAAAGCCAGACCAATACCTATGTTAAAATCTGCTGTCTTTCGCGCACAAAGCTCGAGATAGCTGTGCATCTTATCCCATTTCCCGGTTACCCAAGATGCCTCGACTGCGAAAGGAAGAAACTTGGCCATACAACTAGTCGGCTTGAGAACCTCAAAACGGGTGAGAATTGCGTCTGCAGAAGCACGTAAGTAAAGGTCCAATGGAAATACGAACTCATGAAACCACCTTGTTGTCCCGATTCCTTTAAGCATGTAAACAGATCCCACTGGGCATCCAAGTTACCTGGTTCTTTTTCGAGTTGCAATTCATACCAGCTTTGTGCTGTGGCCCATCTCCCTGCCTTTCGATGTTCGAGGACTTGCTGGTCAATGTCAAGAACGTGTAGGTGAGTTGAGATTCCCTCGATACCATCGGGCTCGTCAATCTGGCTGTAAATCTCCTGAAGATGTCGGTAAAGTGGTTCTAAGCTCGCGGGTTGTTGTTTTTGAGGCTGGCTCGTATATTGACGAATATACTGTTCCCAATGAAATAGAGCCCTAGAAAAAGACTTGCACTCCACAGCTCGCTTAGATATCACTTCTGGTGGCATGGAGCTCAGAAGAGATTCCACCGCTTTGATTTGAGAAGAGTACGAGCCCACCAATAAATCCCGGTCGTTCTCCTTGGAGGCTCTGTGGTGTCCGCGGTTCCTTAAGGTACCTAGCTGTTTTTTTTTCCCCTGGACCCATCTCGAAAGATAATCCAATACTTCAAAAACACTCTATAAGACGTGAATATCATTCGGATTGCCAGAACGCCAGATCGTGGTACTTACCTGGCTGCATAGTAAGATGGCTTCGTGTAACTCATTCCTATTTTCAGGAAGGGAATAAGTTAGGATATTCATAAGCTCACCGTGTAAATCATCCTTTTCTTTCTGAGTTCCTCCAACCACACGGTTCAAGACAGCAAATGGAAGTAGGAATGATGCTATTGCAATGTCTTGCCCTTTGATTATACGACTGCAAACGCCAAATACCGATCTCGCATTATCACCATTTCCGCTTTGTAGTAAATTTTGAACAAAGCTTCGCAACCAGTCTGCATGGCTCAGTCCTGGTGAAAATAGAGGATAGGTGCAGCCGGAGCCCGTGGCTCCGATGGTGACAGTATATTTTGACGTCAAGAAGGGCGTCAAAATGTTACGGACGGCCTCAGGAAGCTCCAACCATCGTTGATACTTTTCGTCAGCCACATCGCGCGAACGCTGGGCGACGGCGGAGTTTAAATTGCAAAATCGCAGTAGATTTTGCATAGCATAAGCTAGAAATCCTTGAGCCCTCGTATTGGACGCCGATAAGAAAGCATCAACTAGCACATGTTGGAAAAAGAAAAGCACGAAGTCAAACGTCTCTTCCATTTTACCAAAATTTGACAGAACGAGGATCTCTTTTTTCTCTTTGATCGAATCCACTCGATTTGGATCTAAGCAGCCGATATGGCCAAGGCAGCGAGCGGATAGAAGGGTAATGGATTCCGATGTAGTGTTGAACTTTACACAGCAGTCAAGTAAAGACCTAACCAAGTGCATCACAGCAGGATCTGGCTGCTCACTGATGACAGATCTATGAAGGAACTCCTCATGCCTTGAGAGGTATGAAACAAGTTCTGTTAAGGCTTGTTCAACGACTGTGGCATTTTCACTCAAACAACGCCGAGAAAATGCAATGAAATGGCATCGAACATCCATAGTATCTTTCATCTTGTTGATTTTAGTATCGAATTTGGAGAGCATGGGTATTGAAGCCAATGAAGGCATGGTGCCAAAAACATCCTGTAAAAGTTCGTTGTGAAACCCCAGGACATGCTCGACGAGCTGGTAAGCAAATCTCCTAGTGTCTTCGGTGAAGGTGGCCCAATGTTTTATCACGATAGAAAGAGTTTGGTCAAGGAGGGGCTCAACTTCCTCTTCATGCAAAGATCTTACTAGAACACCCCATACTCTAAAGGAGTTGTTGCAGAGGTCCTTGAATTCCAATGCAGATCGCAGACAAGCACATATCTGTGGTACTCAGTTTAGTCGACCAAATGAGTTGGAATAGCGAAATGGTGTACAAACCTGAGGTAAAGCACTGCTGACATAGCCAGGGGCTACTTTAATCATAGCCCCGATGGCCATGATATTTCTTTTCTTCTCAACAATAGACTGTCTGATTTGAAAATCATTGATGGCATGTGCAAACTGTGTGATTATTCCAAGGACATGCTCCTCAATGAAGTGACCTATCAAGTTTGGTTGTCTTGAAGTGTGTGAAGACTTGCGTGGCACGAGAGAGGCCAGAACATGTAGAGCTTGGTAAAACTATCCTTTGTTAAAACTGTTCATCACCTCGGGTTCTAATTCTTAGGGTGACGTACTCTTCCTCCCTTGTCTTCTCCTGTATCACCAAGGCCTTTCAATAGATCGCAAGCAATTAAGATCGGCTCTATTCTCACCAGCTCTGCCAAGACGCGGCCGTCGAAAGCGGAATCCACGGCCGACAATGTGGACATGATCATTTTTTGAGGATCCGGAGAGGGTTGGCATAATAAAAACGCTAGTATTGCTGCAAGATTATCTTTCTCAGAGCATATATCAAAGGGGGTTTTGCCATCCTTATAGGTTCCTCCAATCCGAATAATAATCTCCCTTTTTCGTAAGAGTACCAGATGCGGCAAAACATAGACTTCTGTTAGTCTTAGAAAATCGTCAACTGTCATGCCGAGTAGGTCACACAATTGCTCCGCCATATACGGACGACACTGCAAATTTTTAACGACTATCACAGAAAGTGTCCTCCAAAAGGGCCGGAACAAGGCGGCGGGTGTGACAGCAAGTTGCTGCCCAAGTTTCGATAACTAATTTCGGTTAGATGTTTTTCTTGAAACGCTTGGGTCCTGGAAACCATTACAGACCAAAGCAAGTCCAGAGAGCTAACATACCTCAGTGTACGCTACCCCACAGATAAATGGATTTGGATGTCCAAGATACTCTATGAGGCGAAGAAGAACAATATTCATCTCTTCATCATTGGAAAACCTAGTGCTCGAGCATATTAGCCTCAATATTAGCCACAGTACAAGAACCTCGAATTATACCTTGCCAATCTGCACAAGCTCATGATGCAAGTCTCATGCAATGCTGTTTCTTTCTTCTCAGATAAGCTCTTTAGCCAATCCAGAAAGATAACGAAGTTACCGCGCCGGGTTTCATGGCCTAGGTCATCGCGTACAAAACAATCGACGGTATGGCTACGGAGTCATTAGCGCCAAATGTGTTTCTAGCTACGAGAAACGTACCCAGCAATAACCCGAAGCTCTCGCACAGAGCTTCGAAGAGAGCCCAGGAGAAAATCACCAAAAATGGAACCTGACAGCTGTAGGTGGATGGGGTTCGATGTGTGCATCAATGTTCGCTTCAAAGTAGCCATCGCAGTTACTCTGATAATCGAAGAACGGGATATTTCAGGAACTATAAATGCTAACATCTGGCATAAAACATCAATTTCGTTGATCTGAACATCAGATTGGATGGGACTCTGGAGCTCATCATCACAGATATGACACAGCTCTTTGCCCAAAGAATCTGGGTCGCCTTGAATAGCCACCGTTAGGCTCTCGTTGATTGCGCAGGGCAGACGGCCTAAGTCATTCAGGAATTCATACTTTTCCTGCTCAGAAAGAGCAGGGAAAGATTTGCTACGGATGTCAGTCTGGAAAAAAAAAAAAAAAAAAAAAAAAAAAAAAAAAAAAAAAAATTAGAAAAAAATTGCAGGTCTTGCGCTCAACTTACAAAACCGCAAGCTTAAGGCTCTCTAGGTCTGCAGCGCCATCATAACGGATGGACTCCAGTAACCTTAAGGTGAGTTGCTGAGCTACAGAAACTCCGCATTGCGTCTCCGACTGTAGGAGACGACGACGCCGGGATACTACTCTAGCTTCGCCATCATTTGGCATCTGGCTTGACTGCCCATGCCCTTGGTTAGAAGCGAAAGAATATGTCATTGCATCGACACCATCGTTGGGGGCTGCAAACGCCGCCGGTCCTGGGTTTAACCGTGCCTGCGCCGCGTTGGTAAGAGTATTGTGAACTGCGGTCTTATTCTTGGTTAGTTTCATTTGTTAATATATTGAACTGCTTGCTATGGGTTCTCTACCTGGAGGTGAATTTCGAGGGTTTTGAAAGTAGTTTTTTTCATCGCATCGCTCAGTGGTGGCGCAATTCTTCTAACATATTTGAGCTGTTTTTCCGTACAATCGGAAAAATCGACGAAATCGTCAATAAAGTAGGCTAATTGTGATTGAAGAGAAGTGGAATGCTTCAAACAGTCTGAGGACAATATGTCGCCCAGAATTTGGAGGGAATCGTAAACTGGTTCAATTTCAAAAGAGTTTTCACATAAGCAGCATGTTCGTATAGATTCCAAGAAGCGTGAGCATATTTCGACCTTGGAGTCGATCTTATCTAGGTTGGTACCCTGTAGCCAAATGGATACAACACTCCATATGCGTCGATAACCACTTAGAATCCAAGCTAGATTATACCGCATGCTCGAAGCCTTGCTGGGAAAAGCGATGTGGCCATCCGACCGAACCAAGAACGAATCAAGAAGGCCGAGAGTTACTAGAACAGCTCCTTGGAATGACCCAATATAGACTCTTTTTTCGAATAGGTTGCGAGGTAGGCCGAGCTTGCCTAGTACTACGAAGATGGGTCCTTCGGGTACCGGGAAGGACGACTTGAACTGAGAGATGTCCCACCGTCCCTGGCATTGGAGTTGTTCTAAGGAAAATATGACCTCTTGAGGTTGTTGAGGTTGATTAGTTAGTCAGATGTTCCCGTCCATTTTGGGTCTCTACAAACCATTTGCGCAGGCCCGTAGGAAAGTAGGAATAGCATGGTAAGGAGACCATAGCTTTGTGTGTTTATATTGGGCACGAACTATAGTCGAGAAAATCCTGGTGACTTTCTCATCAACGGTCCAATTGTTTTGAGTACAAGACAAGTGAAGAAGTTGAACAACCAGCCAAGCGTATAACGGGGCGTAAGCCCTTACCCCTAGAATTTCTGGATCGGGAACTTCTGTCAGTGTTTGCGGGACTTTCTCGACGGCTATTTGGATGATGTCTAGACAGTCCGAAAGTTGACCGCTAAGGTCGCCGTGGCCTGGTTCTTTATTCTTGGTACACGGCTCCAGACCTGCCTTGAGAACAACGCAAATGAGCCTGCTAACATCGGTAACGCTGTCATCAAGACTTAATTGGCTGTATTTCCCCTCCACTAACTCTTGCCGGAGTTGCGCAAAGGATTCTCTTGTTAAGCGATGGACTGGGTTTCCCTGGGATGACAGATGTGGTGCCAGCTCCGCTGCGAGGGTAGACGAAACGGGTTCTGCAGATGTCCAATCGGCCATGCTTATTGTAGGATAAAGACGAGCATTCAATTCATCTACAGTAATCTGTAGAATTCAATTCATGACATGCTTGCTGCGTCAAGTGACAAGTCGTGCAAGAACTGTGTATTGGAAGAAAGACTTGGTGGACGCGTCGGTTCTGCAGAGAGGAAACCAACCTTGGACTCGGGGGAGTGATGCGTAACTGTGATAAGCTTACTTATCAATCCGGCGTTGTAACTAACGTACCAATGTTGTAATATATTGAGTATAATACCGATTAAAAGTAATATAATGAAAGTAAAATATAATACGTAACTAAGTACGTACCCTGTCGGCAAGTAGTATGGCGTCGTGCAACACATCGTTACTTATTCAGTCATAGCACCCACCACCAAGGCTAGGTCAATTTAAGTTCTCGAGTATAACTGAGATTTAATATTTAGTATAGGTGTTGTTGTGGAAGGGGGCGAAGGGGCCGTGGGTTTTTACTTACTTAATTAGAACTCTTCGTCAACAACCATCATTACTAAAGGTCCTATTCTATAAATTTCAATGAAGAAGTCGTCCCGTAAGTCTTTTATTTCTTTGCCTCCTCAATATGGTATTGAATTGTACTTGGCGCGCGGGCTTTGCATGGATCAAGTACGATGTCAGTCTCCGTACGACTCGTAGTTCGGATGTGCGTAATAACTGGTACGGTAACCCGCAGCACCTTACTGGTAGTGCTTGGCAACTGCCTTGCCCAAGGTAGCGTTTCCCTTCCAGGATCGTGGCCTTGATATATTTTTCTGTGTGACCTTCCTGTGGTATTCTGCCGACCTAAACAGGGAATAAGAGAAAAGGAACAGAAGGAAAACCTCGGATACTGCAGATCCGATCAAATTGCAACCTAACTGGCGCTTTAACATCAACTCTGTATCGAATCGCCTGAACACTGTGAAGTATATGTGTAGCGCACTCAACCCAGGAATGGAATATGCGACAGCAGACAACTCTTGCTTTATGGAGCAAGCATTTGAAATGGTATTTGCACTCCACCCAAATAGATGTCTACCAGGACGGAAACTCACGCTTGAATAGGCACGCAGAGCGCTTGATCTAGGCGAAACACCCGTAGGCTGCGTTTTAGTGTACAAGAATAAAATAGTCGGTCGTGGAATGAATGATACCAACAGATCCATGAATGTAAGTCAATAGCATAGACCTGCTCAAGTGACTTCCTCTCTTCTCCTGTTCTTTCTTTCTCTCCCGTCCGAGACCTCTGGGCTCTGGCTGTGGGCTCTGGCTGGACCATATTTGACTAGATAAGTAAATTCTCACGAAATCTGCCTCTGATGTATTTATGTTAGGGAACAAGACACGCTGAATTTCTTGCTCTCCAAGAAATTCTTCGCAGTTATCCAAAATCGGTACTCCGGTCCACGGACTTGTACGTGACGGTGGAGCCCTGTGTCATGTGCGCAGCAGCTTTGCGTCAATATCAAATTCGGAGTGTCTACTATGGCTGTGGCAATGAGCGATTTGGAGGAACCGGAAGCATTTTATCCTTGCACTCTGAGTTTGCGCCCCTCCGAAGACATATTGTATTAGTTCCGCGTTGACCTGCTACAGTTCGGCGATTGACCGGCCCTATTCTGTTTATGGCGGGTTGCAGCGGAAGGAGGCTATCATGCTACTGAGGCGCTTTTACATACAAGAAAACGAAAAAGGTTTGATGCGTGCCCCATTTTTGCTAGTTGCGGGGAGAACCTGGTGCTGACCTTAATCAATAGCGCCTAAACCACGACCTAAAAAGAATCGAGAGCTGAACACCAAATTCGACGATGTTGACACTGACCCGCTGATGGGAGAGACAGATGGTTGCAATACCGATTGGAGTAAGCAACATCCCTAGAAGACAGACGTAACTATACAATTCTATATTTTCAGCTTGCGTACGCATCGCATCGAACGGAAATAACACCCTCCAAGTAACGCAACGAATGGATCCACCTTTGCGCACGACATGATTCTCAAGAAGATCCAGCCTTGGAAAGGCGTTCAGCCTCAAGCTCCCGCTCAGCCTGCTGATAGTATTTAGCCGTATCGACACCATGCTTGTGTGATAGTCAGTATTCGGTAGATTTGTAGCAGATCAGAGACTTGAAAAGTAGACAAAACTTACATGTTCATGGTTGACTAGATTAAACCATGGAATAACCTGAACGAAGAGATTCGCATATCGGGAGTTCCGAGCGGCTACACCCTGTAGGTAAGTGGATACTTGCGAGGAACCATAGAGAGGCTCGCCCTTCTTAACTTTGTCTACCATTTCCTTCATATCCATATTAACCTCTCTTGAGTTCTCCGTAAATCCATGGAAGCGATCTGGTGAAACAGGAGTCAATGGTGATCCCAGACGGCCGGGTCCATGATAAATCGGGGCTGGAGGAATAACGTACTGCACGACCTCTGGTAGAGGATGTGTAGACCGCCAATAACACCGACAGCTGTCGCCAGACGCATCACCGGGGAGAATCCTCCTCTACCCACGTGTGATGGGCTCACCCTTTCCATAACCCAGAATGAAAGCGGAGATGCAGCAGCAGCTCCACCGGCAACTGCATAGTCTGAGGGTCTCGCGTATCCGAAAACCCGTCGCACATGCCTGAAATGAAAATATGTATTAGTGACATTCCGAAGGCTGCTATCGAGGCCATCTAGTGTGTAGGGATAGAATATGGGAGATAGTGGAACGTACGGGTCCGAGTCGATGAGCTGCAAACAGTGTTAATATTGATCTTGTAGGAAGTAATTGGGAGTTTGAAGAAAACCGCACCGGATAATCAGTAAGAGCTCGCTTTGGCGGTACAACAGCAGGGTTGTTGGTATCAGCCATTATGAAGAGGTTGAATCGGCCAGTGTCACGATTGAAGGGTTGAAGTGTCTCTTGTGAGGGACTTGGGGATGTCGGAAGTTGTGCCAAGGCTAGAATTTTCAGATTGGGACTAGCTCGGATAACCCCCGACCATGTCCACCGGTGTACACCTATAGGGAGAGGCCTCTTTAATTATGGACAAATCGTGTTCCAAATTGCTGAAACTTGAAGATGAGGTCGCATGAGAAGAGATTACCTGTGCTTTTACGAGAGAGCTTTGATATATTCTGTAGCACTTAAAACAAACTCTTGATTGACGTTGGAAAATTCAAGGCCTTTTACCACCGGTTGACAATAGTGAATTGTCCACAGCGCAGCCATGTCTAGCTTGCTCCTACCGGATTACATACTTTTAAAGCACCTATCCGATGTACCAATCCTCCACACCCAGCTGTTCGGCTGCGAACTTAAGTCTAGCACACCTTTCCTGAAGGAAGAGTAATTTGAGAGCCTACTATTGGCTAGTGACGATATTGCATTGGAACGCGTCGGGCTCGAGACGCGTCCACGCGTGCCGACCCTAGTTTATCGATTATCGACCAGTTGTTTTGCGCTTGAGCATCCGATGTTCTCTCCATATTCACCCATGTCCTGAGAAAATTGGGGCCCTGACAGAGAAACATGAGCTGAGGCTAACCCTCTCAACACCAACATACCCATCGATATTGGACACACACTGATGGCAGACGAAAGCAATCTAGCGACGAAGGACGCAGCACAATCTACCGACCATGTCGACGATTTATTCGATTACGATGTTGGTCTCGACGGAATACTCCAGGAAGTCAGCACGAACTCGGGCGGCGTAAATGTGCCGAAGCAACCTGCTCCACCCGGTAACTCTGGAGTAGTCCTAGGTTTAGATGAGGAGGTCAAAGTCGCTAAAAAGAGACAGCCTGTTGCCAAACTGGACGAGAATAGGTCGGTCAGAACACAACGAAGCAATTATTTACCCATACAACGATGCTAACTTTCTCCAAGACTGCTCACACAAGCTGGGATACCGAAACTGCGGCGCTCAGCGAGGCAGAACCTGAAGCTTAAAGGGAAAGGGCACGAGGTTCGTCCTGGTTTTCCCCAATGCAATGGTGTGCTTGGTCAGATTGATCGTAAGCTGTACTGACGTCTGTTGTTTGCACATAGTTTTCTGATTTGGCTCGCCTCCTGAACTTTTATCAGCTATGGCTCGATGATCTTTTCCCCCGTGCGAAATTTGCCGATGGTTTGGCTATTATTGAGCGACTGGGCCATTCTAAGCGCCTTCAGACTATGCGCCGAGCATGGATAGAGGAAGAGAAACCCTGGTCGGCGAACGACGCCACGTCAGATCCAACGCAAATAACACTCCGAGATGATAACACCTCGAACAATGTCGACTCAGGGGCTGACACCAATCAATTAATACAAAGCGATATCTCGCAGCCGTCTGGGCGATCAGATGATATAGACGAGCATTTGTTTATGGCGGATAACACTGACCATCAGCAGTCTGCGGGAGATAATGGTGTTCCACTCGATGATGACGACCTCGATGAACTGGATACTTTATTAAGAGAACATACAGATGGGACTGATATTCGAAACACTGCTTCAATTGAGACGACGGATAATGGATATGTTCCGCCGTATGACGATGGTTTTGGCGGGGGTGGACGCTTTGCTGAGAGAACATGAAAATGAGTCTGACGTAGTAAACTGACCCGATTTTGAAAGCAAAGAAAAATAACTCGCTGGACCCTAAGATTTACGCGGATAGGTTCGAGACGATGAACAAACTCGGAACCTTTGGATGAAAGTTTGAGTAAATATATTGCCGAAAATTGGCATTTGCGAACCTAATTTGATCGTTTGTTGTAAATAAACGCATGCCACGAACCCCAAGCAAAATTAGAAAAGGATCAAATATCAATTGAGCCAGCTGCGTGATATTACAAGTCTTCTAAGCTAAAAGTACAGGCGCATTGAAATATAAAACCGCCGCTGAGAAGCTACAACCTTTCACTGAAAACATGCCCAACGACGTTTCCCGCCACTTTAAAAAGACAAGCCAAATCCAATCGCAACTTAAATCGTGCCCCTCCACAAACCAACCCCCTTATGGAAAAATCACAGTGTCGCAGGTTCTGTGAAAACCGAGAACTGACCACCGCCACCGGCCCAGTTGAGGTTCTTACCCCGGACAGCGGTGTTTTCGATAACAGTCGCAACCTCGACGTCATCTTGTGTGCCTTGGCCCGTTTGATAGGTGGCAGAAAACCCCCAAGACCAGGGGCGGCCGTCGTTGTCGATCGCGATCGAATGATCGGATCCAGCTGCAACGGCTTTAGCTTTGATTCCAGGTACCACAGTTGGCTCAATTAGGATGCGTGGACGGCCCCGCTCATCTTTAATAACTGCATCATTTGAGAGAGTATCAATCTTTAGGCCGGTTTGGTAACCATCTAGCCGACCCCAGACTAGGCATTTGCCATCTTGGGTAACAGCTAGCGAGTGATGAGCACCGCCACAAATTTGGGTGATGTTCTTTTTGGACAGAGAGTCCACGACTGTGGGGTGAACAATGGCAGCCTCGCTATCGCCTGCATATTCACGAATGCCTGTTTCGCCGAAGCTGTTCAAACCCCAGGCGTATACTTTGCCGGATTGGTGTACGGCGAAAGAATGGAAAGCGCCAGCACCAATGTAAACAATGCCCTTAGGAAGCCCAAACTCCCGTGGTTGAAGCCCATTTAATTTATTCCGCTCGATAATACGACGGCCGAGCTGGTTTTGCTGGCCAGATCCCCACGAAAAGACAGCCCCTTTATCGTTCAAAGCGAGGACGTGATTATCCCCGCACACCAAATGCTTCACTTTCTTGAGAGCTGGTACGAGTATCGGGACTGTCTGAACCTTGACTCTGGCATCGAAACCAAGAATACCATCGTTGCTCTGGGTTATTATTAGCTAAGTGCCTTAAAATTGGTGAGATGCATACTTACCCTAAAAGTTCCCCAGCCGTACACTTGGCCATCATCGGTGAGAGCAAAGCTTGAGCTGTCGCCAGCGGCTACTTCAACAAAGACTGTACTCTCAGGGAAAACACTAGAGGGAATGGCAGTTGGTGTACTTTCGTGGGGGTTTAGATCAGGACTGTCTTCCGAGTCCGAATCAGAGTCAGAGTCGACTTTGTCCATGTCCTTGTATCCGCCGTCCCATGTTGTGTCCCTTCCAAGAGCGCCTTGGTCATTTACACCCCAAGTAAGGATATTATTGTCGTGTGTAAGGGCAACGCAATGCATACCGCCGACAGCGACTTGCACGACCCCAACAGTATCTGATGGTAAGTGGGGATTGAGGCGCGGGCGCTTCACGTCGATAACGTTCTTGCCGATGCCTAGACCAAGTTCACCAGAGCTACCTTCACCACAGACATAAACGTTCAGTTTGGTACTCGGCGCATTGTTGATGACGACCTTTGGCTTTTGCTTTGTGGCGACAGGCTTCGCAACACGAGCTCGTTTGACTGATTGGCTAGCCTCACCATCATCCCCGGCTTCGGCTCTGCGCTTTCTGGTAGGCTGGGCAGGTGCATTTCTCGCATCCTTTGTGTCGTTGGCATCTTCTGTTTTGGGGGTCTTGCGGGTCGTGGGAGCTTTGGTTTTCGCAGTGTTTTTCGCGGTGTTTTTCGCAGTTGTCCTGGTGGCAGCTGCTGAACGTCCTTGAGCTACACTTTTGGTGGCTGCAGCACCTTTTGTGGTTGTAGACGCAGCTGTTTTCTTTTTAGTCGCAGAGGTGGCCCGCGCTGCGGGCTTGGTTGCAGCTTTCTTAGGAGGCATTGAGAACAGAAAACAACCTCTAATGGGTAGACCGGAAAAAAGATGAATTGTGAGGAAGATGAAAAGATGGAAGTGAGACGGTCGAGGGCAGGGGGGAGGGGGGAGGGGGAAGGAAGTTACTCGGGGCAGAGACGAGAGGACAAAGGGAGGGAAGGGCAAAAAAAGAGCGGCGATGTGTTAGTGAGCCCGAGACGTTGTTGTTACGGCGAATCACGCGCGAGGCTGAAATTCCAAGTTTTCCCACATACTTGGAGCTAACTAAGTATCATTATTGAAAGCACTCCTAGTTTTGTTGCTGGAATCTCGCGCAGATATTGGAAGAGCCTGAAAAAGACGGACATGCCCTGGTCAATTGCCGACAGCCCGCGGTCATTCCGTCATTCCTTGCCTGAGGGTTACGTTTTCAAGTTGAGTCTTCCTTACACAGCTTTCCTTTTGGTTCCCTTTGGCCTTCACCGAAGATGCGACGAATGGAAATCCTTTAAGCTCTCTTGAAACGGCGGGGGTTCTTTGTGCTATTCGATGGTCTCAGCACAAAGAAAACGATATCATATCTATGTTTACCCCGGTTCAAAAGCCAGTTATCTGTCTGTTTTTGTGTTAAAAGCTTTTTTTTTAGAAGACAGGGAACGCCACTTCCTTCTTATGCTGTATTTAGATACCATTCATTAATTATTTTATTGCAATTTTTCTTTAGTTACACTGCGTTCAGATTAGATGATTACATTCAGTCGCGTGCTTATTTTTCCAGCTCCAGCGTTCGTTTATCGCGATTCTGCTCCGGAGGAATTAGACTCGGCAGGGGGCGCGAGTGGTGTAGGTGGTGTCGTGCGGATCTTTCCACACATTATGACATTTTGTCCCATCGGCACCCATTTCACGTCTCTCGGATTGAGCGCTGCATTAGGTTTCCCCTGCGCATCACGTTTTGAATCTGGGCTCACACCGACTCCCCCAGAACCCAAGTATGTTGGCGCGATGGTCACAATGATAGAATCAACAAACTCGGTGTATTCAGGGTTCAGAAGCTCACTAAGAACCCTTCCTCCGCCTTCAATCATTACACTCTTGATGCCTTCTGATGCTAGGGCCCGTAATATAGGCTCCCAACGAAGCCGCCAATTCTGGTGGTACTCCATGATACGAAGGAAATCGCCTCCGTAACCCTTAAGCATCATTAACTTTTGGGGATGGATCTGGGCCCCAGGGGACACGACGACCCATGGGGCTTTGCCTTTCCCATCTACCGTAGTCTGCAGCATCCTACAGTCGGGATGCACTGGCCACCGCCCCATGGGGTCAATAACCACCGGCCGCGGCTGCCACATCCTTCCGAGACCACCAAACCCTCCAGCACCCTGCAGCCTACAGTTTAGCCCTGGGTTATCTGCAAGAACAGTCCCGACTCCGATTAAGATTGCATCGTGGCGTGATCGTAAATAATGCGTCATTAGTTTCGCCTCTGGGCCTGATAGCACAGTCTGCATGCCGGGAAGAAGAGATATTTTAGAGTCCATGGATGACGCATAGGATAGGGTGACATGTGGAAACTCCCGCTTGTCGTCTTTCTTCGGGAGATAGGGCTCTAAGAAATCCAGCGGAAATTGTGGGAAAGGAAGAGTATCAGGTGGTAACGGTGGAAGTGAATTCGGGTGCAGAGCGGTTGAATCAGCTGGCGCGGTGTTGTTCTCGACATCTGAGATCTCCCGAGTCCGCACAATTCCGTGGCCTTTTTGATACTCATAGCCTTCGTGAGGCACGAGTTTGACCTCCGGATTCTGTAGCCTCCATTTTGCTGAAACGTTCCGAACGTCTGTAACAGTACAGAATTTGCCGCCTGCTTCGATGAGCCGTTCCGATTCTTCTCGGAATTTCGTGTATATGGAAGAAGGTAAGTATCCTTTACTCGCCTCCTTCTTGGCAAACTCCATTAATCCTGTATTGCGCTTCACCTTGTCAATATAATCGAGATCATGTGAGTGTTGATGACTGCTCCCCGGTGTTCTAGCGATAGTGACCGTCGAATATGCCCCTTCAAATTTGATAACCTTGATTTGGAAGTTGCAAAGACCGCCTTCACGTACCCTTTTCTTTCGAGGGCGCTTACCCTCTGGCAAAGGCCGTGTCTCTGAGCTCCGGTGAGTTGGACGTCGCAGGCGGCACATATAATAATCAGTAGTGCAATGCCCTTCCTTGCTGGAATTAGATCTCTGCTTCACCCACACATTATCAATGAATGGCCAGTAGGTTTCGAATTCTTGCAAGCTGATCTCAATGGGCTCCTTGCATTCAAACATGACGTGTCGAATCCTTGCGAGATTCGGCGGGTTGTCTATGAGCGTGTAGCTTTCAGGCTCACCTGCCTGGGGTGTATTTGTGGCATCGTCATCACAAATGCCATTTTGGTCCTCAGCAACTTCATCCAACGGATTTGAGAGGTTTGCCAAACTAGAGGGGCTTATCGGGTTGGACGAACTTCCATTTTGACCCAGTCTATCCAATTCAGGCCGTTGTGATCGTGATTGCGGTTCTTCCACGGACGAAGTTTGTGTCTTAGGGGATGTAATGTTATTATTGGGTACAGGGTCCATCCTCTGTCCTGCTTGCGCTTCCGCTGTCGTCTCTATGGGGTGGGCTGAACCCTGAGGCTGACGAGGGCTTAGCCTGCTATTAGGTGACATTGACGCAAGTCTCTTTTCCAAACTGTCAGAATTGTCATGGCCCATGTCGAGACTGGTAATCGGTCCGAGTCAAATTGAAGAGGCCCAGTGTCTGTCGCATTTAACGCGCTCAGTACATTATTGTTGCCCCAGACATAAATTTGATTCAATCGCTACGACGACGACACCTTAGCGCACTCGACATCGATTGGAGTTATTGTTGGTGAAGTATATTCAGATATGTGTATAATGAACACGGTCATCCGGAGCTCCCGTTCATGGGGAAAGCGTGAATGATTGATATTTCTCAAATTGGGCGTGCTTGAGCTTCACACGGACCCGCCGCCGATCCTTGGCGCACCTCCCGTCCCGCGGAAGAAATCCGCGCCCGAAGAAGCTCTACCTATTTTATAAAGGATTCAGATGAATGTAGTGGTTTATTTTTACTATTAATCATGTCGTATGTATATTAACTAAGATTCCCTAATAAGCACCAATGTCGGCCCCAGCTCGAGCGAGGGTTTCATAAACTCTTGGTGGTAGTTTATATTTGACCATCCCAGAGAAAATCATCAAATCCTTTGCCATGGCCAACAACTCCTCAGCAAGGCCTTGTCTCATTTCGTTTTCGTAGGGCCCATTGCTCAATCGCTCACGTTCGCGGCCAATGCATGTGATGCTCCAGATTATCACATGTCCCACATTGCTGGAAATGAGAGATGGGAGGGATGAAAATGCTTGGGCGGCACTTCGAATGTAAGGTACAGATCCACTGGCCCGTAATGGCAGAATACCTAGTCCATTGATCGTCTAGGAGATCCAATGTTAGTTAACGAAGGAAGACAATGGGTGGGTTACCAGGTCGCGAACTTACGTCTAGGGCTGCTGTCCATTTCCCTGTCTCTACTTCTGTTTTCGCCTCCATCATGCGGAGTAGAAGGCCACATGCGTCGCGGTTCGATTGACGAATCCGCTGATAATATAAGGCGTTCCGGTTGTATAGACCGATCATATTTTTTGCGAGCACAACTGGGTCTTCCACGACAGTCAAACTCAGACTAGTTCCCGGTTCTACCGAGGCCCCTTGTTCCAAGTCTCGGCCGTCTGGCGGCAGGCTAGTGCGAGGCCGTAGAGGCTGCAATTTCAACGTCGGGCTTCCCAAGGGAACAGCCACAGAATCTGACAAGGTTCTGTCGATGATATCAATAACGCGATCGTAATCTTCGGCAAGATGATACAGGAGGACCGCGTCTGTTATTAGGCCTTTGTCTTCGGCGACGGCAGCTGCTTGAACAGTAATTGTTTTCAGGAACTCTTCTTGATCCACCAATTTAATCAGACTGATGCGTTGTTCAATCAGCCCTTTAATTCTGGTACCATCTGAGCGAATGTCGCCGAGTAGCTTTGCAAAGTCTCTCGTCTCTAGGATGTATTCCCGCAGCGCCTCGTGACACACGGAAGCCTGGGACTCACCCAAAGCCCCTGGAAGATCAGCGTTGAGGCAAAGAAGAGAGAAATAGTCGACGGCCGCTTCAACGTGTGCGGTACGGAACTCTTTTGTGTATTGAGTCAAGAGGTAGCCAAAATTGAGCTGCGGGTACTGCTTCACCGTGAATGATACTGGTAGGGTTAGCATATGTGAGTAATTAGGTGATAGAAGGTCGACCTACAAATTTCTTCTCCAGAGGTGTAAAAATCAGACACCCTCAGGAGGCCATAGTACGCGAGTGAAATGGCGAAGTGTACTGCACTGACAGGTGCATAAGACCCAAGATATGAAACCGCTTGCTCGAACATTCCTCCGAGGATCTGGAGGAGAAAGAAAGTTCCATAGCCAGGCCCTTCTTGGCCTTTTCCGAACATTCGTTGTCCTATCTCTGTGATATCCGTCTGGATGTCTTCTAGTCCGAAAACATCACCGGCAACCTCCTCAGCCCTGTCATCCTCTCTAGCTAAGCTGAATTGTAACCACATCCAGTCTTCGACGCTTTGATTAATCCCATCCAAGCGCCTGCGAACAAGGTCACAGCGCCCAATGATCTTATAACACGCCATTCGGTATGGGTCAATAGTGTTGTCAGGGGCGTTGCGGGACCGCTGCTGGTACTCCCCGTTGATTCTTTGCTGCATGTCTCTCGGCAGTCGTTTTCTTTGAGCATAAGTCGTCATATACGTCACAAATTTATGATCTAACGACCGAAAACCGGGGTCTTGGGTAACGTATTCTGCCGCTTCAGTAACAAATCCACATCGAAGAAGATAAAAAATAAGAATCCAGCAGTAATCATTCTCCACCATCTGTAACTCAGCTCCATCAGGAGCAAGGTCTCTCCGAGATTCTCTGAGGCGGATAAACGCCCGAACTTTGTTAATCACAGTGGGTATTCCACCAAGTTGCGCTTCGCGGGGGTTTTTGGCAATCGCTCCCTCGATATCATTGTAGAATGAATTCTCCAAAAACTTCCTTGAGCCTTCAATTATTTGTTTCCTAAGGCCAGCAGCCTGTTGCGACTTCGGCGCCTCGCTTAGATATTCTTCTGAGAATTGCCGCTCTTTTATTGTGCCAGGATCCGAAATACCTCTAACATCTGTAGGTTCCGCGGTAATGCTCATAAGGGCTTTGTATGCATCAAAAAGCTGACGAGGAACCTAATTGAGTTAGCTTTTAGAAACGCAGAGTCAACCAGGGGCGGATACTTACATCACCGCCGGCGTGTTCTTCAACTTCAGAAAATTCGTGGAGAACCGGAAAGCTACGCCCTTGAAGCCGTGCGGAGTTAAGTGACTGGACTTTATCCGCGTAATAGCCCATCTTTTCGCGCAAGAACCGAAGGTCCAAAGTATTCGAACCAGAGTCGTCGGTGCGCTCCATTGGATCTCCAAAAAGTTGATAGCTTGGTTTCCCAGTTCCCGGAGTGCCTATAACTGATTTATCCAAGCCTGATCGACCGAAGACGCTCCTGCGAGTAAGACCATGTGTAGATGCAGACCCAAATTTATTGGGCTGTTTGGTTGAGCGGCCAAATGATGGCCCTGAATCCCCCAACAGGTCATCCCTTTGTGATAAACCAAAGTGTTTGAAAATTCTATGTCGCTGCTCCTCCCAATCAAGGTCAACCCTTTCTTCCAAAAACAAGTCAAAATCCCTTTGGGCTCGGGCAAGGCTCTCTGCAACCATAACCTGACGACCTCGTTGCTGGATATTCCTCAAGTACTTCTGGTTGTCCGGATCAAAAACCTCCGATTCCTTCGATGAAAGTGAAATGGACGCTTGAGGTTCTAAAGCTTTCAAATCACGCAAAGCATGTCCTGGAGAGACACCTGACGCTGCAAGTAAATAATGTCTGTTTTTGAAAGTGATCAGTAAACAATAATATGTAGATCCAGTGTAATGTTTGCGTTCTTACGCTTTGCTACTGGGCGGATGGGTATCCTTCAAAGTCCCGGTGCCTAGTCCTCTTGCCTTTCGTCTGATATCATCAAGACCCAATTGTAGATTAGGCAGCTCCTCGAAATTACTATTCTGAGTGGCCGCAGAAGGCGGTCTCTTTTTACCGCGCTCCAATAGACTGTTGAAAAAAGCGGGTTGCGCTGCATGGGAAGAGGTATGCAAAGGCTGGGTGGTGCCAGCACTTGATTGACCCAATCCAAAAACGGACGATTGAGCAGGCTGTTGTTGGGCTTGGGGCTGTCCACCGAAGAGAGGGTTATGTGACGGTGTCTGAGTTGCCGAGGAGTTTCCGAAAATACTTTTGGGGTTCCCTTGGGACAATATACTGGAAGGTTGCGGCGCTTGTGACGACTGCGATGGCTGGTTTGCTACGCCCAAGCCGCCTGTACCGAAAATAGAGCTCGACGCGAAAGACATTTACGAGCCTGCAAAAATGACCGGACTCTAATGATTGAGTAGTGGTGATGTTTTGCTGTGTCCACTGCCCTTTGATCCCAAAAATCAGCTTGTATTAAAAGGATAACTTATTAATTTGGAGTTGGAATTTGGATGTTCATAAGGTTTAAAAGTGTATACTTACTCTGTCAGAAGCATTGGTTGTTTATTTATGGGTGCAAGTCTTGAGGATACGTCTCTTTTAGCTCCCCGTCTGAGTTTTTTTATTGTTTATGACAAGCTCCAGGTTGCGGAGTTACCTTGCTCTTCCAAACTTGCCGGAATTTCTATTCGCCGAGCCCTTTTTCTGAATCATTCAGCCGAGCATTCTTCCATTAAGTTATCACTGTGTCGGCACTCCATCTACTGTTGATCGATCTAAATTGGATGATTTCGAATTCGACATATTGACATATTGCCGTGACAATGCCGGCCTTTCAAGCCAAAACTTTTCGACGGGCAACCACTGCGTCCTCCACGCTGGGGGAAAAGCTTGGTGAGGTATATCGGGCTAGGCTTCCAAGGCATCCGTTTCTTCTTTTTGGTCTACCATTTATCATGATTATCGTGGCAGGGTCGTTTGCTTTAACTCCAGCCGCTGCTCTAAGGTATGAGAGGTACGACCGCAAAGTGAAACAATTAAGCCAAGAGGAAGCGATGGACCTAGGCCTTAGGGGGCCCGATGGGGAGGAGGGAATCAAAAGGAACCCACGCAGGAGAGTTCTTGGTGATGATCGGGAAGAGTATTATGTACGTGTTTAGCCCACTTTCCCCTTATTATTTCGAATTTGTCTTATTACATTTGCTTTTTCATGAGCTAATTTATCTTTCAATAGAGGCTTATGGCGAAAGACTTAGACAACTGGGAACAAAAACGCGTCCAAAGGTTCAAGGGTGAACCGGATGGGAGGCTGTGATCTGTGTTCAGCATGGCCTCGGCCGCGATATACCATCCCTGAAGTCGGAGGCAAGCTATTGAGGGAAATTTTCTTCTCAAAATAATAGTGGATTCGACGAAGAATAATATAAAACCACCAGTCGATAAGATTTGATGCTGGTCAGTTGTTGATTTCGTCACCGTGAGGCCGGTATGGTCTACCCATTGCCCAGGGTTTTCCCCGGGTGCGCTCGCCCATCCAAGCTTTAAGGGGTAGGTCTAACGTTGTGACTTCACTTAATACGGGCCAGTCATCATCCAGATAACTAGTCGATGCCACGGAGTGGCTGGCTCTATACGGACTCGTACCTAATCAACGCCGCCATATCCGACCCGTCAAGGAGCTCCAAACAAGACCTTTTACGTGAACCCTTTTGATGGTAAAATTTCTCGTCGCTGCCATGCATATTTGAAGTTTTAATATACTTAGATAATTATTATCACGGTCGATAAAGACTTCTGATTTGCCCTTCCTAATCTGTATATACCGGTGGGCACTCAGTTTATCTATCCTTCCATGCTCTCAAGCATCTGATGCGTAAGCGGATTTTGTCTGCCTCGACTTGAAATGGCTCGGAGGATATGTGGCTGCTGAACATGCACGGCTTTCAGTGGAGTACATGTGACATGCTATGTTTGCTTCTAGTCTTATGTTATATGGTGTGAAGGTCAACCGGTTTGTACCGAGGATGAAGCCGAGCTTCTAGGGTCCCTAAGTAGTAACAAAGACTATCATTTTTATTTAAGCCAGTTTCTCTGTTACTACATGCTCAACGAGCTGTTTCCTGAATGCGGCGAACGCCGTTTACTCCAGAAAATGGCCATGATGGCGAGACGAAAGGGCCAACCTGTAATGGCAGATCTCACGCAAGTGGCCGTTCCTGCGATCCAGACCGGCCGAATTGGCTGTGGCTCGCGACACCGAAGGTTTGCCGCCCCTCCGCCCATACGTCATTTCCAGCGATCAACTGCACGCCCCCGTTTTTTCCCTCAACCCAACTCTTCTTTGCTTCGACCTGCTCGAACAAGGATGATACTTGTGGGTCGACAATGATACTTCTTCGCAGTCCTTACTAGTCGAATCTCGACCCCCACCATCCTTCTGCGCACTCAATTGGTCCAAGAACTCAACTGGATCTGACCTTCTGTGATACTTGCAGTGGAAGCGACGATTCGTTGTGCTGAAGAGCCGGACTCCCGCCTGAAAACGAGGCATTCCATCCCCGTTTTTTTCACACACTTGAGGTGCATTGATTTGACGCCACATCGCGCTCTTCAGAACCAACCCCCATCCACACGTCCACAATATATATAATCTCTTAACCCTCTATCGGATCTGTCCCCTGTTTCCACAAAGTTCACGATACTTTTACCGATCGAGTGTTTTTGTTCGCCGCATCCGCCTTTCCTCCATGAGCGTCTCTACCCAATAGCTCAAGCCAGACCTGGTCCCCGAACCTCACTTCCTCGCTTCCATATCGGGCCAACTCCCTGGAATCCTGGTTATTATCGAAATGGCAAGCGAGTTGGAGGATTGATTTTATCCCTGATATAGTTATCGGGAGCAAGTTAGCAAGTTGAAGGGAGAACTTTTCCTTGTCAATACAAAGTTATGTCTGCAATGACAGGTCCCAGATCGCCAACGTCGCCGTGGCCCCAGGATCCTCAGACCTTTCCACTCCCCAATTCTTCTAGCCCCGCGACCTTTTTCCCGTTATCCGATCCTTGTTCATCCTCTTTCAACAAAAGCAGCCCTCGGGGAGTGGCAGCAGAACTGCCAGATTCCAACTATTTCTCGTTCAATGTGGAAAGCCAGAGCAACTTTATCAAGAATAGAGAGCATCTATCCCATCATTTCCCGAACGAAACCCCGGAAGGCAAAATTGTTTCCGGGAAAGATACGGTCGAGCGACATGGCTTTCCTTTTGGAGGAGGAAGTGCTGGGGCTTCTAACCCTGCGGTCTATAGACTTGCGTTGACTCGCCCGGTGGAGAAGGGCGATTTTAATTTGAGTGGTACAAATACTACTTCAGCACCAACCACAGGGACAACCGTCATCCCAGCTTCGATTGAGAAGTGCGCAGAGCTCATTGATTCGTGTCCCAGCGACCTGATGCTCCTGGATGTACGACCGTACGCACATTTTTCCAAGGGAAATATTAGGGGGGCTTTGAATCTCTGTATCCCGACAACCCTGCTCAAGCGCCCTTCATTCGATACTAAAAAATTAGCAAACACGTTTACCAATGAAGATGATCGGAATAACTTCGGTCGCTGGAAACAATGCCATTACATCATCGTTTACGATGCCTCCACATCTAATATGAAAGACGCGGCACCTCTGGCGAACGTGATAAAGAAGTTTGTGGCCGAGGGGTGGAATGGCGGTGGTATGGTTTTAATGGGCGGTTTCAAGGCTTTTTCATCTAAGTTCCCTACTCTCACCCATCAACAACGACGGGGACTCGATGCTCAGTCCGAGAATACTTCGCCAATTCATATCGGCCTTCCACAGTCTGCACCCGTTGCTGGTGGGTGCAACATACCGGAGTCATCTAACACAGCTATTCCATTTTTCGGGAACATTCGCCAACATATGGATCTCGTCGGGGGAGTTGGGCAAATTGCCTTGAAGCACCCGGAAAACCTATCCGAGTCACAAAGGCAATCCCTCCCACCATGGCTGCGTGAGGTATCGGAGTCTTCGGATCAAGGCCGAATTGCTGCTTCGAGATTCTTTGAAATTGAGAAAACCGAACTAGAACGTATGAAACAGGCTTTATCATACGATCAGAGCAAGGATTCTAGTTTGGATAGACCTTCTCCGAGATATCGTGTTGCGGGAATCGAGAAAGGCACGAAAAATCGGTATAATGATATTTATCCTTACGACCATTCTAGAGTGAAACTCCATGATATACCTCGCGGTGACTGTGACTATGTGAATGCGAGTTATATGAAAGCCGAATATAGTGATCGGCATTATATAGCAACTCAGGCTCCCGTGCCAGATACTTTTGATGTTAGTCCTACCATAATCCTCATGCCCTATGAAATTTTCTCTTGGGAATGAAGGGCCTTGACTGACAGATTATATATAGGATTTCTGGCGTGTTATCTGGGAGCAAGACATTCGCCTTGTCGTGTCTCTAACCGCAGAGATTGAAAGAGGGCAAGTCAAATGTCATCCCTTTTGGAAATCTGGGTCATATGGACCATTCCACGTGAACAATTTCTCTAAAAAATACATTCCGATGGAAGCGTCAAAACCACATGAAGCTGGAACTGAGGTAGAAGAGCCACCGGTGAATTCGACTGATGACCCAACTATTGTTGTCAGGCACTTTGGTCTATCACATTCCGGCTTCCCGTTTGAGCCCCTGCGTGAAATCACACAACTTCAGTACCCGGATTGGCCTGATTTTGGTACCACATCCCAGCCAAAACATCTACTAAATTTGATCGAACAGTGTGATAATATCCGGGCCGCTTCAGCTCGTGCTGCACCGGGCAACCCTAACAGGCCAGTTTTGGTGCACTGCAGTGCAGGATGTGGCCGCACTGGTACGTTTTGTACGGTTGATAGCGTTTTGGATGTGTTGAAACGCCAACGCGCCGAGCCGAACGGGCAGCACGAGGGTCGGTCCTTCGACCAGTTACTTGGCGGTGGACAGTTGGACCTTGTTGCGAAGACATTGTCCGAGTTTCGTACACAAAGACCAAGCGTGGTTCAAAACCTTAGTCAGTTTGTACTTTGTTATGAAAGCGTCTTAGAGTGGACCGTGGCCCAAATGCCGCGGACTCCGGGGTAGTCGAATGTACTGGTAGTTTTTCTTTCCTGTTCCAGCATATTGGTCAGATGTGTACGCATGAGTGAGTGCATTTGCGGGGCGTTTGGTGCGTCTCTTTTAGGGCCAACGGATCTAGATATCTCCAGGGGCTGGCGCTGGGCGGATTCTGTATAAAGAATACGACACTCACTTCCATTGGAACCTCCAGCGGCACTCGGTACTACTAGCTCGTCAGAAGCCCATTGAGTACAGTAGTTGTCACATAACTGGCGATGTTGCTGGGGCTCGCCGGGAGCTCCCGTTGGAATCGGAAGAGGTATGGGGCTGACGGCCTTCCGGGCAGTAGGTACCTAGGTAGGGAGCTGGTAGGCAGTGTCCACGGTGGATCGTGGCAGGCGCCCACATCCGCCGTTTAGGAGCCTATCGGAGGACACATCTTCACATCTTGAGAAACAATCTGAATTGTGCACCCTTGGGCACCTTATCTTGCCTAGGTTTTTACCTCCCACCCACTTCGGCGGTCCCAACTGCGTGCCTCTTACCCATCTTTAACCCAGGCAACAATCCAGTATTCGGCTGGTGCCTCTGTCGAGATACTGGGCTGTTGGGTCCATTTAAATACGACCGGTCCATCCACAACCTTACAAGGCACTCCTGGCCACAGAAGATAGAGGGCCTCCGCCAAATTATCAACAATCTCCTTGGCAGATGCCATAAATCACCCCAAAGTCCCTCGACTTTTCGCAGCTCTTGTTGACCATGCTTCTAGACTTCCCTCCAGAGCTTACCCAACTTATATTGTTGAATTGTACCACCCCCGCCTTTCTGCAGGCCGCCTTCACCTGTCGTATTCTCTATGAGATCGCATCCAGCTCTCGGGAAGTCCTTACCTATCATCTGCGACGGACCCCGGGCCCGCCTTTGGATACTTCGTCTCTCAGTACCAGCCAACTTTTCCGACTGCTAAAGTGCCGCGCTACCAAGCAACTGTATGGAAGCCAATTCGATGCGAGTTGCATAACATTCAAGTTCGGCGACCAAGCACCCAGCCTTAAAGCATCGTCATTTGTCTCGCACGGTGACAAGACTCTCATCTTAACCGCGTACTGCAATCAGGGAATTATCCCAATTCTCCAAGTAAGAGAGGGACAAGTCATACCACTCTCGCAGACGAAACTACCCCGGTTTCAACCGGGATCAGTTGAAATACTGAAGACAGCTTTTGGCGGCAGTGATTTGCTCTATGTGCTCCATAGGTTTATGCCTCACATAGAAGAACATGATTTTGATGAAGATCATCCGTTTGTGAAGCAGGCTAGGGAATCCGGTCGGAGTGGTCTCGTTTATCTCAGCTGCCATTCCCTGCGATTCCCAGAGGACCCAGTGAGAGTGACCACGTTCCCTGAACATGTGGACTTCGAGCCGTCAGCTTTGGCTGTGTCTATCAACGACGGGACATTTGCTATCTCATGGTGTCATCGCATATTGTCAGAGCACACAATTATCTTGTACACCATTAGTAACGAACCGGAGTATGATATTGCGCCTAGTATTATCGGTAAGCGTAAACTGGATTTGATATCTGTTCATCGCAATTGCAACGAATTGTGATATTTCTCTGAAAGCCCACATATGCTGACTATCGTTAGGATTCTCCTACTCCTCTCGACAGCTGCGGAAATGGTATGGCAATACGCGAGGCCCGTTGATCAGGGAAGTCACATTCAATGACAGATCAACCCAATTACTATATTACTATCAGGCAAAATCATCATATGCGTCATTCCAGAAGTTAGAAACTTCAGGGTCTCCAACCCTATACGAAAACTCGACTCTTGTCCACTATGCTAACGGCCTGAGTCTTCTCTTTTCAATAGAGATACCCTTTTTTGGAACGCATGAAACTAGTGATCATAACGGCTATGGGGTATGTCGGTGGAAATATCTGTCTCTCGGCATTGCCACACATCGCAAGGAAAATTGGACAGCTGCATGTCTCTTGAGGTCTCAAGCCACTTGTCGAAGTCTTAGATGTGGACATACCATGAACCTTGATCGTGGGCGACGCTTGACAGACTGGGATATTGTGGCACGTCTTTTGGGATTCCGGGACTCAACGGATTCACTGGGCTGTAAAATCGCCGCATCCAGCGAAGGGACACGGATTGCCGTTTCGAACTGGAACGTGGTCTACGTATGGGCGCTGGAGCCTGGCGTCCTAATTGACATGGATCCTGAGGGATATTATCATTCGTCGTGGCGGTCGCCGGGCACTGGGCAAATTGGGCTGCGTCCTGTTGTCCTGCATCTTGGTGCAGTTTGTTTCCAACTTCGTTTTACAGAAAAGGAGAATGAGTTAGTTGCTATTACCGATAGAGGTATCATGCTATGGGATCTCACTCAGTCCAAGAGAGGGACCCGAATATTCCAGGAACTGCACATCTAAGAACTCCCTGGCAACAGAGAAGTGAAGTCTTCGGCATGGAAAGCAATGGTCCTCGTTAAACATGCATGGAAGTTTGGTTTTGCATTCCGAGTTGCGCTCGGACTCGATATAAATATCTATTTAGTGGCTGGAAATTTGAGAAGTATAGGGAAATCGTAACTTGAGCCATACTGGTAGAACTGGAAATGCTGGCAGAAAAATTAGAGTTGTACTGCAATGGGTGTGAGACATGTAGAGGTCCTAAGCATTTATCACACGGACTTGGTCTCTGAACCACGCCTCTTCTATTGCGTCTGCCACAATCCCAGCAAATCCTAACCGCAGAGGGCTCATATGTACCAAACCACCACTGAGGGGAAATCTGGGATCTCACGACATAACTATTCCAAGACAATGTTGCCACTGAGAGGTGAAGATCCCCAGTTCAGATACTACTCCAGATATGATAGTATATTGCGAAAATAATGGGATATCATTCCAGCATTAAAAAGTAGCCGCGTAAAATTTTCATTGCTGTTCCCCGCCCCCGGACATGGCTAAGAATGTAACTATAAGGAGCACCCACCAATACCTGATTTGAAGGATATATGTAAGACCAGCCAGGAGGTGAAGTATGGAAAAAGCACTTACTTTTGAAACAAGGTCTTCTCGGGTTCTTCCTGCGGTTTCTTACCGTCTGGACCAACAACAATGGGGCGGTTGAGGTGTGGATGGGGGCCAAATTCATCTGTCACAAGTTCAAGTAGGAGGCTATCGGGTGAGGAGATAGATGCAGCTGCAGAGCTCAAGGAGACATGATATATTTCGTTTAACGGACTGATATGTAGGCGGAGGCGTGGTTTTTGTGCATCATTGGGCCCCAGCAAGGACGCAGCCGCGGTTGTGCCGACCCAGTGCTTCTGATTTGTGGGCGCCGTAACGTAAAAGCCTACGCGGACTGGGCTATTTGACAGGTCGGCGGGAGGGAAATAGTTGATTAGGTCCGACTTTAGCGATGCGGGATCGTATGAGATATGCGCAAGTACCGAAGGTTCGCTGCTGGAGATAGGCCAATACAGGATTTCCAACTGAGGAGAATAGGATGACAGAGAGGAGGAGAGAGAAATGAGAGAAAGAAAGATGATGAAAATCTTGGAGTTTTGAAACGAGTACATCGTGAGGAGACGCGTGCAAACTCGGACTCGCGGCTGGGTGATGATGAGTCTGGACATGGAGTCTTTGGACGACGACCGCCAAGACGGGCCGGGGATGTTAGGTACTTGCCTTTTCGGGAAAGGCGTATGACTTTTCATTCAGCTTCAACAATAATGTTTCATGACAAGCAACAACAACTACTCAGTAAATCCGGGATCAGGGCTTATTAGCCGACATTGGGCGCCTTTGCTCATCGGCTACCCTGGTATGAAGGATTGTCGTGAAGCTCTGGATGGACCCCGCACCACCGTTGCCATAGATAATGCGCAGTACTAATGTATATGGGTAAACCCTAGTATTAATAATAAAATAACAACAGTTAACTAATACTAATATCTATTTCTACTAGAGTTATCATTTTATTTTGCTTGTACTACTATATTTAACCTACTATTCTATAAAACTTACGGAGCAGTAAAGATGGCTATAATATATCGAAAGCTTATTATCTACGATAAGCATTCTATTATTCAATGTAGTAATACAAGGCATGAAGATCGAGTTCGAACATTGGCGGCGTTCAGTAGCAGACTCCGTCTGGCAAAACAATCAATATGAATACTTGGCCATGAACACCCGCTTCTTTTGGCGAATAATGGTTTTCTAGGTGTGGTTCTTTGTGTCCTCGCAATCAAATAGTGAATCTCGATAGGCTTGCTGCGCCCAACTGTCTATTTGGAACGGTACCTTACTGCGTAAACACAGCTGCCCCTCCTCCCGGCCAGGTTTCTCAAAGGCCTTCTTCGATTGTTTTGTCCTCCCTCTATAGAGCCCTTGAATTACTTCTTTCTATCGTTGGGCCTCTGGAAGGTCCATGAATTGCTTGCTTGACCTGCAACTAATTACATTACTAGCTTCGGCAAGTTTTCTAGGTAAATTAAATTGAACCAGCTGCAGGCTCCACTTATTGTTTGACCATGGCTTCTGTCGTCGTTCCCTTTCATCGACCTATCCACAAAACATCCAGGCAAGCCTCAAGAGATATGCGGGACGATATCCTCCTTCACATCGATCATTTTATCGGAATCGATGTCGGGACAGGTAGCGCCCGCGCCTGTATTATAGACGCGAAGGGAAAGATTGTTGGATTGGCCTCTGAAAATATTGGCCTTTGGCAGCCCCAGATTGGTTACTATGTGTGTAATTTGAACTAACCCGAACAAGGCTATCCTGGCTTCGCTGGAGGCATGCTAATAGAATCCGATTTAGGAACAATCTACAAGTGATATCTGGCGCTGCATCTGTGTTGCAACTCAGCGCGCTATCCGCCAGCATAACATTGACCCCGAAACTGTGCGCGGGATCGGGTTTGACGCAACCTGTTCCTTGGCCGTCCTCTCTAATGCAACCGACGAACCAGTATCCGTGACGGGACCTAATTTCGACAGTGACCGCAACGTTATCCTTTGGCTTGATCACAGGCCTATTACAGAAACTGAAAAAATCAACGCGACCAACCATAGCCTACTGCGATATGTTGGGGGGAAGATGTCCATTGAGATGGAGATCCCGAAGGTCATGTGGTTGAAAAATAACATGCCCAAGGAGCTCTTCGATGGCTGCAAATTTTACGATTTGGCCGATGCCTTGACGCACATCGCCACTGGTAATGAAAAGCGAAGCTACAGTAGTGTGGCTTGCAAACGGGGGTATGTCCCCGTTGGCGTGGATGGCACCGTGAAAGGCTGGCAAGAAGACTTTTTGACCCAAATTGGTCTGCATGACCTGATAGAGGATAATTTCAAGCGTATGGGTGGCGTCGACGAGGTTGTGAGCCTGTTTCTTTATATCTAAAATATTCCTCCGCCCTATCATCACTTTCTCTCAGCTTCGGTGTTCCTCTTGGACAAGGGAAACTAACATTGTTTTAGAATGGAGACTATCTTAGTGCGGGCGAGCTAGTTGGTACCTTGTGTGACAAAGCAGCTTCAGAATTGGGGTTACCTGCTGGAATAGCCATCGGTGGCGGCGTTATCGACGCCTATGCTGGTTGGATTGGCACTGTTGGCGCCAAAGTTGAGCTTGAGTCTCAACAACTGACCTCGGACGTTGCTAGAAATGACAAAACACAAATATTCTCGCGCCTAGCGGCTGTTGCTGGAACTTCAACATGCCATCTTGCCATGTCGCCCAATCCTGTTTTTGTCCCGGGGGTTTGGGGTCCGTACAGTGACACCATCATTCCCGGATACTGGATGGTCGAGGGCGGACAGTCTGCTACCGGAGAGCTACTTAAACATGTCATTGAGACGCACCCGGCCTTTAACCAAGCGGTCTCAGCTGCAGAATCCCACAACGCTAGCATTTATGAATATCTCAATGAACATCTAAGGGAGATGAAGAATGAACAAAATGCACCGAGCATCTCTTACCTCGCGCGCCATTTCTTCTTCTACGGTGATCTATGGGGAAACCGCTCCCCGATTGCCGATTCCAGAATGGTAGGCTCCGTTATTGGCCTCTCTAGGGACCAATCAGTGGAAAACCTCACCATATACTACTATGCCACTCTAGAATTCATCGCGTTGCAGACCAGGCAGATTGTCGAGACATTGAATAAATCGGGCCACAGCATCACTTCTATCTTTATGTCAGGATCTCAATGTCAAAATGATATTCTTGTTAAACTCATTGCATCGGCATGCAGTATGCCTGTTCTAATTCCACGGTATATCCATGCTGCTGTCTGCCACGGTGCAGCAATGCTCGGAGCCAAGGCGGCCAGTGCCGACCCCGAAGGCAGAACAGAGGAATTATGGAATATCATGGATCGAATGAGTAAGCCAGGAAGAAAGGTCATACCAACTGATGACGCGAACGAAAAGGCCCTACTCGAGGTTAAGTATAAGGTCTTCCTCGAGCAGTGCCACAAGCAACAAGCATATCGAGCCCTTGTCGATAAAGCCGTAAGTTCGTGGGGAACTGTTTAGGATTTAACGCACAGTAATGCATTTCGTTCAGTTGCCCTAGATGTTAGATGATTTGGGGGGGGGGGATTCTGGTTTCGTTATGTCTGTGGACATGGCCTCAAAATACATTTTTCTCGAGATGCTATTAATACAAAAGCCCTTTCTACACGGATTATAGGCGCTTTATATGTTCGAAGTAACAAGCGCAAAAAAGAAGAAGAAGAAGAAGCAAAAAAAAAGGCGGGAGGGTTTATATTCGATTAACTAGGTAGGACGCGTGAAGAAACATAAATATCCATAGTTAGCGTAAAGGGCATACTGAATATAGAGTACATCAGCCCCCTACGATCTCATGAAACTACACTTGTTAACAATTATGCTGCATCTAAGTACTACCCAAAATATCGATTGTGAAGGACACATAATACCCTCGCTCAATGCCTTCCACCTAAAGATTACACAGACAGAACATGCCTCCAGAAAGAGGAATCCCAAAGCTAAATAATCAGCACCCTAGAGGCCGGCAAGTGGGTGTGCAGCTAATAAGCAACGCCACGTTTCGGTCGGCCGATGGTATAGAATTTCTCGGACCTGTCCAAACCAATGGCCAAAGTGTTGAAGCGATCAACACCCATAGTGTCCATGTTGCTGTAACCAGAGAGAAAGAACCCTATTACGACAACAAGGTAAGTGAGGACGAGGATTGAGCCCTTGAAATAATTGCTCTTGCCTTCACCGTAAACGTAAGAAAGAAGAAAGACACAGAGGATGACTGTGATCATGTCCCACTGTGCAAAGATGAGGCTACCATAGGCATTAAATTAGCCAATTTCCATCCTCAATTTCAAGTTCATTGCGAAGATTTTAGTCACGTGAAAGCGAAGAAAATTAGGTATACTTACTTGAAAGAATGTGTAATCAAATTTTCCGGGTCAATGAAACGGCCATACGCGGCGCTGAACAAGACGAGGGCAGGTATTTGCAAGAGACAAACCTGCAGAGCATAGGCGGATCCAATCTCCATGGAAAGAGCAATATTCCCATTCATCGCGAATGAAATGGCATTCTATAAGCATCGTACATTGGTCAACAAATCAATCTCAAGTGTCTTAGTTGTACCAGGCGGGCTACATACCAGAAATTCGGTGGTGTTGGGAACCAGGGCGAATAGTGTGATCCCTAAAAATTTCTCATCGATGTCCACACTTTCCAGAACCACATCAACGGTGTTGACAAGAATCTCTGCAATAACAGCATAAAACACAGTGGCTACGAGCAGAATGACCGAACTTTTTGTCCTGCTCCAATTTGGGGCGTCATGCCCGCCGCTGACAGGACTTTGCTCAAGTCCAACATCGTCATGGTCTTCTAGGACTGGCTTGACTTGTTTCGAGGGTGCAATTTTACCTGCTGCCCGAGTTAATCCACGAGGGCCAGATAATTTGCGAGTGCGAGCAAGATCTCGAGCGGCAACAGTAGCAGCTGTGGCCGCAACTTCAGTTACTTTGCGAACAAGATTCTCGTCCTGCTTCTGGGAGAACCCCGTGTACCCCGCAAAGGCTGGTTTACTATCGTCTCGGGGTACAAGGTAAGGCATCGTATTATCACCATGCGAAGGACTGTATCCTGACAGATTTCCATCATATTCACCGGCGTTTTCGGCCAGCCCAACGTCTCTTAGGGATTGCCCAAGGATTCTTTTATATAGTTGTGAATCACGGACCGAATTTTTTGGCCCGGTGTTTCCGGTAGCAGCTACTAAATTAGATGTTGAAGAGAATTGATGTCTTGGATCATCGATGCTTTGTTCTTGCGTTTTCTTCTCTTCCGTCTCTGTAGCCCAAATCAGGGCAGCGTGTGTCCTTAGGGTAAACCATAGCCCAATAACATAGGACAGGAATAAGAATATGGCAGCTATCCATGAGTATGGTTGAACGGCTTTCTGAAAGAAGCCATCGTTGATAGCTGGGACTTGAGAGAAGTAACAGCGACGGCAATCACTGCTGCCGGGTTCCATATCGCTATCACACGCGTGACAGTTGAGCTCATGCTAGACGCCAAATGTTAGAAACATGTACTGTTAAAGAAGCATTACGTGATAAACTTACGCTACCATACACTTGGTAGAACAATGTTGGGCCGAAGGCCGCGATCACTGCAAATAACAACATGGTTGATGTAACCCCAGCCGACTTGACGTTGAAGCGTTGAGTTTTGCGTTTGATAGCACCGAAGCACATAGACAATCCAGGTAAGAACAGGATACCAGCAAAAATACTACCGATGATACTCCCTTCGACGAGTCGCCCTTTACCCTCAGTCAAAGCAACACAATAAAGATAAACCTCGACCACAGTAGAGAAGAACGCGTTCACAGCGGCGCCCATGCCCATTGACGACTGCGCAGATATAGACGCAACGGCTTGGCCAATGAAGTAGGCCAAAGGGATAACGGAGAGCAAAGCAAGCGTGAATATTAAACCCGGGTGGGTGATCCAAATTTTGAGCCCCAAGGCCTCATATAGAAAGAAGTAGTCAAAAACGACAAATGCGACAACGGCGAGGAGGTTGATGAGAAAGACATTCGTGCCACCAACTGTGTACTTCCAATACCTTAAACCAGCTGCACGATAGGTACAAAGGAGGATGGATGTCGAAGATCCGGGGCTTATTCGCGTGAACGTTGTATCAGAATGGTAAGACAAAGCTAGAGGGTGTCTGCGAAGGTGGTCGAATAGTATGAGCGTCACGCGGCCCATTGGGATCCAAAAAACAAACAGCCAGCATACGAGCGAGACAAAGAGCATCAGTGGCCCTACGAGGAAGTAAAAGAATATGAAGAACACAACACGACCCAGCGTCCACTCCCCACGGCCAAACAATCGCCGTTTGGGGCGGAGAGAGCTGTCCTCTGAGCGGCCCCTTGGGGCGCGGCCCAAAAGACTGTCTTGCTCACCAGCTGAGTCGACACTGTTCCTTCTTCTTCCCACAAGGGATCGATTGCGTCGTGGACCAAAGAACAAACCACCATGCTCAAGGTCGCCATTTTGCCACTGCTCATATTCACTAATGCTGCGGCCCTCCCCCTCATCCTCTTCCGCGTAGTGTTCATCCGTATCGAGACGGACGAAGGACCCGAAAGGGTAGAACAAATACCAGGAAAGACCAGCAAAGGCTTTTCCATATTCCATCGCGCTCGAGAAATATGAGAACATAAAACAGGCAACAGCGCCCATCAGTGCAGCTATTGCGAGCCACCAGCCAAAGAATAACGTCCACAAGAGATTCATAAAAAATAAAAGGGTGCCAACCTGACCCCCGGGTGACGAATGGATATCGCCTTCTGCAGTCTTCTCTACTGAGCGACTCTTCTTGTATAAAGCCGGCTTCCATAGCCTGATTCCGAATGGATGGGTTTCATTTATAGCCTGCTGGCGATCCTTCAAAGTGAAGCTTTCCGCGTCACTCGCTTCATCATCATCCTCATCATCATCATCATCATCGCCATTACTTCCTTTACTAATATCGTCCCCCTCATCGGAGACTTGGGAAGAGGGTTCTTTCCCAATTGCCCCCAAGCTTGGCTCCGGGAGACCAGAGTTATTATCGTCACTGTCTCCACGATCATCATCATTACTTGGAGTCGTAATTGGGTTGGCTCGGGAATTGAGCCTTCGTCTTAAAGTTGAGCTCTGTTTCCGCAGTGGCCGAATCCTAGGCGAAGGCTGGGGGTTGGACGCCTGTTGAAAGGCAATATCTTCCTCAATCTCGTGGACATCGTCGTCGGTAGAGAACTCTTGGCCTTTATGAGGTACATGGCGTTTAGATGACATACGACGCGTCACTGGCGGTTTCCTCAACCTGTCTGGATCAGGCTGGAGAGGTCCGATGGAAGGGGAGGCAGGAGCAGGGACGCGACTCGAGCTTTCGGGTGGCGTTTCGGTGGATTGAAATTCAACGACAGGTCTCGCAGAAGGATCCAAGGTACCTGTAAATGCCATATTATAAGTTAATTTCCCTCGAAAGAGGTATCAACGACAAGTACATACCGTAGCTCCGGTTTTGAGTGGTCATTTTGGACTGACGCACCGTTCCTGATGGCATACTATCTTCCCCAGGCACACTCAAGGTATGATGCGAAGAAGAATGGGACGGAGAAGATTGGGAAATGGCTCGCCCATCGACTTTTCTATCAGCCATAATTACTCCGTATTCTCTAACTCACTCATGAGCCGGAGGCAAGTGGTAGTTAAACAGCGGTGGCTGGGAAGCTAAACACAGAAACACGTAGAAAAGGGAGGAGGACGAAGACAAAGTGGCCTGCACTTTATTGATAAATAAATATAATTATTGGGCTCCCAAACCACATTATTGGGTAGGGACTGAAAATGAGACGGCGACACAACTTGAAGGGAGGCTTGTTGAGTTCAAATTTTTGTACACAGGCATAAGCACCAAGAATGGGATCAGACGATAAGGCGTCATTCCCCGCAGTAGGGAGTCATCTGAAAGTTTGGAAGAGAACAGGTCCCACGTACAAAACCGTCACAGGTAAAATGGAAGTCAAATGGACAATAAGCTTGAAAATGGCGGGATACCAGGATATCCTAAGAATATTATCCCCCGTCGCAGTCCGGTCCAAGCAGCCGTTCAGGCATCAGGATTACGGATACAGGATTCAACCCTCCTATTCAAGCCACCGCGTCCGATAAGTACTCATTTTAAAAGTTTCTTCTATCTTTCAGATAGGGCTAGTCTGAATTCGAATATATCTCGTCGATGTAAAGTCGTAGTTATACGTAGCTTTACGGAGTACTTCGAGAAGAAACATGAATGCCGATCATCTATAGTCAGTTGGAGTTGTCGAGTACCTAAGGGCAGCGGCTATGATTAAACTAGACACTTGATACGCACGTTACAAAGAGCGCCTTCTGTTTTCGACAGCTCCATGATGGCTAATCATTGATCAGACATCCCAGATGCAACAATCCAAAGAAAACTTAGCCAAACAACTTTCGTGTAAATGATGCCACGTGACAGTGATAGCTCTAGTTAAAGCGGCGATGATGACAATGGTGAGCAGACACCGCCCGGAGCTGTACCTGCTTGGTGAGTGACCTCTTGCCCATCAAGACTCTCGATTCCGCCTACCTTTCTATTTTGTTTCCCGAAGAAATATTTTCTTTTCCTTCTTATTTTCCGCCAAGCACGATAAATCACTTTCCCTTCTTTGCAGTTCGCGGTGTTTGGGATATCCCACTGGGCTGTGGAAGGCATCCTCTCGACGCTTATCCCGAAGAGCTTCATCCATTATGGCGCTCGACAACTACTACCGCAATAAAATTGAGAGCATGAAGCTCGAAATAATTCAAGGGCAGGCGGTACTACGAAGACTTGAAGCGCAACGTAATGACTATAATTCGCGAGTGCGCCTACTGCGGGAAGAGCTCGGCCTACTCCAACAGCCCGGCTCTTATGTCGGAGAGGTTGTGAAAGTCATGAGCACAAAGAAGGTCCTAGTGAAAGTACACCCGGAGGGCAAATATGGTGAGACCGCTTTCTTGATGCATCGTTTTGTCACTACGATGGTTCGGAATGTTGTTACTGACGAGTTCTTTGCTTAGTTGTCGATATTGCGGATGGCGTCGACATCGGCAAACTGACTGTCGGCAAGCGTGTCGCCTTGCTTTCCGATTCTTACAAACTTGAGAAGATGCTACCCTCGTCCGTGGATCCGTTGGTTTCGCTCATGATGGTTGAGAAAGTCCCTGACAGCACATATGACATGATTGGCGGTCTTGATCAACAGATTAAGGAAATCAAGGAAGTTATTGAACTTGGCTTGAAACATCCCGAGCTATTTGAATCTCTAGGAATTGCACAACCTAAAGGAGTTCTTCTTTACGGGCCGCCGGGAACCGGCAAAACACTCCTCGCTCGAGCCGTCGCTCACCATACGGACTGCAGGTTCATCCGTGTTAGCGGATCAGAACTCGTGCAGAAGTATATTGGTGAAGGTAGTCGTATGGTCCGTGAGCTATTCGTTATGGCTCGAGAGCATGCGCCGAGTATCATTTTCATGGACGAAATCGACAGCATTGGGTCCAGCCGTATCGACTCCGCGGGCTCGGGTGACTCGGAAGTCCAGCGCACCATGCTTGAACTTCTCAACCAATTGGATGGTTTCGAGCCGACCAAAAACATCAAAATCATCATGGCTACTAATCGACTTGATATTTTGGATCCAGCGTTGCTGCGTCCTGGAAGAATCGATAGAAAGATCGAGTTCCCACCACCATCGTAAGGCCCTCCGTTCATTTCTGATTGCTGTACTTGTGGCTGTGTCATTTGGTCACTGACTTTGTATTCGAATAGCGTCGAAGCTCGTGCGGATATTCTACGTATTCACTCTCGGTCAATGAATTTGACGCGTGGGATTAATCTCACGAAAATTGCAGAAAAAATGAACGGATGCTCTGGGGCCGAATTGAAGGGTGTATGTACTGAGGCGGGTATGTACGCACTACGAGAGCGGCGAGTCCATGTCACCCAAGAGGACTTTGACCTCGCCACAGCCAAGATTCTCAACAAGCATGATGACAAGGAAGTGGCGGTCTCTAAGTTGTTCAAGTAGTTTTCAAAGAAAAAGAATCGGAAGGCAAGCAATCTACGACTTTTAACAATACCAATACTACCTACCTACTATTATTCCCTTAATTTAGCATAGCCGTACATACGGGGTACAATCACTGGTCCACAGTCTGCTGCTAAGAGGATCCCGACAGCCTTCCGTGATTATAGAGACGCGGCGCTGGTTACACGCCGACAAAACCTCCCTCAGGCGAAGTCTGATTTGGATTTCTCTTCGGTAAGTACAGATAATAAGTAGACCAACAAGTGCACGATGAAAATTGGTGGCCGAGCGACGGAGGTGGCAAGACCAACAGGTCATCGTAAGTAAATGAAAGCGAGATGATGCCACTTGGTAAGGGGTGAACGCGAACGGGGGTACTTGGCACTATGGGATCTACAGCGAACGAGCATTTTATTGCAGGGCTGAGTAAGTGAAGGAATTGACTGAGTTATCTTGTCAAGGAGGCCACTATTTGAAGCAACATAGGGAGTATAACCGTACACGAAATTGATTGAGAGCAGTGTGCTCCTCTGTAGATACCTTCACTCACCCAGCCTCCAGGTCATTTTTGGTCTTTACTTAAGTTTTTTTACACATACTTGTTAAGCAACAAGCGCGGGTACAAATCAAGCATATGTTGGTGAAAGGGCGTATATGTTACAGACCTGGTGTTGGTCTGGCTAGGTGACAAGATACGTAATTGCCTTGGCAAAATAACCATATGCAACATGGGTTGGATTATACTATGAAGCCCAGGCATGCCAGAGACCTAACATACGATAACACTGGCGGAAGCTCTGCAGTTTGCTAACTATTGATTGTTAAGGTTCACATCAACTTGATCTGCAAGGGGGAAGCCGCCATCACTAAGTTATCTTTGCACTCTCTCTCCTTCTGCGGTTCTCTGCTCTGGTATGGCTTATCTTCCAGAACATCACCTGTTGAAGCTCAGGCTGAGGATTGCGTCAAACTTTATTGTGCTATCCTTATTCTGACCTGGGCATCTCTTCAATAATATTGAAAGCCTCAGTCCATGGCCTTTTTTTTTTTTTTCCCTCGGCAAATGGCAAGACTCCAGAGTCCAGAAAACCAATTGGTCCGGATGATCTCCAGTTGACGCGGTGTGAGCAGGAGTTGCAGGACCGCGTGACCAGCGATCCTTCTGTGGTTGACTTTTAGTCGCTTTTTATATTCAGGGCCTCGGCTTGGGTGGGGGCGAGCCCAGATCGGATGACTTCTGGGTGGACCCAGCTGGCGGAACTGGTAGCTTTGACTGATTGACTCTCTCCTCTCTCCCAAAGTCGACTCGCCTCTTTGCCCCATTTGCGGTGCACCGCAAGGAGATATGGATCCTGCCATGCTCTCTGTAGGGAGTCTGTACGGAGTCCGATGTAGCGAGATACCTATGCAGATGAGATGGCAAACCACTCATCATACATACCAAGAGAGACTAGTTACCGAGTGGGAAGAATCCTGCACTTTAGAGTAAGATGATCATCCTACGTGTAACTGTCCTGCCCCAACATTAATACTCCAGACGGAGAAATAATACGTAGTATGATTAATACCCCCCTCTAATACCTGACTTGTCGTCCGGTGAAGCTTTTCGGCACGCCTTGTTCTATAAGGTTCATCCATCCCCGACTCCCCCGTTTTGCTCTTCATCTCGGCTTCTTTTATTGATCTGGATACTCCGTATCTCTTCCCCAGAATCGCATCCACCACAATTCTTCGTCTATTAGACTGCCGGGCCACGCTAACTCTCCGCTTCGTATATGTTTACTCTGTACCTATAGTTAATCAGTGTCGACAGTGATACACAGTACAGGTAACGGGTCACACTCCTCCGTGCTCCACTCTATACTTGCTCCTTCGACTTCGCATTATTGGACCTGGCGTCCACATTGTGTCTCTTGACTCTCTTCCCCTCTCACCAACGAAGCTTACCAACTTGGCCTTCGCTTTCTTGAATATACTTTCAATAACCTAACGCCCATCGAGTCAATCCTTTTGGCACTCTCCCCACATCGCCATTGTTAACTGTTGTTTCCATTGCTGGGTCCTGCCTTGAAATTGAAGCATTCATTTGGACCTCTCCCACTCTCAATTCTCCACCAACTCGCGGATTCTTAATACTACAACTCCGTACGTACTACATTTGTACGGTGTAGCATGTCCGAAGCAGAGTTATGGACCAGCCTTGTCACTACTATCGATCCTGATAACACAAAGAACATGTCAGCTGTTCTACAATCCACAATCAACCTCCTTGAGACCGAACTGGTCAAAGCCAGAGCTGCCCTCCAGGAAATTCAACCCAACTCTACCTCGATGATTGTACATGGCGAGGAATTAGCTGTTGGGGCCATAGCTGCCTATCGCCAGAATCTCATTGGCCGTGCTTCCGATTTCTTCTACGGCACCCGTCGCTTGACACCCAAGGAGCTGAAACTCGTTCCTGTCGTCCACGAAGTCGAGCTTATCGACGACGAGGAAAGCGCCAAGGAGCAGTGCGGAACCATAGTAGCCGATGCTACTTTGAAGGCAGCATCTCTTGAAGATGTTTTGGGGAATGGCTTGATCCTTGATCACTTGGTGCCTTACCTTTCCCCGGGCTCTCTTCTGGCCCTGTCGGCCACCTCGCGTTTTATGCACTCTCTGATCCAAGAGACACCGTACATCTTTCGTCATCTTGATCTATCCAATTGCCGTGGCGCGCAATTGGTCGACCAATCGCCAATCGACCCTGGAGGCCAGTTGTGGCGGACCGAGCGGATGAACGAGTCGCTATCCGAAGATGAATTCTATTCAGGCCCTCTAAGAGGCATCTTTGCTAATTTGGACCGCAGATCCATCTTGCACGGTGTACGAACCTTGGTCTTGGATGGCTTGTCGGTTCCAGCAGACCTGGTCTCGGACATAATTTTGTCGGATAGTTTCAATCTAAACCTACTTTCAATAAGGGGGTGTCGACACTTGAATGAGCGGAAACTCATGCAGGTCCTTAACTATGCAGTGCGACCTACGCGGCCAGTCGGAACACCCCGTGTGAAAGGTATTTACTATTTCACTCCTATGGATCGCCCTCAAAACGCAGTCCGGAGTAGATATCGAGACTGGTGGAGCTCTCAGTGCGTTGGCCAACTCACTTCAGCGGATATGATGCGTACCAGGAACCAGGGAGAAGACCTGAGCCAAAATGCCTGGTATTGCCCGTCAGGTAAACTGCTTAAACACCATATTGAGGAAGGCTGGTCACAGACTCTCCAGAGGTGCGATGGAATTATTGCCTTTGATGCTACCATGTGTCGCGGTCCTCGTCACGACATCGGCTTCTACGCGACGGAATCCCGCAATGCTGGCGAGCCACGGCCAGAAACACGGCTTCTTGGGCCAGCTATTGCAACGGTTGCCCTAGGTCCTAGAGGATGCGATGGTTGTCACACGTCTGAAGAAGGTCCGGCTATCTGGGGCCAATCTCCAAGCGAATACCTTCCCCTCCTCACACCACCACCACTCCATTCGTCTTCTTTGGCTGCAGCAAGGCGCCCAGCACTATTACCGGGTGAACATCCCGTTTTGATATCCCGCTGTACGGACTGTCTCACCAATCGGTGGTGCCATCGTTGTAACAAGTGGTTCTGCAGCAGCTGTCTTCCCAACCCAGAGCATGTGAGAAACAGCCTGACACCTCATCAAACAGCTGTGAGAGGACCCCGTAGTGAAAACGAAAGACTTCGTCCTGGCGTAACCAAGGACTGCTGGGAGTGTGGGCCAACGGTAAGTTAAATCTAAATGCTAGTTATTCCGTGAGCTTCGGCTGATAACCCGTAAAGTGCGCTGCATGCAAATTGGAATGCCAACGAAGCTGCCAAGTATGTCAAGGAGACTATTGTATTGATCACAACGAGGGCTGCTCTTCAACTATGGTATGGACGCTCGTCTACCTTCCTGGTGACCGTGTATGACTGACTTTTTGCAGTGTGACTGGTGCAACACCAGCACTCGGCATCGAGTACGCGAACTCTACTAAGCGTTTACTCTCTATATACGTTCAACATTTAGATACATTTTGGTCAAGCAGGTGTCAGTCAGAGTATATGTAGGAGAGAAGACCTGTCCTCTTTTGTGAGTAGGTGGGTTTACATAATATTGATACCATGTTGTAGATTCAATGGCGTTATTTTGCCCTAAAGATCCGCTTGGTCACAGGCAATGTTGTTGTCTAAGATGAGAAGAATCCCAGCTCCTGTCAGTTGTCCAAAACGTTGCAGTCAAAGGCGCCTCATAGCCTCGTAAATAATGAATCATAGTGGCCCAAGTCAACTACTAGTTAACGACTTCGTACCGTAGGCGTGATCGGATTCGGATGACAAATCTAAGGCGGCATCTTCCAGACACTTCCCGTCGGATGCAACGAGGTCCAAATTCATTTCGGTTCTACCTCCAACGTTCGCTGAGGATGGATTACTACATCTCTGATTCAAGTTCCCGGCTAACTTTCACTCACACAATCTAACAAAGTTATGGCTAGGGAACAGAATCTGCTTCGCTGGTCGTCACAGTTCTCTGTTATTCCGTCTCAACACACGCCGAGACTGCCTGGAGATAAGATTGTTCTTCCGCAGTCCGCCCTTGAGCAGCTCCTCGCTGCTGCCCCGCTTCAACAGCTATCGTCAGAGAATCCATCTCGCTCGTATACAAGGTCTTTTGACCCATTCAATCCACATACTTTCGCCGCCGAGGCCCAATCCCGTGAATATGGTGTCGACCGACAGCACCAACTACCCCATCCGCTAACATTCCGTCTTGTTAACCCCCAAAATGGCCGAGTAATGTACGCCGGAATTCGCGAGTTCTCTGCACGGGAGAATCAGATCGGCCTTAGTGCTTTATTACGTGAAGCGCTCGAAATTGATGATTACGAGATTACGTCCAAGGGGGACCCTGAACGCGATGCTCCTATAATCACTGTTCACGTCAGGCCATTGCCCAAGGGTACTTACGTTCGCTTGCGGCCACTCGAAGCTGGCTATGATCCGGAAGACTGGAAAGCCCTACTAGAACGCCATCTACGCGAAAATTACACCACGTTAACAATGGGGGAGGTTCTGACCTTACCAGGGAGCCGGGAAGATTCATTTAGATTTTTGGCCGACAGGGTAGAGCCCGAAGGCGAGGGTATCTGTGTTGTGGACACCGATTTGGAAGTGGACATTGTTGCGTTAAACGAAGATCAAGCCCGGGAGACGTTACGGAGACGGCTGACCAAGGCCTCTCATGCGCTTGGTACTAAGGGAGACACATCAGTCGGCAGGATGCTTGATCTGGGAACAGAAATCACAGGGCAGGTGCTCCCGGGCGAGTATGTGGATTATGAGCTGCGGAAATGGGATGATGGAAGCACCATAGAGATCAACCTTAATAGCGAAGATGACGTGGGTATTTCCTTGCTCGTGAGCCCGTTTTCTGCTCGCCAAAGAAACCGTCCGCGAGAGGATGAGTTTGTCTTTGGCGAGTTGTCAGGCCAGGCACAGAAACAAATCAGCATTGCATCAACCAATGTGGAATTGGAAGGGGCTGAAGCATTGTATATATCGGTACATGCATTTGCGTCCAATCATCTCAGCCAACAAGTTGCGCCGCCTCCATCGTTACCATTACCTTATAGTCTGCAAATTTTATCTAGTACTTCGGCTGCGAAACTTTCAGGCGCTCCCACTGTTGATTCAGATGCGCATGATCCGGATGATGTCCAATGCAAAAACTGTCTACAGTGGGTTTCTCAGAAAACGTTTGTTTTACATGAGAACTTTTGTTCTCGGAACAACATACTCTGTATCCAATGCAACAATGTGTATCACAAACGTTCTCCAGAATGGCAGAATCACTGGCATTGCCCCCATGACGCTTCATACGGTAACGATCCGACCAGCCTGCATAAACATGACACAATATTCCACTCGAAGCAATCTTGTCGTGCTTGTGGATTTGACGCAGATGGACTCCAGCATCTTGCGCAACATCGAACAACGGCCTGCCCGGCAAAACCTATCTTGTGTCAGTTCTGTCATCTGGTAGTTCCGCAGAAAAGCGAGTCCGACCCAGATATCTATGACCCCGAGGTACTGCTCTCCGGCCTCACCCCGCACGAACTGGTAGATGGTGGCCGGACTACCGAATGCCACCTCTGCAACAAGATCGTCCGGCTGCGCGATATGAAAACGCACCTCCGCCACCACGACTTAAACCGCCGCTCCCGGCCAACTCCTCAGGTATGCCTGAACCAGAACTGTGGGCGTACACTTGACGGCCGTGGAGCACAAAGTACAATAGTACCAGGGGCCGACACCTTAGGCCTCTGCAGCATTTGTTTTGGGCCTCTCTATGTCGACACCTATGATCCGGAAGGTAAAGCCCTCCGTCGCCGCATCGAGCGCCGTTATCTCTCCCAAATAATGAGCGGATGCAGCAAACCCTGGTGCCAGAATGAATATTGTAAGACGGGGAAGCAAAATCGACAACCAGCCTCCGACGCACCTGAGTCGATGGGTGCGGCCGCTATCCTGAACCTTGTGCGACCTATAATTGACGGCGCCGATTTGCAGGGCACGGGACCGCACACCGCACCCTTTTACCTCTGCACTGATCAATCGAGCCAGCAACGCCGTGGTATTGCGGATATGCTTGCTGCTGAAGACCATGGGTCAGCTGGTGGGAGGACATACAGTTTACCCTGGTGCGTTGCTGCCGTTGAAACCGTGGGGGGTGATGCTGATAAAGCACGGGAGTGGCTGGAAAACTGGGCTCCTGCTCGAGAGGAGGGAGCTCTAGGTCTCTAAGCATAGAATTCCTATACTATTATAACAAATCTTAGACGCAAGATTGATTTTTGGGTTGTCTTATTGATTGCGATATCGAAATACATTTCTGAACGCCCATATCTGACCAGCGCAATAGTAAATGTCCGTGAGCTCGTAATATTCATACCTCAGTTATCAAAAAAAAAAAAAAAAAAAAAAAAAAAAAAAGACCCAAGCTTCTCGCTCACCGCTCTAGGAACGACACGTCATTACACCAGATACATATGTGAGAGTCCTTTAAAGGCAAACTGTGGTTCTTTTCAAACACTCAATCCCGCTGGCTTTAATGAAAAATAGGCGGCGGATGGGGCTGAACAGGTAGAAAGCTGAAGAAATTAAGCCGCACCCGTCTTCGCCGCAAGCGTCCCACTACCCCTCGACGAAAAGATTCCCATGATGCCAAATACCACATAAAACAGTGCCAACGGATAGGCCACCAACCCTCTCATTCCACTCATTCTCGCCACGGCACAAAACATCCCAGACGAAGAATATGTGCACCACCCCACCGCCGCCGTCGTAAGCAGGTACCCAAACATCGTGTCCATGGGTACAAGGATTCCCAAAAGACTTGTTAGCACAAGTGGGAGGAAACAGTATCCCAGGACACTTGCGGATCGTGGGAAAGTCAACGTAGCAGAGAAGTGTCCGGAGGAGTCGGGTTTCGCGTGTGGATCATAGTTCGAGGATGGGTCTGCGGCATTTGGCACCTGAGTTGGTGAGGTGGGATCAACGGGGGACATGAGGCTAAGGATGAGGTGAAGGGCGACGGTGCCGAAAACAGCAACACCGTAAATATATCCATAGAATACCTTGCCTGAAAGAAGTAGAAAGGTACCGTATAGGACGATATAGAGCAGGGCGCCGTAGAGATCGCTGTCGTCCATGAGGTGTTGGTCAATACGAGCAAAAGGGTTAAGGACCGTCAATGTCTACATAGTCAGAGAAAACCAAATCGATTAGCCCATAATATTCCAACATATAAGGGAAATATGGCGGGGGTTATTTACCTTGGTACGGATGTGCGCGAAATTAACCCCCAGCTCCTCCAATAGCGGCGGTTCGCCATCGTAGCCCTCAGTCCCGAATGCAGCAAGCCATCCTGTCCGTAAGCCGCCCTGCTCACCCATTCTTCCGCTGACACCAGCGGTTGGTGACCCGAAACCGCCATAACCTCCCCCGACCCCTCCAACGGGGTATCCTTGGGCTGCTGGGTTTGGCGGTGAGCCAAATCCTCCGTATGATGCTTGAGACGGGGTTGTATGGCCTGATACAGACGAATAGGTAGAAGGGTAGAATTGGAGGTTTTGTGCCGAAGACTGAGCTCCGTAGGACTGTTGTTGTGGATAATACTGCGCCATGGCGGTTGGAATCTGTGCCGGGATTAGGATAAGAATCACTCGCAGGATAAAGGGCTGCTAAAAGAGCTGAGTCCGCCAATGACTTCAAGTTATACAAGTGTCTCAGGAATATTTGAAATATGAGGGTTTGCGGTTGATATTGTACAGAACACCTGTCGGCGGTGAGGGAAGACTAACTTCACCAGCTAACTAGCGAAATACGTAGTTAGTTAACTAACTAGTTAGGTCCAAGTATGGGCTTAGTCATCACCGTGTCAGGAACGGTAGTTAGCCAAGTTAGTTACTTAGATCTGGGAATCGTGTGCGGTTCATATATATATATATATATTAAACTAACGCTGAATAATGGTAAACATACGGAAAGAATTCTATACTTCAAAAAGCGCAACAACAGGCATGTTTTACAAAAAGTTAATGCCGATCCCAAGTTGCAACCCCTTCCTGCCTTCCTCGCCTTTGCGTAACACTAGTGGGAGGGAGACGTTGAGTTCAAACCTGGCGGCTGGGTGTGCATAGATGAGCCCGACTCCGGCTGCGATGCTCGGCAAGCCGTTACCAAGTTCAGAGATAGTGGATGACATAGCGTCTTTGACTTCCGTGCCAGAAGCAGGTGAAGTCTTCTGTGCCGTTCGCAGAGGCAGTAATCGCCCTCCGTTCACAAACGCCTGTAACCGGAAAGGTTTCTCAGCGCCCACTCGTGGAAGTGGGAGGAGGAGATTCGCACTGCCAGCCGCATACACATCACCACCAACAGCATCTGCACCATCGTGAGGCCCGAGGCCAGAGAGGCGGAAACCTCGAACGTCTGTAGGGCCACCTAGCTGGAAGCGGTCATTAATGCGAGAAAGACGCGGTCGCGAGTCGGAGTCAAGCCCAAGTGGATAAAGAAGACCAGCACGGATACCCGTGGTAAAGCTTACCCCGCTATCTCCCTTGATGCCCGGAATAGGGATTGGGATAGCGCTTTGCGTTTCGATCTCAGATTTCCAGAAAGCAACATCACCTTTCATTGGTCCCCAACCAGCCAGCTCATTGAATGTCCTTGCGTAGTAGCCTCGAGAAGGGAGAAATGGGTTGTCTCGACGATCTGCTGTCCAACTATGGAAAAGGCTACTCTTCACGCTATCGCCTGCGTCGGCTCGGACCGTCGGAGACGCATTTTCTGCAAGGCCAGTGACTTGTCTCCAAAAGCCATTGTAGCCAAGTTCATGACGGTGACCGGACCGGTTCAGCCACCGAAGCTTACCCCAGCCACCCTTCAACACTTCTTCGTGGCTCGCCCAGGACTTTTGTGTTGCGCTTGCAATTCCGCCAAGTTCCAAACGAAAGTCTGGATCGCTAAGAATTGGTGTATCAAACGCGGCTTGGTAGGCAGATCGCGTCCTCGTGCCCAATGACGCATTGAAGTTCAAATTCTCAGCACCCCCGAGCACATTGCGCCATAAGAGATTGCCATATGCTGAGCCTTCCGCATTTCCCAGGTCGGTTCCGGTTTTGAGTAGGACACGAGACTTCTCCTTAACGGAATAGTATACGTTGATATTTGTCGGTCCCGCTTGTCCCTCAGTCGGTGGCGTTTGGTCTAGATACACGGAGATGGGCTGCTGAAAGACGTCTAGTTCGACATGATTAGAGATATCGCTGGAAATGAGAGCTGGATCGAAAACACCAACCGAATCTACTAAGTTTATCCGCACGTGCCGATATTTCCCGTAGAGCTTCTGACAGGCTAAGAGGTTGCTTCTGGTTCGCACTTAGCAATGGATTGAAAATTTGCTCCAGAAAGCCTCTGCGCGTATGTTTTGCGTTCAAGACCTGGACCGACGATATTGTGCAGGGCAAGGTAGAGTTTTGGTCGATCTGGGTCATAGCTAGTGTCAGTACTGGTTGATGGGATGGGATGATACTTCGCTGGTAACAAGCTCCGTAGCATGAGCGAAGACCAAAAGAGGTATTAACATACCAGCTCCCCGAGTCGATCTTGCGCTTTCTGATAAATTGCATGAAGACGTTCATTCACGGCCTGCTGCTGCTCCTCTAGCACCTTGGGATCGGCAGGTCGCTGAAGACTCTCGAAAATCTAGAAACCAAGCCAGAGCCCAGCAGTTAGAAACAGATACTGAAAATCAATATGCGCAGACAGTGGGGTAAGTCATACGTCTCCATCTTCAGCAGGGAGTGGGGAGGACATTGCGACGATAGCAATGGCCAACAGAAGTGAGTCTCAAGTTCTCTTCTTGTGCCCGAAGCCGCCGAAGAAGCAATACCGGCAATGCAGGTCACGTGGCGACATCTGCTTCACCTTTCAACTTTCAGTCCATTAGTGTTATGATTCTTAACAACAACACGTAATTCTTTCGCATCGTCAACTAGGTCTTTTCCTGTTCTTGCTTGTTCTGTTGATTGTTCTTTCTCTTTGAACCGCAACCTCCCCCCATAAACTGCGTCATTCGTTCCGCTCAACCCACTGATACGCCGCATCGTCACCAATAAGCAGTTTAACTTCGGGTACGATGGCCACAAAAGCAGCTTTCAAGCGAGTGAGTTAAATTGTAATTTTCTGCAGCTCGGCGCTTGACTTACTCTTTGTTAGCTCACACGCGAGTACCAAAACATTCAAAAGAACCCTCCACCTTTCATTATTGCGCACCCATCAGAATCCAACATCCTTGAGTGAGCCAGGCCTACATCCAACGAGAGTATTCTTTTAGAAATCGATTAACTGAGCATTGTTTAGATGGCATTACATTATCACTGGCCCTCCCGGCACGCCGTACGAAAATGGCCAGTACTGGGGTACTTTGATGTTTCCTCCCGAATACCCATTTGCGCCTCCTGCTATCCGCATGCACACTCCAAGCGGTCGGTTTCAACCGTCATCTCGGCTTTGCCTAAGCATAAGCGATTTCCATCCAAAGTCATTCAATCCGGCTTGGGAAGTTTCGACCATTCTCATCGGACTCCTCTCGTTCATGACCAGCGAAGAAATGACCACAGGAAGTGTAAGTGCGTCAGAAGCAGAAAGGCGGGTTCTTTCTGCGCGGTCTAGATGGTGGAACTCCACAGGCGGGGGCACCCATATCACCTCTACACCCGGGGTAACACCCACTTCCAGGGGCATCAATAATGTAAAAGCAGGCGATGGGGGTTTGAAGTTCCGTGCGGAGTGGCCAGAACTGGACCAGGAAAACTGGAAATGGTTGAAAGAGAATCGCATTGATACTGCGACTGGACAATTGAGGCCTGACCCGAATGCTGGATCGAGCAGATGCTCTCCAGAAACGAGTGCGCTCCGGAGACGTCCCAACGGCAGTGGCCCCGGCCTCGGGGTTGTAATGGATGGTGGCAATGCTGCACGAGAGGTCGGCCAAACTTGGATTCAGCGCAACAAAGTCTGGGTCGGCCTCGCGGTCTTGTTTGGATATGCTCTTATCTCAAGACTTGTTCAGGATGTTCAGGGTTGAACCTTGAGCTTTGCCATCAATTTTTTCATTCTTTTTATTATATTCTGGAAGCTGTAATTTTGCAGTATTCCATCATTTGCCGCCTTTTTTCTCAGCGTCTTAAGTTTCCTTCCTGACTTTTGCTTTATACCGCTGGTGTGGATTTTATCGGTCTGTATTTAGGTCGGGAAGGCGTACGAAGAAGGAACGGCGTTTTTGCCTCTTGAGATAATTAAATGATTCGGACAATGTTTTACACTTGGCGCAAAATATAGCTAAGAAGCAGTCTGCGCTTATGATAGGGTAGAATGCTGTTGGGGAAGACTATAAAATCAAATTGAACTCATCGGATGCGCCGGTATTTGAATTACGGCTCATATAGCTGTCGTTATTGGATGGGTAAGTTACGCCGGGTGCCTCCGATTATTAGATCATCGCTCGTCCAAAAGTTTTGAAGCCTCGTATTTTTCTCTTCGGCCTCTCATCCACCATTTCGATCACAAATCTTTCCTCACTAGACGATCGCCATCATTTATTCATAGCCGCGTATCAAGTATTTGCTATTATTTGTTGCCCTTTATCATGGGTTGGTTTTGGGCAGATTCGCAGCCGCAACCATTGGGGCGCACTCACCCAGCGTCATCTGATGCGGCGCCTCCGGTAAGTAGGAAAATGACCAAAAAAACTTCAAGGTTCTAACTACAGGTATAGCCAGGGTGTCCCATGCATGCGCCTGACTCTACCCCTAAGCCTCCAACTGCCGTTCCCCAAACTTCGAGTGCCTGTCCGGTCCGACCCTCAGATTCGCCTTTTTTCGTTGCCCCAAAGTCTACATCCTCCCCTCAACCAGCTCCTGCAACAGAGACAAGGCAGTCAACGCTGTCAAAACTTAACCCTTTAAACTATATGTTTGCGTCACTCTCGCAAGAGCGCGCGCCAAACCAGACTGTGGACTTAGGCGTGGATCGCGAGGTCTCTTCCATACCTAGAGGAGACTCGGATGGCAACTGGGAGTATCCCTCCCCGCAGCAGATGTACAATGCGATGTTGCGAAAAGGCTATACAGATACGCCTCAGGATGCCGTGGAAGCTATGGTTGCGGTCCACAACTTTTTGAATGAAGGCGCCTGGAATGAAATTGTGGATTGGGAACGTATTTTTTCCAAAGGCCTGGCAAATGGATGGGAGAAGTGTCGCCGAGGGGAGGAAAATATCACTTTAGAGCTGGCTAAGGAAGAGTACTACGGGACTCCAAATTCAACTCCACCCCGTCTTGTGAAGTTCCAGGGTCGGCCACAGGAGCTTACGCCGAAAGCCCAGATTCTCCAGGCTCTGGGCCGGCTGTATCCCGCTAAATTTGGGTTCGTTCTTGCCACATCTGAGTTCAGTCCTATTCACATCCTTTTGCCCATACCGCACCGCGCACGCTCGAGCAGCTCCGTTAACTTATCTTACTACATAGGACTCCACCCCCGTTTGACCGGCATGACTGGTACGTGATGCGCGAAACATCGTTAGGCCCTAGAGAAGTCCGCTATGTGATCGATTATTACTCAGGGCCTCCAGAACCGACTGGAGAGCCTGTATTCTACCTTGATATTCGACCAGCCCTGGATTCGCCCACCGCCGCTGTTGAACGATTAATGAGATGGGGCGGAGACGTTTGGTGGCGCGCCAGCGGGGGCGTCGTTCGAAACAACAACGGGAATTGATCCGTGCTATGTTGCACTGGTTGCGCATCTGTGATAATTATGTGGTTACATTTGAAGCTTTTACATTCCACTCTGAACGCCGGCAGGTCATCGAACTACATGTGCTTACATTACTACTGACTTGTCGGGTTGCTTTCAAGCCCGTATCGACATCATCGCGTTTCATATATTGGCTTGATCTACCATATCTGGTGATAATATTCCGGTGTACTGGGAGTCGAGGTTCTTCGCACATGGGTATCGGGGGTGTTTCTTTTCGTCACCCGTCCTCATCGGTGTATTTTATTTATATCTGATGTTCCGTGTTTGTATATAATATATGTATATTATCGGTATCCACGAATTTTTATTGTGTTCACACACAGAATGGTACCGACATGGGCTTATCGGCCCACTGTGCTCGCGGCATTTCCATATGCATTGCCTTTACGTAGTTCATCATGGTGTGGGCCAGGTGGAGCCCGCCATGGACATAATATATATTAACAGTGATAATAAGTAATATACAAAAGCCCGAACTTCCGGTTCTAAAGCATCAACATGGTATATATTATAGACAAGGTGATATCTGAAAATCGGGCCACTCCTCCCACCCAAGCCTAGATATTAGGGGACAGTTGATCGTACTTCACACACTGCTCTACGCTCTCAATGCTGGCCCTTAGTAGTCCCCGGGCTTCTAACCCGACCCAAACACGAAGCATTGAGGTATCACCCGATCGGACTGTTTTCAAGAACGTGGCGTTGGAGCCGAGTTTCCGTAAGATGGGGAGTGCACTGAAAAGCGAGTCAGTAAGCGAGTGGGAGGCATTCGAATATTAAAAAGGCGAGGATAGTCGGTTCTTGCCTCTTAAAGAGATCGAGGTTGGGATCCATGCTCCGGCCTATACCCTCAAGAAGGAGGATGGAGATGACAACATTCACAAAATCGCCTTCGAGACGAACGTGGTGGCGCCGTACCATGGATAACACCTCGCTCAGGACGTCACCGATTTTGATATTTCCTAGCGCAAATGTTCGCGACTTCACCCCAAGAACAAGGTGTTGCATTCTTAAGGCGAAAATGTCGGGGTCGATGACTTCCTCCGGTTGGCGACACCGCTCAACCATGAGTTCTCCTGCGCGGTGGCCGTCGAACTCAGCAACAGCTCGGAAGAGAGCCAGGAAGTTCGAACGGTTCGTGTCGTTCAGTTGAGTCACCAAACCTGTGTCAATGAAGATGAGTTGCGGTCGGTAGCCCTCCGCGTTAAGATCATTCAGAGCCCTTTCCCATTCCAGTGGCTCATTCAGATGTGGTCGTAATCGCGCAAGCACGGCTTCTGCCACATCAACCTCCTTCCTTGTTGGCGCTTCGGATGCACGCGTTTGTTTGCGAAGAGATAGATCAAGCTCACTAGGCTGATAGAAACGGACCATGATATTCCCTGGATGTAAGTCCGCATGCACGAAGTTGTCAATCAAGAGCATATGAAGAAATGCGTCCAGGCCTTCATTTGCAATCTCGTGCTGGTAAACGCCTCCTCCCATTTCTAGGAATGTTGACAAGGGTATGCCCTGGGCAAACTCCTCAACAAGGACCTCACGGGTACTGTAGTCCAAATAAGGGTAAGGGAACCAAGCTGTAGTACGGGACCTAAACTTCTCTCGGAAAACCTTTAGATTCGTGGCCTCGATCCTGAGGTCAAGCTGTAGCTTCATCATTTCTCCAAATTGAGTGACCTCGTCAGGGAAAGATAGCCAGTGCATGGTTGGAATTGCATTGATCAAAGAGGCGAAGAAAGACATGATCCGCAGATCCCTGCGAATTAGGCGCTCAACGCGCGGATGCAGAACCTTAACTGCAACATATGACGACGGAACGCGCTGGGGAGAACTCTTTACCAAGACGTCGACATTCTTTTTAAGCTTGCCTCCTAAGTCCTGAGGTGCGGATGTAAGCTCATTATCCGCAAGATTTGCAAGGCTCGGTTTGAGTTTTGCCTTGTAAACCTGTGCGATAGCGCCTACTCCAAGAGGTTTCTCGTTGAATTCCTCAAAGATGTCTTCGAAGGGCATCCCGTGGAAGGCTTTCTGGATTGTCTGCTTAGTCTCAAGCAATGAATGGGCTGGGGCATTTGAGTGCAGTGATGACAAAGTGCTGCACATTTGTGGAGGGAAAATATCAGTACGTGAGGCGGCCCATTGACCAAGCTAGAGAAATGTCAGTTAAATGCAATTTTCTCATGGTGTACAGGTATATTGGACCTGCCTTAATGAAAGCAGGCCCCGCGCGTTCCATTGCCTTCACGAGAAAGTTATACCACCACAGTGTACCTGTTCGGACCCCGTCGTGGTTTTTTATGCGCCTCCCAAGCCATATCGTAGGTGCCGTAAGGATGACTGGTAGAAAAATCACGACTAAGTGAACGAAACGGAGACCAGTGGCTATTGTGTCGTAGGTGTAATATACCCAATAAGCTATTACAGGGCCGCCAATCCCTATCCGCCCTTCTGTTCGTTCAAGGATATCGTCTCGGATCTCCTGGCGAGACGCCTCTAACATCAATTTCTCCCCGGTTCTATTGTCCTCATTCGTTTCTGCCAGTTCCACAAAGGCGCCAGGAGCAAGCGCTGCTATGAGCACAGTCCCAAATCTTGGGAGCCCCCTCTGACGAGATCGAGCCGAACATTTCGGGATTGACGGACGTGCGAAGCGACGGCTCGGCGGCAGAGGGACGCGTGAGAAGAGTTGTGGTGTTCTACCACAAGTCGAACAAAAACGGTGAAACTGGAGGGGTATCCTCATGTTCTGACAAACCAGGCAGTAAGTGCCATGGAGAGGGCAGAACAAGAAGCCAATTCAGGTTGGTACTCCGTGGAAGATTGGGGATCGGAGTTGGTCTCGGAAGTTGGAAGAGACGGCGAGCGACGGCGATCCTCCGCTCGCATGTGTTAGCGACGTCATCATCAACTGGGCTACTTTCCCTCCCAAGTTGGATTCCTTAACAGGCCAACCAAACCTCGAGCAGTTCAATGCTAATCCTTATCCAGGTCCTTCACTGTGCTCCTGAGCTCTCGGTGAACGTTTCTTCCCAGCCACCTGAAAGAATCATGCCTGCAACGCCGCTCATGGACAGATCCGGAAATCTGGGCATTCCATCTACCTGCACTAGGGCAATTTGACTGGAGCTATGGAGCTACATATAAAGATTTTCCAGGCTGTTACTTCTAAACCATCTGCAAGCGGAAACAGATAGAGCATTTTCATCGGCTGTTTTGTGCTCCTCCTGCCTCCCATTATGGCATGTTAAATAGAGTAGAGCGCTCCCCGAACGCAATGCGTACCCTTGAATCACCTGTTTTGAATTTTCCCCGTGAGCTGAGCCCATGATACATAATGGGCAGCTTCTGTGATGTTAAATCGGACGTTGAAACAAACGTGGTCGCCGACCGTTCACAGTGTCAATCTTGGACTGGTATCGTTTTTTGGTGTGGTGTAAGCTATAGCTGCATGCTGATGATCTTTGTCCATGTCTGCTTCCCCGACTTCTCGCTTCTCAGACTTGGGATGCTCCCGCTGCTTGTCCATGGAAGCTCTCCTGCCCTCTTCTACGCCTTTTCACAGAGCCCAAGACACTTCAGTAAACCGAAGAAGGTCGAAATTGTTGCACTGGTACCATTTCACCAGCACCGTCGGACGGAGATCCTGGATTGCTACTTGCGGGTGAGCACTTAATTCCCCGTTTGTAGAACAAATTGCTGATCTAGCTGAAGAGAAACCTGGTTTCCAACGGAGGGTTCCTTGACCGAGTGGTTTTTATACCACAAACAAACCACACCGGGAGCCTTGAATGGCTCACATCTATGGTTGATGGAATCTCGTCCTATTCGGTATTGAAAAGCAGCGACCCCTTTGTAAAAACGATTAATGGAGACGTGGGAGCGATATTCATATGGATCGATGGTGACATCGTATTCCTAGAAAATCATACAATCCCGACGATGGTCCAAACAAAATTGAATCATCCTGACTCGCTGGTTGTTTCGGCCAACGTCGTCAACGACGGGGCTCTTAACCATCTCCATAATCGTCATCCAATTGCTCTCCCATATCGTCCTGAGCTACGGCCCGTGCGACCCGTTGACCAAGACAGCTGGCGTGCTTCAACCTTGCCTCGCTGGAGAGGACCTGCGGAATTTCGAATCTCTAAAGGATTTCCGCCTCCATTCGAAAACCATCGCTGGCTTCCTTCTGATGTCGAAATGTTTAACCATACCCCGATTGGTATGTCTATGTACTCGGACAATGGCCCAGACCTGGGGGACTGGACCGTTAAAGCTCAGCAACATTATTCTTTTCTACACCATCTTGATTTGGGCGATCTATATCGTTACAAATTTCCTATTTGGACTAATCCGACGGATTCTATCAGCACAAACTTCTTCTGTTTTATGAGCAACGACGCCAATCCTGTCTTTTCGTTTATGCACAATGGTGGTTTGCGGGAAACGGGCTTGAAAACACCTAGAAATGGGAGTCGTGCAACGCAAGATATCATAATCGATGGAAAGGGTCTAGCCGCCCACTACGGGTCTGATCGTGGCTCAGAGGAACTTGAAGATACAGATGTGCTCTGGAGATATCGGTCATATGCGCTAGAGATGGTCTGCCCACAATCAATCAGGCACTCTACTATAGATATAACAGTAAATAAATAAATGGCCTACTGGGCCAAGACCTGCCTTTCATCTAAAGCCAAAGTATGCAACACTCAAAGAGTCGTCTCATTATATTCAAATACTCAAGCCAAAAATTTGCGTGTATGAGCATATTTACCAGTTTAAAAGGTATGATCTCAGCTAGGCAGTAGAGCCAGTCATTTATCCTGTTTGAGATACTTCGAGACATGTTGGCTCATTAAATCTTGGACCCTGGAGTTCCAAGACCCGTCCACAGCGTCAGGCTGCAGAGGAGCGATCGATTAGTTATCCATAGTTCAACACAATGAGTCATGCAGTCAAATTAAACCAGCGTACCTTATTCTCTTTATTTTTTAGTAATTCTTGCACGAGAACGACAATGTTGTCACGGTCTTTGCGCCATTGGTCTTTATCCGTCTCCTTATCCGAAGCCGGCTCTTCAGCACTCAGAGTCTGTTCAATCAATGAGAACCCGTCAATCTTTTGCAGGCCATCTATAACTGCCTCAGCACCAGTCTTGGTAGACGCCAAAAGTGCAAGGGCAAACCACCCCTCGCTCCGGACAACAGGCCATTGGGTCTGCGTTACCATAGCACCAAGCGGAGATGCTATGCCCTCATTATGGGTAAATAGACGTTCGAGAATGGAATCAACTAAATGGCTCTGGTCACCAGCCTTGGATCTGGGAATGATTGTGCGACAAAGGCATGCTGTTATGCGTCCGATCTCAGTCAATATAGGGGTCGAGTCGGATCTTTCAAATAATGCAAGGAGTAATGACAAGTACGTTCGTTCACCGTCATTCTCATTCACTACTGCAGAGGTTGTAGCGGGCTGCAGTAATCGACTGATATTCTCCACGGAGTGATTGACCAACTGCCGGGCGAGGCTAGTTGCTGCGAGTTGAACCTGGGGGACAGTTTCGTAGTTCCAGAGTCGGGCGATAGCTGGTATAATCCCAGCCTCGCCCATAAAGATCTTGTTGTCACCAGCAATTGCCAGGTTCTTGAGGAAGCTGAGCGCCGAGTGAAGAGTTGCCCCTTTAGCGTTGCTGTTGAGAATAACTATCAGTTCCTCGTGGATTTGCAGTTTCTTAACCATTGTCACACAAATATCGTCGGATCGAGCCAGATTACCGAGCATGATGCAGGCGCATATTTGGAGTTGGTCTTCTGGGTTGCTCAACCACGATTTGAGTGTTTGTGACAAAGGATCATCTAAGCGGTATGTCTCTGCAAAAGCCGGCGACGCTGATACTTCTGCTAACGCCTGGTTGATTTTCAGTTGTGACTGTATGAGAGCCTTCGCATCGTCACTTGAGGCCAGGGTGTTGAAAGACAGCGATCTTTTGAGTACTGATAGTATGTCGGGAAGTATGCGTTTTGATATGCAGATGTCTTGAAATCTATTGTTGTTTAAATATGCCGTCATGCAGTTTGAGAGACAACAATATTGGGATAGAGTTTGTCCAGACTCATTGTTCAGTGCACACGCTACCAGGAGTGAAATAGTTCCATCCGGGGACCTAGCAATGCCTTGGTCTAAGAATTATACCGTTAGCGAGCAATAAAACATGGTAGAAGTATATATACCTTGTTCACCCACTAGTTCTATCAGCTCGTAAACATAGTCAAGCAAAGTGTCGTTTCCCTGGAAGGCCTTGTCTTTGACTAACTTCAAAAGGATATACACTATCTTGTTTCCCGCCAACTGGGACTGAGCGGGCTCTAGGTCTAGTCAGCCATGAGAATACATCTGGGACAGGGAGTATATACCGAAGTCGACACATAAGTTATATATAACAGGTATCACGACTTTTATGAGTTCCGGCCGCTGTAATTGCCGTAAAATGGCAAATGTATAATTGTCCTTCACCACAGTAGCCCGGTTCTCATCTAGAGATTGTCAGTTACATGTATTTTTCGAGCAACTACAGTCTTTACCTGTATCAGCGCATGAGTTTCCAATCAGCCTCAAGCAATGAAGAATAAGGTTGCTTTCGACGACTTCTTTCGAAGCTATAAGCTCAAGGAAGAACTTCAAAATGCCCGCTTGGCCATACACAGGACGAAGAGAAGCTAAGAGCCAGTGAGAAATGTAGACTAGTATGAAAGGGCAACAAAAAGATGTACTGACGGTTCCTGCTTCCATTTGCCAGAGCTTCGGTGGCTTGTGTCAAGAACTCGGATTGGTCATGCCAGAGCTTCAACAAAACGCCCGGCACATCCTCAAAGTTTGGCGGGCCGTTATTCAGCTCTGCTTCTTTCAACGTATTCTCCACAAATTGCAGAAGATCTCCTTGCTCATTTACTGACAGCACTGCCATGCCGGGTGGTTCTGTTGCCGGAGGTAATTGTGCCGACTCCAGGAATATTTCGTCGAGAGAGGGACACAGCACCCCTTCTATATCCTGAGCCCGAGAGTTTCGGACCTCATCCAATAAGCTCTGTTTTGCGATTTCATAGTTATTGCTGCTCATTTTCCCACTTGCACTATCCTGAGGGGTACAAAAAAGAAGAAAGAAAGAAATTGATCCGCAAGCTATCGGCTGTATAGTGGACTACCTACCCGTCAGTCGGCCTGCAAGGGGTAATATGCCAGTTCTCGGAGAATCGATCTATAAAATCAGCACTTCCGCGCCTTGCACCCTATTCTATAGAGTGTCGTAGGACGGCACAGTCTCTAAAAAGCGACAAAGAATGTTGATAATAGAGGGGTGAGAAGTTGAGGAAAGCTTCAAAGCACGATAGATGGGGCTATTGTAGCCTGAGGCCACAAACAGGCCAATTTTTAGCGCCGGTAAAGCTGTACGGTGAATGTATAAGTTGTATTAAATCCACAAGGACTATCCAACAACTTTTATTGCTGTTGTAGACTGGGTACTGTAATGGAAATAAAGACTTATTATTATATGCCTTTTTTTTGGGTTTAATTAGTCATTCTAGTATATCGCATTGGGGGCAACTTCAATAAGCGCCATATAGTGGGAAGTACTTTGAGGTAATTTACCATACAGTCACCTCCGCGGTCAATAGGTAATGGACTGTTTGTCCACTTCAATTTGAGGCCCTCCTCCTCCTCAATTCCCAGTCCCTCATATAAATATAACTTGCATTCCCAGACATCACTACAAAATTTGGCGCAATTCCCCCTCGCCGTCATTGATCTGCTGTATAAATCAACACAAATCGTTTAATAGCTACCAAAGCAGAAAAGGACCTCACAATGACGCGCGCCCAGCAGACGCTTTCCGTGCTCCTGCTAGTATCCTCTGTACGTTATACCAGCTCATCCCCTTTCTTCCAAACGACAGCTAACCAAATTCCTAGCTCTACCTATCCCTTTATCTCGGCCTCGTTCCGCTTAACGAGACTGTCCAGCAAGAAATAATCCCCGTCGTACGTCCACCTCTTCTCCCACACCAAACCCTTCTCCATCCCAGAACTTCAGCTAACATATATCTTGCTCTGCGTCTTTCATTTAGCTCCCTTTCTATGCTCTAATATCTTTCGGATGCTACCTTCTCGGTCGCCTAGGTCTAGCCATCTTCACTTTCCACGATGTGCCCGAGGCACACGAGGAGCTGCAAGGTGAAATTGAACAGGCTAAAGCTGAACTGCGCCGCGTGAACGTTGACGTCGATTAAACGCACGAGATCTACGCTGCCTTATAATCTTCAATCGATTCGCGACTTTGGTGGTGATTTGGGAAGAGAGATGGGAAAGGGGATTTGGTGATTTTGTAAGATACAATATAATGGCACGGGAGTTTGTTTTTTAAGGTATGGTTTTTGCTCTGTAAATATCATTGGATTCGTACGCCGTTCCTCTCGAGAAACTGGTTAGCGAATTTCGTTTTATGGTATAGCGTCATTGTTCCTATGGCGCGGGGCTCATAGAACACCAAGAGCGATAACAAAGAGCAAAAATTGTCTAAAGTAGACAGATCGCCAAGTAGGGTTGCTTTTATCTATCGAATATTATCATCAAAACATCCTTCGTAATATAACGTGCTGTATCGTCAAACCCTCGACGCTAAGATTAAGCACTCGCCGGTTAAATCAGGGACAGCGTGCGTCGGTGGTAGGAATTGGGCACTTCGAGGTACAGGGGAGCGCTGTAGAAACTAAGGCCTGATAGTGGGGTGCAGCTTAAACAAGAGGGTTTGCCTTAGCCAGCGCGTCGTGCTCCTCAATATCCCTTACGAGAAAACTAGTCAGTATTTTGAGCCTGTAGATATAGCGAAAGAAACTGATATCGTACTTAGCCTCCCAGGGATAGCAGATCCAAACATCTCCAGTTGTGACGGCGGCATGATACCGGCCAGACTCCATCATGTCTGTGGGCAGCTGTCCCTTCTTCGACTTGTCCTTGTTCTATTAACGTTGTGAGCTTCCCAATTCCTCGTATAATCTCCGCGCATTCGGGAAAGACACATACGTGTAGCACGAACACGAAGAAGTTCGTCTTCTCGCCTTCCCGTCCAAGTTGCTTCTGCGCAATCTCGACATCCTTCTGCAGTTCACGGACAGCATATTCCAGAGTCGTCCGCGTGTCATCGACCTCATCGACAATGAGAATGTTCTTTCCAATCAGATTGGCCATTTCTAGAGAACTCATATCCAACCATTGTGTCCGGGTAACCTTTGTACCGGGGACCTCTTCGGGGTCGCCGCGGCCTAGATCCTCATAAAGTGAAAGTCCGATAGCCTGGATCGGGATGTTCGGCTCGCCAGAGCGCTTGAGAAACGAGCTGGTGAAAAAAACAGACACCGGTCAGACCACTCCTGCCGTCTAGGTTGAATTTCGTTCGACGTACCGGAGAATGCGAGCAGGAACATAGCCACCACCACCAATGGCAATCATCAAGTTTGGGTGAAATGCAGTAAGGATCTGGTCAGCGGAAGATTGACATAGCTTGTGGACCTATAAGAAGACCTGATGTGTTAAGACGACAGTTTAACAGCTGTTCGGAGTGGGTGGATCAGAGCCCCGCAGACATTTGCAGTTCAACCCGGAAGCCACAAATTGTGGCTTGCAGAGCAACACATCACACAAGTCTCATGCAACCCAAGTGCACATACCTGGTTGTACGTGACATAGAACTTTTGCGACATTTTGGGCGATAAGCGTCCTCCGGATATCACGATAAGAACAAAAGATAGATCAGGGTTGTGCACCGAACTGATCTGGGTTATGAGTTCTCGCGGGCAGTAGAGTAAAGGATGGGAAATTCGCAATACCAGGACAAGCAAATGGCAGCGCACGAGAAGGGAGGAAAAAAGAAAGAGAAGGGGAAATTTTGGAAAAAGGGAAAAGAAAAAAAAACTAGCTATCGCGCCCCAGGTCAGGATCCATGTGGTACCGGCATCATGGATTGGACCGTTCCAAACTTGCAGTGGAGTCTGTGAGCCCTGGCATCGGAGCATGCCGATTCCTGCCGTCACTCTGTATACCGTCCAACCCTTGCCTCAGGGTATAGGTCTACGACACCATCCGGTCTGTTTTATTTCCGGTCTCTATTTTCTCTATTTTCTCGGGAGTTATATGCAAAATCCAAGACGGTATAGAAGCCCAATAAAACCCGCAGGTTTTGTGCGTGCACAACTTATAATCAAAATTGGCTTACAGGAAAAGGCATTGCCAATAGCAAACGTCGATGCTATCAAATCAGTATTCAGGGAAACAAACGAGAACCATGCTATTGTGAAAACCATCAGACCAGCACCTATGGCCGACAAGTACGTAATGCTAGCGATGAGGGGGGGAAACAGCGTCAGGCTTTAAGATGTTAGCTCTGAACCTATACTCTATAACAGGTCAAATAGTTATAAGCACATACCCATCTACATATCTGTAGTTAGCCTTATATCTGTTCACCCAGAATAACTTCGCCATATGACCCACAAGAGAAGGTAAATTCCGGCCGACGAAATGACGGCCAAGGCAGATCCTACCTAAAATAAAATAAGAACGATGTTTGTGAGCCATGGTCCTGTATTATCTGTTCTATATTGCGAAATATAAATTAGAGTAGTCCCGAATGGGACTACCGAAGCAGGAGCAAACAATGACTCTGTTGGATGTAAACGGAATGCCTCAAAGGTATAAGGAAACAAGTAAAACCTGGTAAGGAGTAAGCCCCAGATTGCAATATAGAATGCGATGTTTGCGGGGGAAAATATGATGCCAATGCTATCCAACCCCCGAGATCTGTAAGGGACTATCTTGCTGTCAACAGCTGAAGATCTATAATGGAACGGCATATTTAAGGTAGCTGTACTGTTGTTATATATGACATTGGAAATCCTGCCTGTGGCCATCGTCGGAGTGAAAAACGCCCAGGTGAAGTGCCGTACCTGTCTCTTCCAGCTGAGCTTGTCACCACTGGGTTCAGATATAGACCCGGACGGGGTCTTATCGGCTTCATTATGTGCCCGGCATACGGGGGATGTATCCATGATGTGCGGATTCGAGAGCGATTTTCAGGTTTCCAGGTCCCCTGCCTTTGCGCGGTAGGGCCATTACATAGGTTACATCTGTCCAAGGTCCCACGTATTAGTTGGCAGTGTCTCTTTTCCTTCTTTCTTTCTTCCTTCTTTTTTAAATAGGAAGAGGATCTTGGGGTGAAAAATATTAATAAATACCATAAATATGCCATCGCTAATTATTATCTTCTACCCAGGCATTTGTTTAAGGCGGCACTGAAACAGGGCCAGGAGGCGCTTGTGACCTGTTCCAGCAGACTGACCATGCGCTTAGCATTAGTTACGTATTGTAGTTACCGAGGCCCAAGTTCATCAGCAACAAAATAACGTCTGCTAAAACTCAACGATCAACCCAATTCTCAGATAATATCAAGCAACTTCAGATCAAACTATAATGTCGACCGACGACGGCAAGCGGAAATCGGTCCTAATCACAGGGTAAGGACCCCGTGACCTTTATGCGCCACTCCAGTTGACTGTCACTAAACTTTGCCTACTTTGAACACAGCTGCACCCCTGGGGGAATAGGGAATGCTCTTTGTCGCGAGTTCCAAAAACATGGCTTGCGCGTATTTGCAACAGCTCGAGATGCTAAATCGCTGGATGACCTGGCCACTCTGGGGATCGAAACGTTGAGTTTGACTGTGGACGATGAAGATAGCGTCCAGCTGTGTTTTTTAGAAATTGAAAGGAGATTGGGCGATAAAGGGCTAGACTATCTGGTGAACAATGCGTGAGTTGATGTCCGTCCTATTGGGAGAGAGCTGTGGTGCTAATTCCTCCTTAGAGGTCGCAGTGTGTTTCCCAACATTGAACTGTGGGCGATGGTATATGTTGCTCACAAGATAATAGATTATACGGTCCCTGCTGCAGAGGTCAATCTCTCTGACGTGCGCGCCACGTTCGATGTCAACTTCTTCTCTGTTGTTTACATCTGCAAAACTTTTGTCCCATTACTCGTCCAGGCAAAAGGTACTATAATACAAATTGGGTCGGTCGCTGGGGTGAGTACAAAACCGCCCTACTACTAAAGTTATCAAATAATGCAGTCGAATGAACAGACTGAGTTTATTTGTCGTTTCTATCTCGTCTAGGTTATTCCCTATGTGTTTGGATCAATATATAATGCATCAAAAGCCGCCCTCCATTCCTACAGCGACACCTTGAGAGTAGAGCTAGCTCCATTCGGGTGAGCAAAAATACCTTTTGCTTCGGACGTATCGACTAACGATAAGCTGTCAGTGTGAATGTCACTACTGTCATTACTGGTGGTGTTGAATCGCGCATTGCACGCGTAAAGCGAACCCTGGCGCCCAACTCCATCTATGCTCCAATTGAAGATCAATATACGCGTCGCGTTTCCCACAGTCAAGATGGCGCGATGTCTCATACCGCCTATGCCCAGAGTGTCGTTGCCCAGGTTCTATACGGAGCTGCGCCGTGGCGTTGGATTTGGCCCTGGGCACGAGGACGAAAGAGTTGGATTTGGGAGGGGAACAAGAGCTGGCTGATCTGGCTCCTGATGGGTGGATGGGCTTGGACTGGTCTCACACATACCGCAATGACGAGGATGTTTGGTTTGAATACGTTGAAGAAGGCCCTCAAAAACTAGCCATTTTATATAGCATTAGTTCCAGATACCACGGATCCTGAAACGTCGCTCTAAATACGGTTGGTTTGGTTGGAGGCACTTGAAGATAATCAAAAGTCATTCTACCAACAATTCTCGGGCCTAGAAATATCTCAAGCTCCCTGGATGTCACATAAAACTGTACCTTATAATCGAACATGGGTGCGCGCCACGGCCACTGCCCCGTTTAAAGTATTTGCCGTTGCTCATACCACAGGGAAGGCATTGTTGCATGAACGTGGTTTTGCGGGAGTAAGTTCCATCACACTCATAACTAATTCACTGGCAGGTAAGAGCACACCAAATCGCCAACGCCATCGAGACATCGAACCTCTTTGGTGATCAATGGCCGGTAAGTCGCTCGGGTTATTCTGATGAAGTTCCGAGATATTCGCGTCGGGAAGTGATACGGCGGCCCGTAGCAACCAGTTTAGTAATCCCGAAGAAAACTAACTAGACAATATCATCCCGAAGCGCATCCGCTAAAAAGCAAGCTGTTACCCGTCAACCCCAACCAAGCTTCCCTTGTTGCTGACAGTCGGAGGTCATTCTTTGCTCTCAATCACACCTTCGCATCCTATAAACCTCTCCTCTCTTTTTTTTTGCCTTTTCCCCCCTCTCCTTCCACCATGTTCAAGCTTGCCCGCGGCCGACCAGTTGCTGCGGCTCTCAGAGCTGCGACGGTAGGATCCCTGGATGGCGCCCCGATCATTCCTTGCCTCCTATTTAAGAACACGATCTAATTGACGTGCAATCGATTTCAGGGTTCGCCTATGCAATCCCGCTTGGCTCAGCAACAAAGAAACCTTTCCATCCACGAATACCTTTCCGCCAACTTACTCAAATCAGTACGTGGATAGTCCGCCCAGCGCGCTTGTTCAATTATCTTAGATACTCAACTGACCGTATTATTCAAATAGTATGGTGTGGGTGTGCCAAAGGGTGAAGTTGCTCGCTCTGGTGATGAGGCCGAGAAGGTTGCCAAATCGCTCGGTAAATAATAAACCCTCCGTCAACGCCTTGACGCGCTTTACTGAGATGTAACCCCTGCAGGCAATGATGATATGGTCATCAAGGCCCAAGTCCTTGCTGGCGGTCGTGGAAAGGGTCACTTTGACAACGGTCTCAAGGGTGGTGTTCGCGTGATTTACTCGTGAGTCTAAATCCCTGCTACCCCAGCTCTGTCTTCCCGGCTAACCCCCCGTGTCCCATCTACAGTCCTACTGAAGCCAGAATGTTTGCTGGCCAGATGATCGGACAGAAACTCATTACCAAACAAACTGGTGCCGCCGGTCGCCTTTGCAACTCTGTTTTCATTGTCGAGCGCAAGTTTGCTCGTCGTGAATTCTACCTTGCTGTCCTCATGGACCGCCAGTCCCAGGCACCCGTCATTGTCGCCTCCTCTCAAGGTGGCATGGATATTGAAGCCGTTGCTAAGGAGAACCCCGAAGCGATCATCACGACTCCTATCGATATCAACGTTGGCGTGACGGATGCCATCGCAACCAAGATTGCAAACGAGCTTGGCTTCTCCGAACAATGTGTCGATGATGCTCGGAAGACAATTCAGAACCTCTACAAGGCTTTTATGGAGACCGATGCCACTCAAATCGAAATTAACCCGCTGTCCGAAACTTCCGATCATCAGGTTTTGGCCATGGACGCCAAATTGGGTTTCGATGACAACGCCGAGTTTCGCCAGAAGGAAATCTTCTCGTGGAGAGACACCACGCAGGAGGACGCCGACGAGGTCAAGGCTGCAGAGTATGTCTCCCTGATTATTTTGCTTATATACATGATTGAAGGATAAAAACACTAATTCGCGACATAGGCACGGTCTAAACTTCATTAAGCTTGATGGAGATATTGGATGCCTGGGTGCGTTCTGATGGAAGAATCATCTGTCCTGACAATGCTAACTATGTGTACAGTCAACGGTGCTGGTCTCGCTATGGCTACCATGGATATTATCAAGCTGAACGGCGGCAGCCCCGCCAACTTCCTTGACGTTGGTGGTGGTGCCACCCCGGCTGCCATCAAGTCTGCTTTCGAGCTCATCACCAGCGATCCCAAGGTGTCGGCTATCTTTGTCAACATCTTCGGCGGTATTGTCCGCTGCGATGCCATTGCCCAGGGCTTGATCAATGTTGTGCAGGAAATGGGCCTGCGCACTCCTATCGTTGCCCGGTTGCAAGGCACCAACATGGAGCAAGCTCACAAGCTGGTATGTTGGCAACTGCTGCATGCATAATAGCAAGCTTAAGGAGAACCTCGGCTGACATGAATATCTGGCAGATCAACGAATCCGGCCTCAAGATCTTCTCCATCGAGGACCTTCAGAACGCTGCAGAGAAATCCGTTCAGTTCTCTAAGGTTGTTAAGATGGCCCGCGAAATCGATGTGGGCGTTGAATTCACTCTCGGTATCTAAGCTCCGTTGGAATCCCTTTTTAACCCTCCAATGCCTCCTTCGTTTCTTTTTCTCTCTGGTGAACCGGGTGTTACGCAGAAATTGATTGGAAAGGGATGAGCTGAGGCAGGACGGTATGTTGTATTTGCCTAGACGTGACGCTAACGGAGTCCTGCTGCCCATAGATTAATGGGACCAGTTACACCGGAACAGTGGGCAGAGGGAATCCATGGAGAGTTGAGCTTGTTTGAGCCAAGGATAAGGGGAATCTTTAATAGAGAGCATTGAGATTTTGTATATCGTTCTTTTCCTTGGTTACCATTTCCTATTGTCAATGTATTCCATATTCTTTTCTCCGTCATAAATTTCTAACATTAAATAAAAGTATGACCTGTCGATACATATATATACATATAAAACCAAAATTTGGTATGCTCTGCTGGCCTTTCTGCGGGCCTTATTTCTCCGTCGAATCGGCCGAGGTCTACGGTGTAATCTCTTTATTCCACTTCCAATTTCCCACACATTTCCAACAGACTCATCGAGGCTTCCATCCACCCTGCTATACTTGTCGAAAGGGGTGTTAGCGCCGATGTATTCAACTGAATAATTTCGTTCCTCACTACCATTCTGTGATGATGATTCGACACAATCACCATACAAGAGTTTGGATTGTTCGTCGTATCTTTCTCCAGCCCCCACAAAAAAAACCATGGACCTTGATGTACCCGAGTTTATAGCTCATTTCAAGCAGCTGGATACATCAGTTCGACGCACAGCTTATCACCGAATAATAGACCAATTGGACCCTTATGAATGGCGAGACGTGAAAAAGCGCATTAACGAAAGATCTTTTCAGAAGGATATCCTCGGTGCACTGCCTCTGGAAATCGCGGTGCAAATCATTAAATGCCTCAGCCTAAACGACGCACACCTTCTCCGGAGAGTCTCAAGAAGATGGTATGACGTGCTGTCTTCGAAGCCGGCCTGCAGTGTCCTACTCCGCCTATACACTGGGGGTTCGTTTACCAGTCTTGGTGATGACTTCAAATCTACTCTGATTCATTACTCAAGGCGAAGGCGTCGCCTGGAGCATGGCAATCCACTTGCGGAGTTTCGAATAAATTTACCGTTTGCGACAGGCCAAGAGATATTAAGTTTTGATTACTCGGAAGGGCGATATGCCTGGTTAACTGATGGCGATACCACCATCGTGGTCTATAACCTGTGCACCCAGAAAATACAGCGTTTTTGCACGCAGAATCGCGAAAGATTAGGGAAACTCCGCATATCGGAGTACATTGTGGCCGCTCTAAGTACTCGTGGGTTAGTTGGCACTTCGCACACATTTATCCCTTATTTCTACCTCATTATTGAAGCACAAGCGGAGCGCACGAACTGTGGCTGATATGTGGCAGTTATTGCCATGCTTGGGAACTCCAAACGGAGGGCGTTCACTCTGTTCGTCTCCCCAACATGGATATATCTCTTTTTGTCATAAACGGCTTTAGAGTTGCTATTTGCTTCAACGATCTCTGCCTCGAGAGCGGGAGGAGTAACGCTGTTATACATTATGACCTGCAGTCAGGAAGATCCCATACACTTCAACATACTCAAGATCAAGCATTTGTGGGATTGAGCTCTTCCCCTGAACACTTGACAACAATTTATCTTGGGCAACAACGCGACAGTGAGGGCATATCTCATTGCCCCCCTCGCCTGCATGTCATGAATTATAAACTTCATAAAAATGGAGATGCCTCAGTAACACGCTCCTATACTTTGGAGTTGGGCCTTCCACAATGTTGTCAAGGGTTAGATGTCGGGATAGAACATGGCTTGCAGGATGACTGTAAAAACAGTATGGCAGTCCTCTATGCGCGGCCCGCATCAAGAACCTCTGCTCAGGAGTACATTTTGCCCATCACTTACCACCCAAAAACGGAGAAGATTTGTGTTCACACATTATTAGCACATCAAATAGCTCGCCCCTTGTGCATTACAACTGTCGACAAGGACATTATCTACTGGATCAGAAACGACGATGGCAAAAGAAGCATCTGGATTTCTAATCCCCACGCTGAGACGCCTCTCTATGCTTCCCGCAACATGAACCTTGGTTTGCCGAGGGATCCCTCCTATGGGGCTTCACTCTTTAATGATACCTATCGTATATTGACAGGCAATTCCAAGTTTGTATCAATGACCGACGCCACAGGTACGCGAGTATGGTCCTTTGAGGATTCAAGACAGTCAGGAAACATATCTATGCCATCACTATCTAGTCAGGAGGGTTAATGTGGTTTCCTCCGTCCTGTTGTTGGTGGGTGCATGCAGCGCACTTCCGTTGCTAATTGCTCCTCTAGTTGGATATGAGACCAGCACCAGGAAATGGACCCTCCCGGGTAGGTAAATATTAATGACCATAGATTGCCCAAGGAATAACCCAGGAATAGAGGAAAATACAGAATGGTACACATGCTGGTGAAGAACCCTTCAAGTAAAGTACGTGTTAGTGCGCAATCATCCGAGTCAGTGCAATGCTTTCTTTCCTCTGCCAGAGGCCTGGAAGTTAAATAAATACCAGTACTTATGCCTTCCATGTTACCCTGTTCCTCCCGCTGTCTTTTTTTCTTCAGGAAGACCCCACCACTGTTCCTGATTTTTGCTGTAATAAATCATTGTAATTCTCGGATTACAACCATCAATAATCATAAATATCTTTCCGTGGAAGAGGATTGCCTGTTCTTTCCAAATTGGCAATAAACCAACCTGATCTTCCGGCCTTGCACGCAGGCTGCCAGATACCCCATGCCCATGGGATGCAGAAGACGAGCTGGCTTCTGTAAATCTGATCCTTATGTAGTCTGCGGCTGTCTACCAATTCTGCACGATCGGGACGTTGGTTTTTCAACGTCTCTCCTCCCTGCAGACCTTGATCGCATTATTCCCGGCGCCAGGGCAAGCCACGCCGACCACACAATCACGAACTTGCGCTCGAAGGAAACGCATCCAGCCGGGCCTGAGGGCGGCGATCCGGATATTGGCGCGACTGCATGAAACATTTCTGCAAAAGGATAAGGAGCGCACGGGAAACGGATCTCATTGGTGAAACTGTTGAAAGACTGGAACCCTTTTAAAGTCGGACGCCAATTGATTATTTGAACTCGCCATGACTCGGGAAGCGGAGACACTACTTGGGTGTTGATCAGCGCCTGCTTGGCCCAGACACTCCTGGTGATTATCAGCTCTGTTGACGGAGAACTTCTCCTCACGTTCGCTGCCTTTTTGCGTCAATCGGTTCTCCCGTTTGTTCTCCTCTTCCTCACTCCCCCATTAGCTTCTCCTCATCTTGACCCCCCTCTCAGCAAACTTCGGATCGAAGAAAAAAAAATTTCGCCGTCCTGTCCTAGGAACGTTCCCTTCCCCCGCCTGCGGCGTGCGGCCGTCGTCGCCCATTACCCCCTGTTCCGCCGCGCGAGATGAACAGCCTCGCTGATCTTCCATCAAGAAAGACAGTCGCTTCTGGAGCTACGGATGCGCCGGGCAGAACGCGCAGGCTCCCTGTTCTCTCATCAACTGTTTTGCCATCCGGCACATCAACAAGCGACCCTATGGAGGTAACTCCGCCGCCATCGACCGCCACTGCAGGCGCCGTACGCCCGATTCACAGCACTCCCGATAATGATCGAACGGGCGGAAATAGCATGACGGCTTCCAATGGTTCTCCTGAAGCTGGAAATTCGAATAGTCATGCGGCTCCAGGCCAAGCTATCGGTGCCGCCGCCGCGGCCCAACAACCTAAGGTTGTGCAGACAGCCTTCATTCACAAGCTCTACAAGTATGCTTTCCTAGCTCTGTTTCCTTTTACGTGTGCAAAGAAATAGTAGTTTTGCTAATACCTTTGTACTAGCATGCTGGAGGACCAAAGCATCCAGCATCTGATATCCTGGTCTAGTACCAATGATAGCTTCGTCATGTCTCCAACCTCCGAATTCTCTAAAGTCCTTGCGTTCGTTCTTCACTCATCCAAGGTCTCACTGATCTCCAAGCAATCGCTAATAATTACTGCAGCCAATATTTCAAGCACACCAACATTTCCTCTTTCGTGAGGCAACTGAATATGTATGGTTTCCACAAAGGTATGCTGTCCAGCCGCGCATAAATTCACCCAGCTATACTAACATAATACGATGCTTAGTGAGCGACGTCTTCCACACTGGATCCCCTGACTCTGCGCTCTGGGAATTTAAGCACGGCAACGGGAATTTTAAACGTGGCGACTTGGTTGGATTACGAGAAATCAAGCGACGTGCGTCGCGCCATGCATTAATTCATCGAGACTCGTTCCCTGGTCACAAATCGGCCGCTTCTCAACCTGGCACGCCGGCGGAGCCGATTCCAGATTCCACTGAAGCACGACTGATAAACTTTGAGCATATGCTCTTTGATATGCATAATCGTCTCAGCCGGGCCGAAGACGGAAATGCAGCACTAAATGCTAGGTGCCAGGCTATGGCTGAGAGCATTAGCAGGTGTTACCATGTGAGATTATGCGTCATTTCCGAGGTTCAAAGTCTAGAGCCACTCCGCTAATCGATCATATCGTCAGTGGAATCATTCAATATCCCGCTTTCTGCAAGGAATGGTACCTGATCGCGAAAGTCTCCTGTACCGAGATGGTATGAATGCCCCTCGTTTTTGAAGCATGGGCGGTTAGTTTCTAATGTTTCTAACGCTTAACAGTGACCAGTATGCAAGCAGAACTGGAGAAGCATTTGGACACCGTTCGAACTCTCGAGCATCCCTCAGATATGTATTTATCTGTGCGACAGCCTCCTGTACCGACCGTCTCGGTCGACCCAGGGCCCCCTCTCTCTCCCCGGCAAATGCCGCAAGATGATAGCCGACGACCATCTATGATGGACTCTCGACCAAATATGATCCGGCCACCGGTACCCCCGCATTTGTCTGCCTCACCCCGTCGTTACGGCTCAATTGGCGCAGCAAACAACTCCCCCAACTACAGCCGCCCCCAGGTCCCATCTATAGTTACTCCTCAACCACCAGTTCCGCATCCCCTTTCATCCGCATCCTCGCCTCCGGGCCCCAATCTTGCGCGCCGACATACCTCAGCAGACATTCGTCAACATGGCTGGCCACCGCCTGGTATTTCCCCATTTCCACCAAACCAGTCATCCTCACACGGTCCGCCTGCTTGGCCGCCATCGCCCCACCGCACACCGACCTCAAGTGATCAGCAAGTTCGAGATGTATTAGCCCAGTATGAGATGGGAGCGCCACGCCGCTTCCAAGACGTCTCGCGCCATGCTACCCCACCTCTAAATCCCGATCAACAGGGCCCGACAGATAGCGGTTGGGGATTTGGTGGACCTAGATTTCCTCGACATGAATCTTCTCTGCCCGCTACGCGCCGATCAAGCATGGCCAGCAATGTACATTCTCTCCTCAACCCAGCTGATACGGCCGAAAGGCCCGATGAGGACCAGCATGCAGCAGACGATCGCAAGCGCAAGCGCCTTGAGTAAGTAGTGATTATAGTGATTACACCCAACATATTTCCCGCGGGAGGACGACCACACGAGAGGGTAATTATTTATTTATTTTGGTTGCTTTGCTTCGTTTTGCATGCATTCTTTGGGGCAGAAAGAAAAGAAAGATCCTCCAAAGCAATGTCTTATACTTATTATTACATACCCTGGAGCATGGCATTTTTATATGATTTGGACCGATTGTGTAATTTGAAGGCGTGGTCTTTTTGGGGAAGGGAGAAGGGGCAGGCTTCCAATCTATCATCGGTGTGCTAAATGAGCTGCATTGTTCCCCCCACCCCCTTCTTTTGGCCATCACCTATTGCTATTGCTTTCTTTACATCATCTCTTTCCCAATGAGCCTGAACGGAGCAGGCATCCCAGATGCGTTGGATTATGTGCCACCATCTTGTCACAGCATTTGCGTTTATAAAGCTTATTTCCTCATTTACTTCAGCGCTCTCACACTTGTGCCCTCGGATGACAGTGCAGGGAATCTTAGGGCTTCGCCCGGTGAGGAATTATGGGATGGACATGGCTCTTGTGTCTTAGCCGATTAGATACGTACACAGATAGCATGGCAGTTTTGGAGTTTTTCTGTTGGTAGAGGATCACATTGGGGTATATTGCAGGTTTGAAGAGCAATTTTATGGACCAAAAAACAAGCGATTACCGCTTCTTCCGCTTCTTCGATCTCTCGGCGAGAATTTCGTCTAAAAAGCTCGTAGCCTTTCCCTTCCTATTTGACTTTTGCGGCTGGGGTAGGTTGGCTGCTTTCCCCTCACTCGGCCTCTCACTATCCTCATTTTTCAGTTCATTATTCGCATCCTCCGGCTGCGTGGTTGGGATGTGATCACTCTCGGGTTTTCTCTTCCGTGACGACATTTTCCGCCCAATCAATGCAGCCCGGCCCTCGTCATTATCTTCATCATCGTCGTCCACGTCTGCACCACCAGCGCCTCGTTGACGATTGACTGATCCCTTTGAGATAGGGTTCTTTATCACTGATGGCACAGGGCCCGTATCGCCGGTCTTCTGCCGCGCTTTCTCTGCCATAACTTTCTTGTAATTCCTCCCCAGAAGCTGTTTCCGTAGTTTATCATTGGAATCGAGCTCAGTGCGGTTCCAACTACCGTCTGCGGCTTTCGCAGGTAAGGGCGCCCCGAGGCCAAGTCTAAACATTGCGGAACCCAGTTAGTCACGAAAGGATCATGCAAACTTGCCCACCCACCTGCTAACTTCAAAAAAAAAAAAAAAGGCAAAAGGAAAGGCACAGGTAGGGAATGAAATAGTAACTTACGTCTCAGGAACAGCTGTAAATATTTCGTCCTCCTCCCTTTGGACTTCGCTATCGTTTTTCACATTGCCCTGGCCAGCGGTGGTCTCGGAGGGTAGCCAGGATGCGACGAGGCGTTGACTGCGAGCAAGCGCGATGTTGGCCTTGTTAAGGATAATGTCTGTCTCAGTCTTGGAAAGAGACATTTTCCTTTTTTGACCTGATCTTTGCCTGCCTTTTTCGGGGTGCTGGTTATGTTTGTGGCTGGTGAGGCTCTTGGTCTTGTAATTTTAATTCTTGATAAAGCTTGGCAGAGCTGTGATAACTGATCGGAATGGAAGAACCCCCGGAGAGTTGTTATCAGCTTATCGATAGAGGATCATACTGGATGTGAGTTTAAGGTTTCGGAGATGGCGGTGATCACTTGTGCATGGGTCACGTGGAGAAGATGTGAGGGTACGGTCTCTTCATTTTTATACGGAGGCCTACTGATACTATATACATCTCTCTATATCTAGATCTATCACTTATATACAGATAACAGGCGTCAGGATCATAATAGCGACTATCAATTTCCACCCAGCAGAAGTCCCCCATGGGCGGCTCAAACACTGCTGTTGTCTTGCCGATGGATCTCTTTCAATCTCTTCTCTGTCTTCATAAACTCCCTAATACCAACAGGAATATCGGAAAACAGATCTTCATCAGATCCGGGTATTGACCAGTTAGTTTCGCTCCCACCGCCGTCATCATCCATGCTCGTACTGGTCGGCTCGTCGGCTGGTGTTCTCGGAATGGCGCCCGAAATAACTTTGGGGGACTTGAATGTGCTGCCCTTGGCCTTTGCTTGAGCCAGTAATGCGGCCCATTCTTCCATTTCATCCCGATAATCATCCCACACACAGTGCACGCAGCCGCTCATACAGCAGTTATCAGGTTCCTCAGGTCGAGGAGGAATCGGTACCCCGTTTATGGTTCTCCACGGAGCACTCGTCCCAGGATTGTAGCGAGAGGACCTACCAGGGCCGGCTAGTCGCGTTCCAAAAACAATTGCCATCTTTTCCGCAGGCGTTTGCGATTGTTGGTCTGTATTTTCGGGTGGCGCCTCCGGTTTCTGCTGTGGTGCAGAGGGAGAAGTAGTAGCCTGTCCACGGTGCGCGGAGCGAGCAGAGAGGATATCCGAGTAGTATCCGGAAAGTGGGTGGGCCTGGGAAGTGTCGGTACGGCTTGAATCTGAGTTCGCATGGGACTGAGAAAGGCGGCGCAGAGATGGGGTGCTGCGGTGTTGCCTAATGTTCTGGGCCAGTGACGTTCTAATGTAAGAGAGCGACGCGCTTGTGAATGATTTCGAGAGCAATTGCTGGATAGAGGCCAATGCGTGGGCCTCCATGATGCTGCGCAAGAGTACACCGTATTGAACGATCTCAAGGAAGGATACCGTCATTATAGCCTTGCGAGGCGGCATTTCTCCGAGCATCGGCGATTGCTGCAAACAATGCAAACATCTTCTAAAATCACGTGGTTGAGTTTGTTTTGGATCCGAGTCACAAGCATTTTGGTTGGGCGGGTTTTGATAGTGAGAAATGGAAGTTCACAGCACCATTGATTATATATATAATGAGCACCACCTTTTAGCATCGGGGTACTGGTCGCAAAAATCTCGCCCTGTGCGGAAAAACAACAATGATCGCTTGATATAGAGCACAAAGAATATCAACACCAGCACCTCAGCAGTTACCGACGCGTCGCAAATGGAGCCTCGTCCCCCAAGAAATGTATCCGAACGACGTTCCCCATCGAGACCTTCCTTTCAAGCGCCCACGAAGGCGAGTCTAGCGCGATCGCATCCCGAAATTCTAGAACGCGCCTTGAGTAGATCTCCAACGAGAAACCCCGCGCGTAAAGATGACCAGCAAACGGCGGCTGATATGAGGGTTTTTGGGCTGCGGGACAGAAAAGCCCTCAGACCCTCAATCACGTTGACACAAAGCCCGGCAGGGCCTTTCAACCACAGTCAACAATCCCCTCTCGCGCTCCCCAATCGGCGATCCAGTGGACTGGCAGCGTTTGCTGCACCCCCGAGGCGCGTGTCAAAAAGAATAAGTGCCTCGGATTTATTATTTCAATCTCCAACCGCATCCCAAGAAACTAGGATGCAGGCGAGCATGGAAAATACACCGGAAGATCAGTTGGCGTCTGAGCTGGGCAGTGCAACAGGAGACTTCAGTGGAGATATAGAGGCCCCTTTGTTGCATGACGGATTCGATGAACCTGATCTACCCCCGACACCGACCCAATTAGGCCTGGAGCCACCACCTGGGAGACCCAAAGGGTTAATTAACAGCAGCCCCAGTATACAACATGAAAAATGGGCGAAACGACGACCGGCGGGTGACCTGGAGAACAGTCCATCCAAACTCAGGACTGTAGATTATGGTGCTGGGCTAGAAGACTTGACGGAACATGTTGCGACTATGAATGATTCTCTTTTCCCTGAATCGGTTGTCAAAAAAAGGAAGGTGAGGAGAAAACTTTCGGCCGACCTCGAATCTTTCAAGCAAGACATCGTCAAACTAGAGGGGTTGTGCGAGAAACTTGAGCAACAAGGAGAAGATATTGGACCCTATATGAACGATTTGAGGTGAGTGCTCGCATTGCCACTGACTCCACAAAGCTAATTACTTGGAAGTCCTCTTTTAATATTTTCGGGTCCGTCTCATGCCAACTCGGCGAATCTACGTCTCAAAGATAATCCAGTTTCATCCCTTATATCGACATTACTGCCGTTTGGCACGATGCGTCCACCAAAGCCACGTCATCCTCGCCTAGAACCGAATCCGTTTGCTCTTGACCATAACACGTATACAGACTCATACCTGTCTGGGCTCGCACCCCTGAAAATAACATCAACGTCGAACACCATCTCTGCTTCAAAGTCGGGCTGTTTTATAGAAAGGCATCAGATCGTACTATCCGCACCACGCCCATTTCCTCCCAATATCTACAAGATATCGGTTTCCTATGAAACAAATCTAGATATGCAGTCTCTAGTGTCCTTATCGGCAGAGGTTGACGAAAGACCCCAGGACTATCTCCAGCAATGGGTGAACAAACGGCTGGAAAATCGCCTTTTAAAACTGGATGTCTCTGGACTTTGCTGGGGTATTAATCGCTACTGGGAGGCTCTAGTATCGCGTGGCCGAATCTGGGCTCAAATAGAAGACCAACACTCCTACCTAATTCCTAGTCGCAACAGATCTACCCATTTTGGAAAGTCCAAGAAGAGTGGTGACCTTCACTTGAGAAACCCAGGAATTATCACTACCTCAGATATGCGACGAATACTCCCTCACCTCGAGCGCACGTCCATGATCTTTGGGTCAAAAGAGAAATCTTTTGAAACTCTCCTTCTATGCGAACTGACCATTGACGAGTGGAGCGGTGAGCCAGAGCTAGTGCCCACCATATGCATATCAACTTCGGGATTCGACAGTGGCTCAAGTGAGAAAGTAGAACGAGAAGCGAAGAAGCTCTTTGAGACGATCTTGAGCGAAAACGCCGAGCGCCAGGCAGGACCCGCGGGCGGCTTTGATGGGGAAGCTATCGTAAAAGCTACAGCTTGTGTGCTGAATGTCTTATTTGGGAAGGGTGGTAGAAGACAGGAATATGCATAGTCTGAGCTAGGTTTATGATGCTCCACGATCAATTCGTCTCCACACCGCAGACAGCTACATATCAATCCCGATGCTGAATAATGTCCACATTCTGTAAAGCCCAGATAAACAATTGTCGTTTGAAACGGGACGCAGAGCGCATGTCTTGAAAAAGGCCAAACAGGAGGTTGGGACACAGAATTCTGACATTTGCATTTCATTCAGGGTAGTTCAGAAGCATCATTTTTATCTCTGGTTAAGGACAAACTAGATAGAGGGAGGAAGAAAGATGAGGTAAGTGGAGGAAAATCGGGACGCCAGCCAATCCCACGCCATGCCACAGTACACTTAGTACGTAGGAGTAGAATAATCCCAAAGGTGAAAATCGACGACCAGATTCATCATTAGCTGAGAATTTTTGTGCGCATAATTGTTAGGTACACGAAGTCTATTTCTTAGCGGCAGACTCCTCCTCAGCCTTAGCCTTAGCACGCTTCTCCCGGATACCCTTGTAACGGGCCTCGCTGCGGGCGTCCCGCAGACGGCGGTATGCAGCCTCCTCACCCTTGGGGAGGTCGTCGCGCTTGACCTCAGTAACGGCTTCCTCGACAGTGGCGTTCTTGATGGGCAGGAGAGAGCCAACGTTTGTGGTGTAGCCCTGGGTCTGGCCCTCAGCGGCGAAGGCAGCCTTGGCGGCGTTGACCTCGTCAGCGGACGAGTCGAGCTTCTTGAATTGACCGCTCTTGCGGGGGAAAAGGATCAGGCGAGCCTTGTAGTCCTTAAGGCGGGCGACATTGGCGACGAGAGACTCCTTTGAGTAGTTGTTGCGGCGGTGGTCAACGGCAATACCGATGGTAGGGGCGAGCTTCTTGGGGATACCGGCTTCCTGTTGGTTGCAAAAAAAGTATACATAAGCTTCCAATTCCATCTACAGAGCAATGCCGCTCAGTCCACCAGATTTGCAGATTTTTTTTACCTTCAGCTCAGCAAGAGTGAAACCACGACCGGCACGGACGCGGCGGTTGTACTTGACGGTAGGGCATCGCACAACGGGACGCAGCTTGTCAACGGGGCGAGGGGCAACGGCGGCGGCCTTTGCCAGACGGGCCTCACGACGGCTGTGCTTGCGACCGGCCTGTATTCCGAAGAAAAATCCTGTCAGTTCATCGAACTCATTTGTCGGGGAAAAATTCGTCTCGATAAAATTCCATTATCCAGACTGTTTATCCGACATGGATTCACCAGGAAAATAATCGAAAAATGCGTACCTGCTCGAAGTGCACGCGGACACGACGCTGCCAGTCCTTGTGGAAGTCTATTGAAACCCATCAGTAAATCTGACTCGCCAAAAGGATCCTTCATCCATTGCAATTCTTCATCGCATTCGTTCGAAAGAAAACTGATCCCCTATTCTCGATCGTCGGGTGCCACTCACGGTGCTTCTGAATCTGGTTGTTGTGCACGATCGCCTATATCACACGCAAAATCCGGTCAGTATATGGCCTTTCCCTTCGAGCAAAATAGAGGGCTTTCTCTCGCTCTATCTCATAATAGAGGAAACATAAGAAAGACTGAATGTACGCACCATTGTGTCGGACTGGGATCAACCGGGAGCTTGTCGTGGTCGTCGTGGTTGCTGGTCGTATCTCAAAACTCCTCCATGAGTGGAACTTTTCTGGTTGTGGCCAACCGCGCGGGACTCACTCACCGCCTCGCTTAGCGAGCTGAGCCCTACCCTCCTTGCCCGATCCGGAACCCTCTCTCTCCCAACAGATGATTACTCAAGTATGTGGTCAGAAGGGGCAAGAAATCGATTATAGTGGTCAATCGTAATGCTGTGTACCAAATCATGCCCATTCTCTCTCCATTGTCATCGTGTCTACCTATAGTTAATAGTCCATAGTTAATCAGTGTTTAATGCGATGCTCTGACAAAGCCACGGCACGTGACTAGTTAACTAACTAAGTTAACTAGGTGTAGCTTAGTCATTTTACACTTGTCGCAAACTCAAAGTAAATGGATCCATCCATGATCCATCCAGCTGTCCAATGTAGAAATATATGTAGAGCTCTTTTGTAACTTAACTATTTATCTAAATTATGTCATTAACCCAAGGCTATTTAAATAACACAATGTAAAATCCTTTCATCATAGTATTTCAACAACCAGCAAAATAAACCCTTCATCAAACAGTTGCAGTACCCAGGTAATAAACACCACCAATTCGCCGCATCAATACATGTCATCCATCAATCGTCATAAAATACCTTGCAACGAAGGCAGTTCGTTCAAAGAGGAGAGGGTAGAAGAAGCACTTGTCGCAACACAATCCCTGTTCTAAATAGTACACACCGTGTCAAAGCACCAAAAACGCGCTCATGATGGACATCTTCGACAAAAGCGAGGTTAAGACAATTGCAATAACAACTGGTCATGCAAATGTATGAACTGAAATGCACCACAACTATGTCTCAATGAATTCCGAGCCCCACCCGGTCCTCCGGTTTTGATTTCTTCGAGCTCGCACCATCAAAACTTGCTTTGCGTTTGAGATTACTCGTAGGGCGGTCAACACCAGTCTTTCGCACCTGACCGAATAGCTTTGTCTGAAGGAGTGTGCTAGATCTTGATGCCGGATTGTACATATCCTGTTTGATAACTGGACGGTTACGGCGAAGCATGCTAGTTGTAGGAGATCCCGCCCGGGAAGGTGGAATGTCTTCTTCAGTTTCAGCTTCCTCGATATCAGAAGCAGAAATTGTGCTATCCCTATCACGGTTCTCATCGCTGGAATCCCTCCCAGGAGTGACATATTGGCTTTCCTGATGGGCTTTGTGTGTCTGAGATGGTGTAATGGGAAGTGAGGACAGAGAATGGCTACCTCGCACATGTCCATTTGAATGGTGTCGATGGGCTCTATGCCGATGTGGCGTCGGTGCCACACTAGGAGATTCCCTGTTGAGAACACGATCCGCGGCAAGAAGAGCAGCAAACGGGTTAGTGCTGTCACTTCTGTGTAGATGATGGTCGCTGTTGTCCATAAATTGAGGCAGAGACCTCCGGTGAGGAGTTTGGAGACCAGCTTGGCTTGGAGACATTGGACCGTGCTCTATCATCCGCGAGAAATGTTCCCGATTCTCTCGAATGCGCTTCTTCAGCAACTGATTCTCTTCTACCAACTGATCCGACTGGTCTTTTTCTTGCTCAATAAGCTTCTTCGCTCGTCGTAGTCTTCTTTCAAGGGTAGCATTAGCCATCTCCAGCTCTTGATTACGTTTGAGAGCAAGTTCCAGCTCGATATTAGACATTTGAGGCGCGGGCTCTGCGTCGGGTGGAGGGTGACGACTGCGATATTCGGTGCTTTGAAGAATCTCGGCCTCTCTTCTAGCAAGCTTGTGCTCAACCTCGGCGCGTTTGATAGCCACATTACTCCTAAACGACAAAAGACCATATTGCAATTTGAAATGAAGGGCAGACACGCGAGACTCTCGAGCTACTCCAAGAAGCTCTTTTGCAATAGCGCGAAGTTTATTCTCCTCAGCGGTATCAATTTCCCCCGCCGTGGGAAGATTTTCAGACGCTCCGTATGCAGCACACAGTGTTTCTTCGATGTCCGGAGAGGGCGCCAAGTACGAGCTCGATCGAGATCTTGATCTTCGCGGAGCTCCGGGAATCTGTGTTGATGGTGGCGGAGTCATGTCTGACGAGATTAATGACGGGGGGGATATAAATTTGAGGTTTTCGGAGCGTGGTGACTGGCTTTCGGCTCCTGCACTTAAATCGGGAGATGCGGAGAGAGTTGCGCGCTGTACTGGTGTGGCCGGGCGGGAAATTTCTGCCGGAGGGCCCAAAGAACCTTGCGACAGTTGAGGCTCGGGGTTCTGCGACATGGCAACGATATAAGAACGAACGGAAAGATGTGTTGTCAGGGTGGGGCCAATATCGCACTGGTCGCAACGGTTAGTGAATGCGCTGGTTAGAGGGTGTTCATTAGGCGTGCAATGCGTACCACTTCTGGGCCAATCCTCGTGGATATAGAATAAGACTCGATGGCACCTTTGTTGGGGTAGTGGTCAAGAATATATGTAGCGTAGGCGCCAATATTCAGGGAACTGATCGAACGGCGCCAGAAAGGTGGCACTGATGGGCCTTAGTCTGGTATACTCTTGCGACAACAAAGCCAACCCAACTGCTTATCGGTTAAGCAGGTCGTATAGGTATATCAGAAGTCGAAGACGGGGATAGAATTGAGCGTTCCGACGTGCCCGGCCCGGTAGACAACGATAGCGGGGTAGATACGGAAGACTCCAAGGAGATAAGAAGAGCAAGGGGAAGAAAGGAATGGGAAACAAGCGAGATAGCTCAGAATGATGTGAAAAGCAAGGAGGACGGGAGATAGAGGGGGTGGTTTGATGCCATATGATGGAGCGGGCGGCGGGAGTTTCGCATTCGGCGGGAGGTTGGGAATGCGGACCAATTACGTTTAAAGATGAGCCCAGCCGCGCGCCAAAATAGTACTAGACCGGATGCGGAGATCTCGGGCAGATAAACAGGGCCGGAGGAGCCAGGTAACTCAGGCAACGAACTGCGGTTGGAGCACAGATCACAAATGGACCTCGCGTGTGTCTTGGTTTTTTGGCTGTCAAATGGACATTTTGTGGCAGTGCTACGGAGTCTTCCAAGGCTAACTGTTTGTTTAAGTTAAAAAAAAATTTAGCGGACGTGCTACTTCCTGGCCATCGGATTGCGAACTTACCACATATACACCTAGAGATATATAATCGCCAAATCTCCTGAAAGTTCTGATTCGGTCCGACAGCCCCTGCGCATGAATAATAATATACATAAGAAACAAATTGATTGTCTTATTCAATATAGACAAGTAAATAACAGCCACATTTGCTGGGAATACCCCGCGACACATTGATATCACTCTCCACTTCTAGTGCTGAATGTTGAGCCAGCGGGCTGGTTAGTCAGCCTCAGGGACAGGCGGAGGGAGAATAAACAATTAACTAAACTAAAGATAACTACTAACACAAACAACCTGAAGATCTCTCACACGCATACTAACCAGTTCCGGTCCATGCTCTCTTTTCTCTCCCCCCTTTGACAAGCTTTCCAGGAGCTCAAGTGGTTTCTCTCCGGACACTTTCTCGCCCGCTTTGCTTTATCGCATTACAGGTCGGTCTTCTATGAACATCTTGTCAGATTATCGCTCTTCTTTCACCTCTCTAACATTATTTAAGTCAGAAACCAACATGGGACTGCGTTGAAACCTCTTAGAGAGCTTGTTCGCCTTCAAAGTGATACAGTGGTGACCACTGGAATTTGATGCGATTATGGATCAGCAACCTAAAACACCGTCTCGTCCGAGTGGGATTCCTCGGCTAGTTTCCAGAATTCCCCTACCAACATCAACCGCCACTCCCTCCCTCAAACCCTCGCCATCCCGCGAAAGACTGCGCTCTGATCCCGGCCTGAAGGCCGCCAGGCTCCGGCGACCCTCGGAAGAACCGGAGTTCAAAAAGCCGCTCCCCCCAACGGCGCCTCCAAAAAAGCTTCAGAATGGCTATCCGCAAAAGCGCGTTCTTTCCAAGGCCGGAACAAGTGATGGGGGAAGCTCGGATAACGAGAAAATTTTGGACACGGAGTCCAATTTTGAAGTCGATACGCTATCGCAGGATACCGAATCGCGGGGTCGCACACGACCGTCGCTGTCGGAGCGAACAATTGAAACCCTTTCTCAAATCCCACCCTCTCCTGCCTCCTCTAGAAGGCCATCAAATATTTTCAATCCAACTAGCCCGATGCGATCACCATCCCGGCCTCCGTCTTCTATGACTAGTTATTCAAGGTCACCCTCCAGGTCTTCCACCTCGCGTCAACTGAGTGGACATGACTTTCTTTCGGGGCCACCATCCAACTTACGACTGCCGTCAAGGCCTCGCCCACCATTACCAACAAATGGTTCCACAAGCGACCACAATCCTGTAGCTACTGTCGATACCCCCCCGAAGACAACAAAACCCGTGGCAAGGCGAAGCATCTTTGGAGGCACAGGTCTAGCACAGGCAGCCCCAGAGCCTCGCACGACATTGAGCAAAGGACCGAGGCCGGCTGAAGCGGATGCCGAACTTACACCACCGGCTCTCCAAGTGAAGAAAACTCGAAAGATTCAGCCAAAGTCATCATATTCGAGGCTCAATTCAACGGCTTCGATATCATCTGCAGCCAATTCTACGTTGCCAGATGCATCTTCTGAACTACAGCCAGATCGGGAGTTTAAAAAGACATCTAAATCGTCAAGTGCTTTGAGGGAGAGTATCGCCAAGGCGAAAGCGGCACGAAAGGCAGCAGTACAGAAAGGTCCTCAGAAATCGAGCCCCGATATGTGGGCAGAGACTGATATTCAAGACCCATTCAACCAGCGGCCCCGGGATCAAAATAATGGTCTACTTCGAAAGAGAGTGGATGCAGGCCGTACCTCGGGTCACCTCAATATTGCAGCCCTGTCGTTGACCACATTTCCTGACGAGGTTCTGAAAATGTACGATTTCGACCCCAATGCGACTACTGACTGGTACGAGAGTGTGGATTTGGTGAAGTTCATTGCTGCAGATAACGAGTTCACGGAACTTCCTGATGCGGCCTTCCCAGATATTGACTCGGATCAGATGGACCTTGACGCAGAAGAGAAGGGAAACCAGTTTGGCGGTCTAGAGTCCTTAGACCTACATGGAAACCTGCTACAGAGCCTCCCGATAGGTTTCAGAAGGCTGCAACGACTTCACACGTTGAACCTCTCTAACAACAAACTAAGTATGGACAGCATACGCGTGGTTCTGGAACTGGCGGGCCTACGAGACTTAAGACTTGCGCAGAATGGTCTAGAGGGCTCTTTCCTTCACGATATTGGTCGGCTTAGCAATCTTGAAGTTCTTGATATTCATGAGAACTCCCTCACTGACCTCCCCGACACACTTGCAGACTTGAGCTGCCTCCGAGTTCTTAATGTTGGACATAATCGGCTATCATCCCTGCCGTTCGAATTAATATGCACCCTCCCTCTGAAGGAAATCATTGCTCCTAAGAACAAGCTACAGGGCGCCCTGATTCCCGCCTCTGTACACAAGTTCGATACGTTGCAAAATCTGGATGTCGTTGGTAACGCACTCACGAAACTTTCTGAGAACGAAGGCTTGACGTTGCCTGGGCTACAGACTTTAGCCATCAGTATGAACCGTATTCAGAGCTTGCCTGATATCTCGTCCTGGCAGGCGCTCCTGACTCTATCAGCGGAAGACAATAGGATATCGGAACTCCCGCAAGGGTTCACGGATTTGAAGAACATTAAAAATGTCGATTTCACGGGAAATGACATCTCCAAACTGGACGAGAGGATTGGGATGATGGAAAACCTCTTTACCTTTCGAATAAGCAACAACCCTCTTCGCGAGCGCAAGTTCCTCACCATGACTGTGGAGGACATGAAGCGCGATCTGAGAAGCCGATGCGAGCCAGAGCCTCATGAAACAGATGACGAGGAAGGTTCTGTCGCGACGCAGTTCACCCTTGCGCCAGAGACGCCAGCCCAAACGTCTGGCTGGCAGCTCAAACCCGGAGGCGTACTTGATCGATCATATACCGAGATGCAAGATCTCGAGGTCGAAAAGTTGGAAAATATTAACTCGAGCGATGTTAGATATTTGTACCTGCAGCACAATATTTTGCGCTCTTTTCCTGTTCAAGCGCTTGGCATGCTTGCCCCCCATCTGACAGACCTCGACCTATCGCATAACCCACTGGACAGCTTGTCACTTTTCGCCTCTTTATTGGAGCTACCAAGCCTTCAGACGCTCAATATAAGTTCTACAGGCCTAACTAGCCTCGAACCGCTGATGGCCAGCCTGAAAGCCCCGTCGCTCACTTTTCTTGATGTGTCGTCCAATAGTCTCTCTGGATCTCTTCCGTATATTCGGCAGGTGTACCCAAAGCTCATGACATTTCTTGTAGCAGAAAACCAATTTGACAGCCTGGAGTTTGAAAGTGCACAGGGGCTTCAGGTGCTTGATGTAGGCAACAACAATATCGGCTCCCTTCCACCTAAGCTTGGCTTACTGCGGGCTGAAGGTAACAGTGCAAATTGGGGCGGGGGCTCGGCTCTAAGAAGGTTCGAGGTCGCCGGTAATAGCTTTCGGGTTCCCCGGTGGCAGATTGTCGCTAAGGGAACCGATGCTGTTCTCGAGTGGTTAAAGGATCGGATGCCTGAAGAAGAGTTGTATGAATATGAATCGGGAGACGAGGGGAGCTGAGTATGTGCACGAAAAAGCTCAGAGTTATCAACGACGCGGTCAGGGTTCGCGCTATGCAATGTATATATAAATTAATTCGTTTCTAGGTTCATGTTTTAGTCACGGTTATTTTTCCAGGATATTAGAACCCAGTCATATCTTCTCATCTTCCAGTATCTTCATCCAATATCATTGATTCAAGTATGATATGATTAGTCTGATTTGATAGGGGTAGATTCATCCACGGTCCTGCTGACTTCTTCGATGACCTTGGTCCATGTCTTTGACCAGGTCGTAAATTTATCCCCTGCGATACCCTGATCACCGGACGCCTGCTTTAGACTCCAGGGCAATACAACCAGACTGACAGCCTTGCACGCATACTTTGTGGTCTTTCCCAATTGATGCGTATATTTGTCAAGATCTTCTTCGTACAGCGCGCCCGCTACTTCGTCGATATAGTTCGGGATTTGCTGTAGACTCAGTACCAAGGATTCCAAAATTCTAATATTGGACGGTGTCAGTGGGGTGGGTGTCGTCTTTAGTCGATTCGAGATTATGGCGGGGTATATTTGGGCGACGGGCTTCAAAATTCGAAGTGCGTCCTTTTTCCGCGCATGGAGTGCCGCGCTACCTTCTTCCTCGTCCCCTCCCTTCCTCTCAGAATCTTCACTAGCCCCAGTTTTGTTGGAAATCGCAGGTGCCTTATCATCATCACCTAGAAGGTCGTCGAAAAAATCATCGCCTTCTTCATCAGGGTCCCACTCCTCAATCTCTTCGACCGCATCCCGAACCAAGTCCCTATATTCCTCCGCCCGCCTGACCATGAAACCGACAATGCCCTTCGCAGCGACATCAACTAGCACATCGCAAGCATCCCATACGCGGCCGGCGGCCACTGTAATCGCATCTTTTGTTGATTGGCCCTGGTCTTCCCCATCCGTTTCTCCTTCCGCAACAACCTGAACTTCTTTGACTAATAAAGATAACTCCTTTAGAGTTGTACCAACTAATATGCGAATTTCTTTTTGAAACGTCTTGGTGTGGGATTCTGCCGTGACGAGGAGTGTAGCTGTAACCAATGATGGGAGGACGGATTCATTGAGGGCCGAGAGCGTGGTCGCAACTGCAGAGTGGGTAAAGGGCGGGTTTATTGTTAACAGGGAGAGCTTCGCAACATGGGACTTCAGCGCTGTTGATGCCCCTGAGAGGAGGGGCAGGGGGTCCAGCTCTTCGGGCCCTTTTCCGGCCGTAGGCTCCGGGTTGGGTTGGGAAGAGGATAGGGTAGACTGGAATTGGTCGACTAGGGTGAGGGTTGTCGCCAGGACAATCTGGAGTTTCCTCGACATTTTTGAATAGTGGGGTTCGTTTGCCTCTTTGGATGGGAGGAAGAAATGCGAGCACCGGGTTGCTTGAGACACTGAGGAGAAATTTTATGATGATGATGGAGAGCCTGAACTGCGGGGCCGCTGATTAGGGCTGAGCGGGGTCACCTGTCATCTCGTTTTCATCATAACCAGTTATTCGGCCTCGAGAATCATTAAAGTGCCCACGAAGTGGTTAGAAGGTCGCCAAGTTCTTGCGCACAGTTCAGGCGCTCCCTTCATCGTACGGAGTTATTCGTGATGCTTGGTTTTCGTTGTTCCTGACAGGCTCCATCTCTAACCGGAACCTTCAAGTGAGCTTCGAAATCTAAAATATGAGCGTGTTTGGGTAGTACGTACCCAAAAGAACCATCTGGCTACAAAAGATACAGTTTTTGGGTGATTTACTCTTACTAGATACGTACTAAGGTTTTGGGTGACATGAAGTATCGCGCCCTAACAATGTGCCCTATTTTTCCTGATTGGGGAGATCAACCGGGCTCCTCCGTCGTCTCCGATCTCCCGCCCAGCAAAAGCTTCCGAGCTCCCAGCTTCAAGCTCCACCACCAACAGTCTTACTGAACGGGTATTCGCAGCCTATTTTCAGATCTTACTCTCAGTTAGACTGTACCTTTGATTATTGGTTGCGTGCCCTACTCTCCGAAGCCCCAAAATGCGTACCACCAAGCCGCGTCCGCCTGGAAAGAATTCTGCCGCGCAAGCGCAATCCCTTCCTGATAAGACCTTCATCATTGATAATGGGGCGTACACAATCAAAGCAGGCTATGCTCAGGACTCGTCACCTCCGAATGAAAAAGAAGAAGAAGAAGAAGAAGCTGCCTCGGCTTGTGCCACTATACCAAACGCGATTGCTAAAACCCGCGGAAATCGAATCTACGTCGGGGCCCAGATTGGCACAAACATTACAGACTGCAATGAGATGCTGTTTAGGCGGCCCGTGGAAAAAGGATATACTGTGAACTGGGAAGCGCAGAAAGAAATATGGGAGAACTCGTTCTTCGATGAGAAAACTGTGCGAACCCAGGAGTTGCGCGTCGCGGACCCTGAAGATGTGACTCTTATATTCGCGGAGGCCCCGAATGCTTTACCGGCGCTGCAAAAGAACGCGGATGAAATTATCATGGAAGAATGGGGATTTGGGGGGTACGTGAGATGCATTGGTAAGGAAGGCTGGAAACTTTGTTATTTGCTATTGACTGGACATGGACGGCTAAACTGACTGTTGGTGTAAAGGTCCGTCATTGAATGCCTGGACCGAGATTCAGTCGTTATTTGAAGACCCAGTTCCCCAAAACCCTAGTTCAATCGCCTCTCCTACCGAATGCCTCCTTGTGGTCGACTCCGGTTATTCCCACACAACCATTACGCCGGTTTACAAAGGGCAGCCCCTTCAACGTGGGATTCGAAGACTCGACCTCGGCGGCAGACATTTGACAAATTACCTCAAAGAGCTGGTATCAATGAGGCAGTATAATATGGTGGATGAGACATACATAATGAATGAAGTGAAGGAGTCGGTTTGTTTTGTGAGCAATGATTTCGGCGGTGATTTGGAGCGGACTTGGAAGGGAAACCGCAAGCGTGGACAACCTGATTCTGGGGAAAGCGTGGTGGTTGACTATGTCTTGCCCGACCCGAATGGAGGTAGGAGGGGATTTATGCGTCCTCACGACCCTCTATTGGGTTCTAAAAAGAGAAAAGCGGTCCTCGCCGGCGCTAGCGCGGAGCAGCTTTCTGAAGATGTTTTGGTCCTTGGTAACGAACGCTTTACTGTTCCAGAAATTTTATTTACCCCTAGCGACATCGGCATGAAGTCGGCCGGTATACCTGATATAATCTTGCAGAGCCTCTCAGTGCTGCCGAGTGGGCTACACCCAGCCTTCTTGGCCAACATCTTAGTGGTTGGAGGCAATTCTCTCCTTTCTGGCTTTATGGAAAGGCTGTAAGGAAACAACTTCTATTGCTATGTGTCACTTACTGACGTTAGAAGGGAAACTGAGTTGCGCCAGATTGCCTCTGCTGAATGTGTTGTTAGGGTTCGGCGACCTAAGGAGTGAGTTTCTTGCCTCTGGCTGCATGACATGGTGTTTGTGCTGATGGTTCGTAATAGTCCAATTCGCTCCGCTTGGGCCGGAGCATCCCGTCTCGCAACCAATAAAGAAGAGCTTAAGAAAATGGCGATTACTCGCCAGGAATATCAAGAGAACGGATCTGCATGGGCAGGCCGGAAGTTCTCTGGCGCTCTATAAACAAATCTAGCCATGACAATTAATGAAGCAACGTTCCAAATCTATTAGCAGCCGGAACCTTTATACCCTTGTTTTTACTTTGATATTGGATTATTTCTATATTTTATTTCTTTGACTCACCCCAAAAGTTATGGTACGCTCCGCCCGTGATTGACTTGCTAGTATGTGATTTTCGACAGACTGACTGGTTATACTTTGTAGGCCTACATTACAAGCTGACAGGATTAATTATTCGCTCCCCCAATGTCGTTGGCTCACCTGGCAACTCCGCCAATTGCGTAGACAAATGCTGGCTGGATATGGACGTGCTAGCTGAATCCAGGGATATTCACAGAAACAACACTCCCAATGAGCGGAAATCTCCAGCATTTGTCTTGGGCCTCAGCTCTTCCTAGAAGATGGACCATGAGTAAGGATGACTTATGTTTGAATTTCACATATCCGACCTGCTTCCCAAACAAGTCTCATAGCAACGTACCTTAAGCTCTCCGACTGCTGACTCTGTCTTATCTGACGGGAGCGCAAAGAACTGGAGAACATGGCCGAATATGCGCGTAACCATCCATTATTGTTTCCTCCCGCTCCCTGTGGACGGCGTTTACCAAAAGGACAGATTTCTTATATTCACTAGCAGAGGAAATGGCACGCCTGAATTGAAGATCACAGAACAAAGTGTACCGCTATATAGATAGTGGTACTGTCTTTATGGATCGTGCGGAAATGAATCTATCTGAACAGGCTCCGCGTCAGCGTTCCAGGCTCTCCCGTTTTTGGACTTATGTCTGTCCCCGATTGTAATGTATCCATTTGTCCTTGGTATCGGCGTTCATGAAGAGGATTGTTTACTTGCTGAGAGCGAGCACAAACTGATACAGACCCTTTCGTTGATGGATAGGAAGCAAGGGGGGAGGGGGGTTGTTTCCCTTGTCATACACCTGTGAAGAAAATCACAAAATGACAGGCCGCAACACTATGAGATACTGCTGTGGTGTGTTGTTTTCTGTCGAGTAGCGTCTCCTACTTCCCTCCAGCTCCTACCTGAGCCTATTCAACCGGCTTGGTAAAACCGGTGTCTTGTTGGCACTGTTGCTGTGTAGAAACTCCATGCAGTCTGCAAACTGCGGGATAAATCGTTGTTCATTTCAAGCTAATGAATGTGATATTTGATTTTCCCAAATGTTCGGCTACAATTACTTTTCAATGCGGTCTATGTCAAAATTTCTTTCGGAGTGTAATGGTTTGTTGGATTTGATATCCCTCAGTAGTCATAGAAACCCTTTCCGGACTTTTTGCCCAACCAGCCGGCATCGACCATCCTCTTCAGCAATCCAGATGGTCTGTATTTACTGTCCCCAGTTTCCTGGTGCAGAACATTCATGATGGCGAGACATGTATCTAGCCCAATGAAGTCAGCCAATGTCAGCGGTCCCATGGGCACATTGGTTCCATTCTTCATGATGTTGTCAATGTCCTCGCGCCCACCAACACCGGTTTCAAGGCAGATAACTGCCTCGTTAATATAAGGCATGAGGATACGGTTTGCTAGGAAACCAGGCGAGTCCGCAGATACGGAAGCGACTTTACCCATGCGCTGGACAAACGCAATGGATGTGTCGATGGTCTCCTTGGATGTTTGCAAGCCTGCGATAATCTCTACACCCTTTTGGATGGGAACAGGGTTCATGAAATGGGTTGAGATCACTCTCGACGGGCCTTGAAGGTCCTGGGGATTTGTCGTCGTAGCGGCAGCGATCTTGGTTATCGAGATGGATGAGGTGTTCGTCGCCAGGATCGCATGCTTAGGTGCGATTTGGGCAAGTTTGGAGAATATCGACGTTTTCAGATCGGGAATTTCAGGGACTGCCTCAATGACAAAGTCTACCGAAGCTAGATCGTCCATTTTCAAGGTCGATGTGATCCGACCGCGTGCCGCATCCGCTGCCTCCCTTGTGATGCGCTCTTTGGATACATCCTTATCGAGTAATTTGTCTATGGTATCGGTGGTTAGCTGGAAAAAGACCCTTTGGGACGAGGTTCTACTCACCCGCAAACTTCAGGCCCTTATCGAGAGAGCCCTGGGAACTATCGACCAGGGTAACTGGAACCTGAGCTTTTTGGGCAGCGACGAGAGCAATTCCGAGTCCCTAACAATTATTAGCACAGTCTACGCTTTGGTCTGTTGGAGGTCAACAAACCATCTGTCCGGCTCCAATCACTCCAAGCGATTTGACCTCGGCAGCACGGACGGTGGGAGATGTACTGAACGCCCGAGAGCCCATTGAGGGGCCTCTGCGGCTAAGCACACGGGGCGAAGAAGAAAGCATCGTCACGATGGTCCAATATTCTGGCGAAGGATAACGGAAATACCGCAAGACATTTAGAAATAAAGCCGAGGAGATCTTGACTTGTGCTCATCTACAACGGACTAGAAGCTCATGTGATCGGGGCCGACGTCATCGGCTATCCTCGGCTACCCGGCTCCTTAGTTTCTCCGCCTTTGTATCCGACTCCCGCCCTGCGCCCGCAAAGTCAAACGCGGTGACGCGTGACCGACGCGTGGTGATTGGCCCTGTCTTGACGCGAACTGTCAAGTTGATTGCGGTTGAGAGGACGGTGACCATAAACACCAAGGTAGCGAGATACATTCAACAGGCCGTGATGGAGGAAGAAGTGGCCTTTAATAATCAGACTGTTGAGGTGATCGACCCCGACGTCCGTTCTCACGTCTATAGTCTGGTCACAGCAGTGAGTCTACCTGTTCCGAGATGGATGTAATTGCAATTGACTGACAATTCTAGCTTGGAGGTTTCAATGGCGAAGATGCAGGTCGATACATGCTCGGCGATGACGCTCTGTCTTGTTTACGGGATATCAAGCGATGGCTAAAACTATACGATGAGAAATTCAACCGAATGGATGTTGCGCGCTGCTTGGGGGAAGCGAACCTTGTCAATGGGGACCTTATCCAGATTCTGGCCCTTTGGTGGAGCGATGGACAGCAGAGCAAATATATGTCAAGGATTGCGCTGGCATGTAGTAAGTGATTTGCGCTTATTTCTACCCGCGAGAACATGGTGTACCTGACAGCTTGCAGTCGAATTGCTAGTACCTTTGACTTGGCCATTGGAGATCCATGGCGAAATGACAATCAACCACCATCGTCACATACCATACTTACAGCAAGCCCAGGTGTCCTACAAACGTGGTATTCTCAACTTCGCGAGCTGCGGACTCCTACGAGCTGCCATTCGAATCGGCCTGCCTAGTATGGCGACCCCTCGGTCAGAACGGACAACTCGGGACGAAGGTATACTCAAGATTATGCTGTACTTGCTGCGGAATATTACCGTAATCTCTGCAAATGCGCGTCTTGCCACGGAAGGTGAGGAGGAAGAGACCTCTAGGTCCGCGACGGTCAACGCATTCCATGATCAAGATGTCTTTGCTCTCGTGCTTACCTTGTGTTCAAACGTGAGCGAGGACTTCAACATGTTGGATATTCCGCTTCTTGAAACCCTGTTTCACATTGTCAAAGGGATCGACGCCGAGAAACTTTTTATGAATGATGCTCAACGGAACGCCAAGCGGACTGATGAATTAAATGATCTGCTACAGCAAGAATCATCCTTACGAAGGGAGTATGCAAAGAACGCACCAACACGACATGGCCGTTTCGGGACGATGATCTGGGTTAAGCGAGATGATGCCAAGTTGTCAACGGTTTCCGGCCAGGACGTGCTCAAAGATAGCCAAGCGACTTTATTCAAGATGGACCAAACTAAGAAATGGAACAAACCTAGGCGTGGCCGAAAGCCCCAGGATTTGACCGTGAACAATGATTTCAACACACCGGTCCATATCAATCAGGTTGCCACAAAAAATCTGCGAATGTTCGTTGAGGAGTTTTTGGATTCAGGGTTTAACCCACTCTTCGTACATGTCCGCAAGGCAATTGAACGAGAATCAGTTCGTGTCCTCGATATCAATAAGCGTCACTACTTCTATACAGTTGCGTGGTTTCTTGGAGCAGAACGCGCTCGCCGTGCCCGGCAACGTGAGAAACACGCACAAAGTGAAAAGCCCGGGAAGGAACTCGAACAAGATAGTTTTGGGCTAGTTGCTGGGGTGTTCAACCAGGAAACGTTCATTTTCCTGAACAGATCGATGCAGTACAGCCTTGACAATAAGGAGTGGGAAGATCTTAACGCCGCCATGCGGTGTTTCACCCAGATCTTATTGACGATACAAGAAATGGCACAATCGCCACTTGAAGAGGATCAAGAGATTGCTGAGAACATCCAGAATCGGATTTTTTACGAAGAAACTACCCATGATCGCATACTGGCCGTTATCCGTGGGTACACAGATCAAGGATTTGGGTATCTTGACGCATGCACGGATCTGTCCCATGTGTTTTTACGGATGCTGGAACGCTATTCTAAGGAGAATGTCGATATGCAGGTTAGATCGCGACGACGAGCGAGAAAGAAAAAGCGTGATGAACAACCAAGCAATGAGGACAATGACGAAGAACAGGCATCCGAAAATGAAGACTACGCTGAGGCCGAAAAAATGTCGAAAGAACGTAATTTCGACTTCACACGTTTTGCTGCCAAGTTTTGCAACCAGAAATGTGTCGATACTTTCGTGGCTTTCACCAAATTCTACAAGGAATTGAACACAGATCAGCTGAAACGCGCCCATCGTTACTTCTATCGGATAGCCTTCAAGCAAGAGATGACTGTGTTGTTGTTCCGAGTTGACATTCTTAATCTTTTTTACCGCATGATCAAAGGACCGGGTGGAATGGATTCTAAGAAACCCATTTTCAATGAGTGGGAGGAGTTGGTGAAACAGCTCGTACGCAAGCTGACAAAAAAAATCGAACAAAGACCTGCTTTAATTACCGAGTTATTGTTCAGTAAAATCAACTCAACCGCGTTCTATCTTGAATATGGGCACGAAAGGCAGACGATAACTACAACGAAAAAACCTCCAGCTGAACTAGAGGTTGACCCCAAGGCAGCTTCCACCGTGGATGAGAAGCTCACTATTGTGGTAGCTGCGTTAGTCAAAGACGAACAAACTGCAATAGTCAAATGGATCAGCGAGGTTTTAGGGTCAGCAGCCGATGAAAGGGAAGCATGGGAACAGCATGATCAGAATGTCGACCTCGCGGCGCCTCAAGATACTCCGAACCCCATAATTGGTATGTGTCTCTAGCTCTATCATCAGGGATGCTTCCACTAACATGTTTTAGCTATCAAGCCGCAGGATGAATCTTTTAAGAAGGCCATGTTCCTGAACGCCAAACTCCGACTCCTGATGACCCTTTTGAAGTTCGAGCGGCTGGGGCAAGAAAATGTGGAAGGCATATCCTGGGTTATTCCTTCTGGACTCAAATCAGCCGAATTGCGGGACTCAAAAGCTGTCATTGATAGAACGCTAGTGGTTGGGAATACAAACGAACGTGATCCTAACGACTTGCTACGCCGAAAGTATGGCGGCGAGCCGAGGGGGAACACCGACCAAACAACCCTCGAAGTGAATTTTGGATCGGACTCCGAAGGGGAAGATGTCATCCTTGATGGACCACTGTTTCCTCCAAATCCCCGAACTAAATCCAAAGTGCTCGATGAGCTTAAGACGAAAAGAAAACGTAAAAATAACGGGGAGAAGGAGCCAGTTGATGATGAGACATTGGAGAAACGTCGTCAGGCGCAACTGGAGAATACTAGGTCCCGTTTAGCGAAGATCAAGAGTGACCTATACGTTCATGCTAGTGACGAGGAAAGCGATGAAGAGGGGGACCAGGAATTCTTCCGCCTCGAAGAAGGAAGACGCAAGGAACAGTCCGAGCGGATCAAGCAAGCATTGCTCCTTGGGAGAACTGAAGACGACGGAAATACATCTAAGAAGAAACGAGGAAAACGCTCAAGTGCAAGCAGCGGACGGGAAGCAGGCGGAAAGCGACGGAGGCATAGTCCACAAGCTAGTCCTGAGGTGGAGGACGAAGACATTCTCATGAGCGCTACGGGCATGCTGTCGCGGGAGACATCTATGACCCCCTCCTTAGATGGGATCGATGACCTTAGCAACAAAGATATATCGAAAAACCCGACGGAAGATGAGCTCTATATCGATGACGACCTAGCATTCAGCCGAGACCGAGAGATAGGAGCCGAAATGCTTGCTGGTAAGGAGGATGACAACAAATCTGGCCCTAAAGAGAACGAAGCTGCAGCGGAAGAGGACGAAGAAGACGCGCCCTTGGCGGCTCCAGGTCGCAGACGCATGCGGGCTGGTTTTGTCGTCGAGAGCGACTCGGAATAATGCGACACAATCCAATAATGAGACACGAGGAGTTTGGAGTTTCTGGATTGGACCGGACGCGCATATAGTAGTAATTGTACGTATAGGACATGAAATAACATCAGTTTCGGCATATTTTTGTGCTGTTCGTGACTCATTTGCGCCCTTCAACAGCGATGACTCAGGATACCGGTATTGATGGATGTGGAGAAACCTCCAATACGACAGCTCGATAGAGCTTATATCTGGCCTTCCCCCTTGTACACGAAGCCGTTTCAGAACTACATCACTCGTGTACTTGAAGAAATGGCAAACAGCGTTAACTTCGTCACCCTTGATGTCTTCACCACGAAGACATATGAGGGAAACCCTCTTGCCGTGGTCTTTCTCCCCTCCCCCACAGACTTCCAACTAAGCCAACGCCAAAAGCAAACCATCGCGCGCGAATTTAATCTCTCCGAGACAATCTTCGTCCACCAGAAGACAGGCACCGGCGAAACCCGCACCATCGATATTTTCACCGAGAGCGCCGAGCTTCCTTTTGCGGGCCACCCAACCATCGGTGCTGCATCATGGTTTCTTGACCACGCACCAGAGAAAGACGCCAAAGTGACAAGTCTGCAGCTAAAGGCTGGAAATTTCCCGATTACCTTGCAGGATGCGAACCCGGGTGTAGTTGCAGCGCGCGTAGCGCATAATGTGCACACCCATGAGAACAAATACCCATTGAATGAGGCGTTGCGACTCTATCCGTCCTTGAAGCCGTACCTGGAGCCTTCGTCGGTTGCTTTGTTCTCCGTCGTAAAGGGTATGAACCAGCTTCTTGTTGAATTGCCCTCACTTGAAGCACTGAGCGCTGTGACGACGGCGTATGGGGGCCAGGCGGCCGACTCGACGTATTTGGACGCCGGGTGGGTTGAGGGCTTGCTTGCGACGTACTTTTACGTTAGGGACGTGGAGGACGAGAAGCTGGAGAGGATGGTTATTCGGACGAGGACGATCATAGGAAACCTCGAGGACCCCGCAACGGGGAGTGCTGCGAGTGGGTTGGCGGCATATCTTTCCCTGAGTGGGCAGCGGACCGGGCGGTTCAAGTATGATGTTGTGCAGGGAGTGGAGATGGGGAGACGCAGCGAGATCGGGGTTGAGGTGGTGATTGGGGAGGTGGGCAAGATTGAGAGTCTGACTCTAATGGGAAGTTCTGTGAGGGTGTCTGAGGGCCGCATTGTGGTTCCTGAGGATGTCTGATGTTTTGATTTATACCTACTTTATATATATGCCCGTGAACGACGAACTAGGTGGGCCTGATATTCACAAGCAAGCTGCTGCTATAAACAAACCTTACATTTCCCGCCAAACAAATGTAGCATGATTATTGTTGGTTTTGCTCCGTGTTCCTCCACCATTGCCTTTTCCCTCAATTGCTCCTGAATGTGTTCATCATGACCGGAAACAAGCACAGAAGCTTTCTAACAACAACGCTTCAAGCCCTCCGCAACACCTTCAGAAGGCACCGCAGCTGCAAATTTAGAGGTGCCTCTTTCTCTGAGGATACTTCAACCATGCAGAGCAGATCGGCGTCAATCTCGGTTAGGAAAGGCAATGGTATATCTAGCGACGACTCGCAATCATCCCGTTCAACCCGCAGTATCTCCGCGCCACACCACCGCAGCTCCTTCTACGCAGAGTACAACAGAGACTACGAAAAAACCAATGAACACGAGCAGAAATCCGAGTGCGAGCACGAGGAGAATAGCTCAGACGCATCCCGTGTAACAAGGGGCCTCCGAATTCGACGCTTCGCTTCTTGTCTCCATCGTCGCGATGTGGTTCCTCGCACTCAGACATCCGTGAAACTCAATCTCAGGCCAATACCCTGTTTCTCAAGACTTCCTGCCCCGACTATTCGGCCCGACAGTGAACGCTACTCCCACTCGGTATACCAGAAAGAAGGAAAGAGGAGTGTGTTATCCTATCTAGGAAGACGAGGGGCTGTGGAAAGCCAGGAAAAGCGTAGCATGTCTGAAAGCTGGACGAGTACGCCCATACTACAAGGAAACACCACTTCTCAACACCAGGATCGGAAATTCATTGTGATTAGAACAAACTCTGTTCATGGCTACAACGGCCGTGAAAATACTCCTGCGGAGATGAAGGTTTTAGCACCAGCACCAGCACCAACACCGGCACCGGCACCTGTTAGGAAAGAGCGACGAGTAAGTGGAATGTACAGCAGTAAGGGGAGCAGCCAATTCTTGCTGCCTCGCTCCTATCAATCCCACAACAGACTGTCTTCCCTGGGGGCCCCTTCCGGAGCAACGATGAGGAACACTATGACACCCCCCAAGTGTATCCGGTTGTCCAAGGGCTTTGAGGACCTGAAAATGCAATCGCCCCAACAGACAAAGTTGCCGATGCCTGTAAAGAACTCGAACCCTAGCCTAGCAAGAGATACAAATCGGATACAGAAGACACAATTACGAACGCAGATCCTCCAAGAAGCCAAAGAAAACAGCTCCCCGAAGGCATACCCGATGAACCTACAACACCACACAGCACTTCCTCCAGTAGATGCAGACGGGAACGGGACCACCTCCAAGGGTGCAAATGAACTAGGATCCAAGCTACCTCTAGCGAGTAGCAGCAGTACCAGGCAGAAGGTCCAAATAGAGAAAATGGTACCAACACCACTGCCACCAACCGTCCCTCCTCATACTGTTACTATCCCAGGGCGGGTTTCATCTCGAGTGTCAAATCCCAAGACGAGAACAAAGCTAACACCACAAATCAATGATCGGATACAGGTCGAAACAGCCATGCCTCAGACATACTGGCTTGGTCGGTTCATGACTCTCACAAATGCATTTCAGTACGAGGATTCCTTCAACGAGCCGGATATTGCAACGGGATTTGAAATGCCTTCAAGCTACTCGCGACCATTTCAGCGCTCGCATGATGGCGATCTAGCAGGATATCGAGTGAAGAGAGCGTTTATGGTGTTAGAGAATGTTTGTGCGACAGAAGAGGCGAGTGCAAGCTTGCGAGGGTTTCGAGATGAATACATTTGTCGATTCGGAGATTCGTGGATGGATTAAACAGTAATAACTATGGCTGCGATACTGCGGTTTCGCTTTGTATTCTCATGATAGATAGAATTGAAGTTTAAATTGGTTTGTTCGATGCTGAATGCTCCGATGAGTGCTGTGTCATGGTAACCCTTCAGAAACTCCTTCGTTATAACGCCAGCCCTAATTGAATAATACAATGGAAACCCCGAGAAAAAGTAGAAGTGAAAAAAAAAAAAAAAAAAAGAAAGAAAAGAAAAAGAAAAAGAAAAACCCAGACATGGTTTAGTTTTTAGTTTGCCCCATCTTAAGTACGGGTCGTGAAATCCGTCTCGAGGGCGGAATCAATGGCGCTGGCCTTCTCACAGGTACACGAAGCTAGCACGGAAAGTCAGCAACGGCATCAAAAACCAAAGTTTAAAGCAAAACGCAAAACTTACCCTCTGGTCTCTTCCCGCAAGGACATGCCTCGCCAGTCACAGGGTGGTTTTCACTTGTCGCCCGCTCACAGGTGCACTGACCGGCGGGACGAGCACCTAGATAGCAAAAGAACAGTTAGCGAACGCGATCCAATAACACCCGGTATACAAATACCAAGCAAAAGTGAGATATTAGGAGGAATTAAACATACGGCAAGAGCATCTAGCACCTTGGATAGTGTTTTCAGTAGTTGACTTGTTGCAGGTGCAGTGGAGAGCGGATTCCTTCCCGCAGGAGCACTTTGCTTGTGCGGCGCAGACGCAGCCACCGCTGGGGTTGGTTTTGCAGCAGGTTGAAGCAGGGTGGACCATTTTGATTGATTTTGATTGAGTCTTTGGAGTGGGCTCAGTTGAAGGCTGGGATTTATGGTATTGGAGAGGTGGCGTCAGTTGATTCTGTGCGAAGTACTCCCAATGGGTTTGTCGGTGGACTGGTCAAGGTGAATTGCTATCACAGGAATGTGACGCGAAAATATATGTAGATGGATGAGGAAGGATAAAACCAAATCCATCGCATCTGGTGGTGCCCGGAGTATTTATACAACGTCGGGTCTCTTCTGCATCAAGTCATCGGCGGCGGTGCTTAGCAATCTGGCGATGCTGATTGGCTGGACTCCACAGCGGCACCTGCTGCCCGGGGCCGTGTCAGAAAATCATGGCAGATTGATTGGTCGGATATAGATCGCTGAGCGAGAAATTGGTAATTGTTCTCTGTGCATTGGGCAATTGGCTGTCAACCCCAAAGGTATTGCTTTTCCTGACAGCTGATTGGAACATCCATACACCATAGGAGTGTCGCTGGTGGCGAGATGGCACGGTTCAGGCTGAAAGTAGATATGTACATCGCCAATAACAAAGATTTAACATTATAGCTCAGCTGAAAAAAGTCTTTGAAACAAGGCCAAGCATAGCAGAATAGCAGTTATATGCACAAAAAAACAAACCCAGCGCCAATCATCCCAACTCCATATACAAACAATGATTTTCCGCCTTGTAAGCAGTAAGTATTCAATAAAACAAGACCGAAGAAAATGTCGACTATATCCAATCACCAACATATATACGAGAAAGAGCTAGGTGCTCTCCCGATGAATTAAGGATGTACTTGGACAGCCATCAAGTTTATTATAAAATGCCTCCACCGTCGAAATGGCGTACAGAGGGGGGCGAAAGTCGAGAAATAACGCTTCGCGCTTCACAGCCTAGAGATAATTTGCGTATTCGTACCCTTGTCCGTACTTTGCCCTCAAAGGATCCATGACATTGGCCGGGTTCATCCTCTCATCGGCGGAGCTGCTGACCGGGATATGCCCCGTCTCGGCGGGGAACGACGCCGGTAGACTCAGGCTAGAAGCATTGGACTGCGTGAACGGTATGCCGGTACTCATACTATAAGGGTGGTGCTCGTACGAATAGGGGCGGTATTCGGGTGCGTCCGAAATCGGCAGGTGTTGCAAGGTGGACATGCTTCTTCCAGCGGGTTGTATGTGCGTGCTCATTTCCATTCCACCGTATGTTTTGGGAGTAGCCATTGAAAGGGAAGACTGGTAGCTATGTATTTGCGGACCTATAACAAAAACCGTCTGTCTTAGCAATGTGGGCCTCTGAAGACGAGCTGGGAACTTACTCGCACTGTCCATTCCGTACGGCATTTGTGGCTCTGGTTGGCCAGTGGGCGATACAGAACCTTCCAACGGGCGAGGCTGGTTGTAGCCAACCATCATGCCATTTGCTGGGCGATTTATAACATAGTCCATTGGCCGTCGATATGAAATCCCAGAGTGACCCATGGCCTCTGCCCCGGGTCTCGAAAACCGACCGGGAAATTGAAGTCCTGTATTGAAAGAAGACTCAGAGAAGCTGCTCGATCGAGGAAATGGGAAAGTTCCACGATTGCTCCTCAGGTCTGGAACCGTTGCTGCTGCGCCTCGGTTTTGATAGTTCTCGAAGCCTCTTTCTGATGAGGCAGATGGATAGCCAGGGCCACTGGTCGAGGCCGAGCTCAATGGAGATATAACGTAGTCGTCATCGTTCAGGCGCGGTAACCCTTCGGTAAGGAGTCCCTAAGTACACACATATTAGACTAGAAGTACAGCCAACAGAATCTGGGTAATCGAACCGGTGCTTCTGAAGAACCCTTACTGCCAAAAGGAGTTCGTAACACCTGAGTTGTATCAAAGTCATCCGGCAGGGCTCGAGACTTTAGCATACGCTCCCGATCGTTGCTGGTAAGCCGCTTGAGCTTGGCACGTCTAGTTAAAGAACTTGTGCGTTAGAGATTATCGAAGGAGAATAGTCATTCCCTATGCTGAGAGAAAAGTACCTATTTTGGAACCAGACCTGAACCTGACGGGGAGTTAGTCCAGGGATTTCTCTCGAAAGTCGCTCTCGGTGTGCTGCGTCAGGATGTGCCTGCCGAGTGAACTCGCTCATCAAAAAGCGTGTTTGGTTATGCGTGAGGCTCCGTAGGGTTAGAAATAGAACAAGAAGTGATATTCGAAGACTTACCGAAACCTCTTCATCTTTTTCTTATCCGATTTCGAATCCTGGGAGGCCCTCTTCTCACCACCAACAGATGATCCTGCCTCGTCATCGTCGGAGGAGGCTGCGTTGATCTCGCTATTGTCCCTCTCGTCCTCATGGAGGTCGTCTGAAATCTCGGGCTTGACTTTGAAGGCTATTTCATCATTCGTTTGGGAAGCTTCTGTCTCTCGATTCCCGGCGCTGAGACAGCCTATTTTCAATCTTGACATGGTGTCGCCCTGAACGTTTGTATTTTGGGCCTGCAAGCCATCCAACGACGCTCCATCCCCCGGGTACTGCATTGCACTGGCAGGACCAGGAACAGGCGGGGATGAAAAGGTCTTCTCAGCCTTAATCACAGTAGGCTGCATTTCTGTGGCAGAAACTTTGTTTTGCTCGCCTGCTTTCCCTCCAACTCCGGATAGAGCCGGGGGGTTTACCCTCGATTTCGATATCTCTTGCTCGCCGTTCCACGAGACTGTGGCCCAGGAACTCGTGATTGCGGGGGAATGGGTAGCTGGTGATGGCACCGTTGACACCCAGGCACAAGGACCACTGACTGACATGGTCGTAATACCCCCTTTCTGCCTAATCCATTAAGATCCCTCAGGAACACGATTTCAGCGCAGGCGTAGGAAGTTGCTCAGATGATGTCGAAGGAGGAGATCAAATACTGATGGAGTTCTAAAAAGGGACACTGCTGGCCCTGAATAGAGTGGGTCTAAGAAAGTTGTCGGAGGTCTTCTGGAAGGGCCAAGGGTCTCGGAGTCGTTGGTCCAGGGGTAGTGATAAGAATGGAAGTAAACAGTAAGTTCCTGGTTTGCCGTTCTTAGATCGTCCTGAGACTATTGCCGGGCTCAGCAGCTGACGAAATAAGAAATGACCTAACCAAGTAGATGTTTCCTATAAAAACATTAAAGGGGAGTCTTAGTCGTGACTGGGATCACCATCAGCCAGCGGTAAGAAATAAAGATCGATTTCCACAGTTGGGTCTTTGGCGTGGCCGAAAACTCCAGCCTCCTGGCGCCTGGTGAGGGAAGAAGGGAGGATCAGAGATTAAACAGTGCTGAGCCAAGCGGGTCGCGACAAAGAGATCAAGGCACTCAAAAAATAAAAAATAAAAATGAAAATAAAAGACCAGGAAGCCCGCGGCGCTTAGGTCCAGGACTATGGTCAAACTCCGAGAATAATGATCCACAGAATCTGTCACTCGTGCCCCTGCAGGGGAGGGGAGTGCCAGGAGTGAGGGGTGGCAATTGGCAATGGAGGAGTGTCTCCCCCAGTCGATGGAAGGAAGGCTGACGGGTCTCGACTTGAGAGACGAATGGCAAGCACGGCCTAATGCAGGAGGCGATTCAAGGAAAACTGGCAAGTTGTTTCTCAAGAAAAAGACTCGAAGGCTGGGATATCTCACGCCAAGCTACAGATATGAGCCATTCTTCCAGAAGTATCAGAACGTGCCGGCGGGACTCACAAGGCTAATGCAGACGGAGAGTAACAGAAAGGTGGGTATTTGGAGAACTTGGTTTGAAATTCAAACAACAAGGCAGCTGTAGCAGGGTATGCGGCGGGAGTCGATTCGGCGGAGCTACTACTCGGAGTAGAATTGGACGATAATAATGATCATATAAAGGTTCGTCGCAAAGTGTTTTGGATTGAACAAACGTTGGCGCTATTTGGAGTTCGGGGGACAGACAAGGTTGGGCTGATAACCAATCAAAGATAGTCCTAGGAAAATTGAAGGGAAGAATACGGAGTAGATGGGATGTCAAATAGAAGCAGAATAATAAGTGAATGTCTTAAGACAGGAGGGAGGGCAATAGGATGGCTACACCCGTTGACAAGAGAGAAGGTGGCAAGTAGTAGATAAACAGGGAGCAGTCTGCAGCAGCCCTGTGGGAAAAGACGAAGAGGGTAGTAATGCGACAGTACAAGTGGTAGAGTCGTACGCGATCGAGAATTGACTTTCACGAATGGAACTACTGTTGTCGTCGATTTGCGCGACTAATGGTGCACCGTGCAATGAAAAGGAAGAGGCCACCACCTATGCGTATCCAATTTCCACATGGGCAAAGAAAGATGTTACAGAGCAGTGATGAGCCGCCGTTCGCGAGAGTTTATCGATATGGATTGCCCGTCGAAGGCCAAAGCTGTTTGGCAAACCTTTCGGCGTGGAACAAGCACGCCAAACCGGGATGATTCCTGAGTCCGCAGCATTGCAAAGTTGCGGGTCACTGGGAACAGTCTTAGACTCATCCCCACCCTCTATGATGCTCACCAATCAATCGTTGCTAGAGGGGGGAAACGGACCCTTGCTCTTGATGGCTGGTCTGTCGGAGCCGGGACCGACTCAAGCACCAGCATCGTGATTTTAGACTAGATGCCAGGTCACAGGTTCAGGTTGTCTCTCCGATGGAGACGATGGCACACCATGTGGAAGACGTTCCGGGAGAGCGAAACTAAGTGGTGCTTTCGTTTGGAGTCCACCAAACACAGGACCTTGCTCGAGGCAAAAGAGGCCCTAACGTTGAAGCCCTGTTAGCGCCCTGTCCGGCATCAGCCAGCCAAGACACACCGTCCCAACTTTCCAAGTAGGAGTGACGTGAATGGGGACGACACGAGGAAAAGTGAAACCTCGTCTCCTCCCACGCGGAAATACATAATCCAGACTGGGGATGGTGGGCAGCGGAATATGGCAGCAGGTGCCAGAATTGATACAGTGGTGAAGACCAGACTCCTCTCGCACTCCGCCTGCTGGTTCTGATTTGTTAGAAGGATTCAGGAACAGGACGGGTCCTGGAGGGTGGCACAATGGATCATGGAATAATTCATCCAGCGCCATGGGACAGGAGGGCTTGAGGAGAGAGCGACAGGAAGAATAGATTCCACCAAATGGAGACGTCGCAGGCGGAGGTGACCTCCTTGCCCGGTCTGGACTAGCGCAGGAGTGTCGATGGTCCTTTTTACCGAACATCGACCGGTCTTCAAAAGGTCGACGGCAACTTCTGCGGTGTAGACTTCGCTCCACGGCATCTGTGTCAGGGCTTGGAGGCCGGGAGACTCGCGGTTGACGATCACCACAATCGACGCGAGTCGTGACGATTACTAGTGACCTGAATCGTCCCGGTTGATTCAGAGTTTCCTGGAGGCTGGACCTGGATTCATGTTCCGAGCAGCTTGCTGGGAACCAGAAATCCAGGGCAACACTAGGAGAGACTACAAGAACGGACACTGGACCGAGACTGTCCGAGTCTGCGCTAAAATCGTGTGCTTGTCAACGGCTTCGACGCTTTCCATTCTCCACTGGCTAGTTCTTGCAGGCGGGGCGAGAAGGAGCCAGGAGGGGAACGGAACTCCACCAAAAGGCACCTGCATGAAACACTCACGTCCCCAGAGCGAGACGGAAAAGGACCACTGCAGAACCTCAATGCTGCCAGAAGGAAACCAAAGAAATATTCGAAACGCCCTTTTGTTTCCAGGGTGATCATGCAGCAGAGAAATCAAAGGCAAGAAAAAGATAAGATATCGCTGGGGGTTTGACTGCGAGCGCGACATGAATCGTAGTGGGTCAACCAGTTGACTGTTGATCGAATCCAGCGTCTGAGGTGAGCTCGCTTAGAGCAGAAGAAAGAACCAGGCAGGATATGACACTGAAGGCTGACGGACGGGGTAGGATGCCCGTGAGCACTCCGTACGGAGCTCCGCATACTACGTGCTGCGAAAAAATCTGGGAACCATTATTCATTCCCAAGCGCTTGTATTATTATTATTATTATTTTTTCTGGTCTCACGGTTCCTGATACCTCTGCTTCCATCACGAGAAAAGCAACGTCGTGTATCTGTCGGTAACCGGAAAGGCAGGAAAGATTGAAGACCCTTTTCGAAGGGGATTCTAATCGGCAGAATTACTTCATACCCGATGGGGCTCAGCTCCGCTCGAGATCGATGTCGTCAATCTTGCCTCCGAAGGAGAAGGAGACTACTCGGAGGAGACGACATTTCCAGGAACGAGGTTCGCGCGGCACCGTCCGGTGGAAAACGACGGAAGCAGCACTGGAGGTTCTAATCGCATCACAAAGGCCTTTGGCTCTTGGCTTTGCTCGGAGAATTCCTAGCCAGTGGTGAGACTCGTGTCCCTTGCTAACCAGAAGAATGCGTCAACCTGTGAAGGATTGACATCTGACAGTCATCTTCAGCCGCTGTTGCCCTTGATCTAAAAAAACTGGGTTTCTTGCCTAGATAGGAAAAGTTCCAGGCGAAATCTCGGAGATGTCAAATGTGAGATCCCCGACTAACTACGTCTCCGTATTGATATCCCGCCCTGTGCGTAGGTATACCTGCCAACACTTACCGGCGGTGAGCGGGTACTTTGGTAAGAGACCTTCCAGGAGGCTTCTATTTTGAAGATTCCTGGGCCGAAAGTGGGGGGGCAGTGACTTCGTAAGCCTCTAACCTGAAGGATCCAAGTGTCGAGACTATTCTGCACTATGGCTTGATCGCGTCAAAGCTTTCTCCTTGGTGTGAAAAGGACATCGATGATCCTGGATCGCAGTGGCATCGTGTGGCAACGGTGCGGGGAAGAAGATCACAGGCGAATCACGATGCACAAAGCAGCCAGTCAAAGCTGGAGCCATTGCGGTGATGCTGGTTTAATCTGCTTTCAGCCCTCGCGCCGGGCTCAGATGGAGAACAACCTCCCCTTCATTTTGGTTTTCAGCTTTGGCCAGAGTATACGAGTCCTCAGTTCCTCAGCCCTCGTCTGGTCTGTGCGGGTCACCAGCCAAGCTGAAACGCCGCATCTCCATTCTTTAAGTCTTTGGACTCCATAGTGGCGGGATGTGCCTTATCTTCGGGCATATTCTACCGAGGCACATTCTACCGACGTAGGTATACCGTATACGGAGCTCCGTCGACCTCATGGATCCTTGCTGGGGAATCTGATACCTTCAGAATCCATCGAGAGGATCGGGATGGTTACCTCCTTGGTCCCGCGATGTTCCTCTTTGCTGCTGAGGAGCGTTGAAACACCGGATCAGACATTGATGGTTTTCTCGGCATAATCAAGGCGTGAAGAACCGGACAGCTTCCGCCTTCTAGGGCTCGAGCCTAATTTTACCGTGAAACATGACAGACGCCCTTTAATCTCGCGTCGAGGACATCAGCACTTCCATGTTCTGATTTCAAGGTGCCTGCGTTCCCGTCACGCTGTTCACCTTGTCCACTTGTCCGCTTGTCCGCCTGTCAGATTGTCACTTGCCAGGCTTTCATCACTTGGGATTGTTTCGGTTAAATTGGAGTTTATGCATGCCGTTCTTCACCACCACACAAGATGAGGTCCGGGCTTCTAATTAATGCAGGTACTTTGCAGGGGAGTAATATTGTTGATCTTTGAAAATTTGCTAAGGCGCCGAGAATTGGCTGCCGAGATCCGTGTACAGGATAGAAAACTCTAAAGGGTCAAAGGATCGAGCGGAGGATCCTGTAATTGCCGATTATTTACAGGGTAATCCGTCCGTCTCGACTTCTCTCGGACAGATATCGTTCATTCATGGCGCCACTGAAAGTATTGGCTCTGTGTTAAAACCCCGTGGCGAATATCGGAGTATAATCCTGATAATTCCACACAATAATTAACTAGGAGCGTCATCCGAGACTGCCTGCCAATTGTTCTGCGTTCATATCCAACCATTAGTCGCCCATGGGGCAGCGCTACATATGCAAGGAGCCATCTCCCGTCTGGTGTATAACCCACTGACCACACAGATAGCCACGTTGACACTGGCATTCTCCTTCATAAAAGTTCGGGCGGGGAAACATGCATCAAGCTGTTATCGAGGAGATTGAGACCTGCTCCGGGCGGAAGAGAAGTTGCATGGCGTCAACTAATAAACCAGCGCAGGCGTCCCTGCCGGCCGAGCCATCAAGGATTGCAAGAACTTCCTGCTACCTTTTACCCAAGGCCAATCCTCCGTTGTACCTTTGCATGGGATGAATAGTGACTGAGAATATATCCCTTTGCTACGGACTAATTGATTTCGTCCTGGCTGCAGTCCAAGGTGCATAAGTCATATGTACCACCAGGCAGCGGATCGGCCGAAGTGAGCGCCAATAGAGCCAATCAAAGATGATCACACTGTGGAATTGTTGCATTCACGAGGGCCTTGAGCATGTTCATGACCCCGGCACATCAGCCTCGGTGGCCACTGCGTCGTTCACATCAGCTGCCTTCTCTTCAGCGATAGCAGATGCGCCTCCCCCAGTTTCAGTGTCCATTTCATGATCCTGCGATGGCCCATTTGATTCGCCCTCCTGAGAAAATTTCGTTGTAGTATCCTGCGGCATACTGTTGGTAGGCTGGGTGGTGGCTTCAATGGACTGCGCAGTTTCAAAGAGTGACTTGAGGTTTTTTCCGTCCTCGATCTTGTCGAAAGCTGCGAACTTGCTTTTGGTGGAAAGCCGCAACATCAGCCAAGTCTTGCTTGCTTTTGCTTGAACAGCGGCTTCTTTATCTTCCCTCGTTTGCGCAGTATCGATGTCAAATTCAACATCCTCAATCACTCGCATGAGCGACTCTAAGGCGGGAACATTGAACCTAAACTGTATGTCAAACAACGCTAACAATTTATTCAAAAAGGTTGGTTTCGGGTGCTTACCTTTCGGTTTCTTTCAGTCTTTCGACTCCGGACAAGGATTCACTTTCAGAAAGGAACTTTAGATTGAGAGAGTTCATAGGAGAAGAACGAAGTCGCCTGTTGGCATATGTCTTGATTGCCTTTTCGCGCGCGCTAAGATACTCGTCCACCGAGATTGCAGGCCTCTCTATCGGAGGACAGCCTTCAGCCTTCCAGCGCACCCAGTTCTTATCCCGCGATAGGACAGTATCTACCATACGATAGTAAAATTTTCCTCCTGCACCTTCTTGAAGATATCCTTCAATTGATTTCCTCATTTTCACGGCCCATTGCGCCTAACAGTGTTAGATGTGGGTAAAAGGAACAGTGTTAGGGATATCCTACATCCTCATCATTAAGTAAAAACCCGTAAAGGACAGATTTGTTGGTCAAATCAGCCAGTTTTGCTTTTGACTTTGACGTAAGTGACAGCATGAAGTCCAGAAGTATCAGGGCCTGGACCAAAACATGTCGTCTAAAGGCAGTATCGTTGACCTAAGAAGAGTAAGTTGCTTGCTTTAAACTGTACAGCACATCTAAGAAATACCTCAAGATCAAAAAGTTCCCGACTTGTCAGGTATTTTGGATTGAAGCTGCTTGCAATTTCAGGTCCATCTGCTGTTCGTTTCCGTTTGGTGGACTTCCGAATTTCCTCATGTGTCTTGCTATTAGAAGTTTCGAGGTCCGTATTAACCGTCCTAAATGCTGATAGTGTGGATTCAAGCCCGGTCTTAAATGTAGCAAAGTGCTGGGCATTGAATATTTTCGTTGGCGACGAGAAGTAAGCCTGCAAACCCCAAAATATAGGGTAGAGAGTATCGAGGTCGGGTGTGCGTTCCCCTGTTTGCCCCCCAGATTGAGAAACGGTCACTTTTGGCGTCTTGTTCGTATCAAGCGCGGTCAACTTGTCCTCCTTTTCGGTGGTGGCTTGGTCTTCAGTTTCTTGGTTCTGAACGTCGGCTACCGACGTTGTTTCCTTGCCATCTGGCGAATCCAAATCCATGCCATCTGTTCCACCAGTGGTTTCCTTCGTAGTATCGTCGAAGGCCGTTACATTCTCGGTATGGTATTCACCTCGGAGATTCACCGCGCTTTTATCCCCAAGAGGGAAACTTTGGAAGAGGAAGATAAACACACGGCCGCAAAAGACGGTGTCCTCTGCTCGTGAGAGTCTACGAAGCAATTCATTGCAAGACCTCAAAATAATCAAGTTCTTTTGTTTGAAATGTTTCTTCAGGCAAGTCAGCGGCCCAACATTCATAAGTGCAGTTTGAGGGCAAGCGTACCTTCGTGTTCCGTTCTCTCCGAGACTCCAAGTAGTCAAAAACCTTGCGGCAACCCTCGATCGTCTGGCTATCTAATAGTTCTTCAATCAACCAGAATATGAGGCCGGGCTCGCATTGTTCTAAATGACGTTAGGGCGTCTTTCAATATTTCGCGAGGCGAAAACGAACCATTGTCGGAAAAAACTGATATGATGTCCAGTAAATTCCATATACAAACAAATTCCGAGTCGTCGATCGTTGTAGAAGCCTGGTATGACAAGACTGTCAGTTGCGAATTTCGGGGCGAGTATGGGAATTGAGAAGGGAAACCATACGAGGAGACCATAAAATTTTTCTCGAAAAGCGATTTCCACAGCGGCAAACTGTGTTTGTTGACTCAATTGCTTGACGAGCTGCGCATCTTTACCCTGGATAAGCCAAAACGATCCCCCAAGCTGTGTTTCTGTCAACGGGGGCTCGACCTCCTTTCCTGGCTTGACCTGTTCTGCCTTTGCCAAGAGAGAGTCAATCAATCTCCTGTAGACATCAATCAAATCGACATCTGCATTCGCCATTTTTTTTGTTACGGCGGCAGCTTTTGCCGATGATACCACCGTCGCAGGTGAAGTTGGATTTGCGAGGGAGCTTCAGCCTTTGGAGCCAACTTGTTGCTGCGGCTCTACGAGCTTTAGACCAATTAAAATATGCGCTAGGCGCGCGGCTAAACTAGGTCAGCCACCACAAACCATTTGCGCAAATCCATATACGTTATCGGCCCGCGCGAGGAGAGCTTTTGGCCCTTGGGCAACTCGAACATTGAGGGATGGGTCTCCAGACACAACATGCCATGGCGTCCGGCCTCGACTCCAGACCGACTGTGGAGGACTTTCGCGATGATAGTCCTTGGGTGCGACTAGCCAAGACACATTGGCTCGACGCTGCGAATGTTCGCAAAGTAAAGCATGATGTGATCAAGAAGGATATATGGGATCCTCTGGAAGCTGAAAACTTCAGCTTCCGTTCACTCCTTACTTTGGAGAATTTAAACATTCTGGAAAAGTATTGCGCATCTCGTCTTTGTTCAATTCGGCTCGGCATTACTAAATTATCAACAGGTTTCTCTGGCCAACCTACACCGAAGATGCCTCGAATTATCATGTCCTACTACTAACATTGATTGTGAGCGTCAAACAGAGAGAGCATTTGCCAATATGGGGTAAGTAAAACCCTACTTATATGGCGTATGAAGGCTGACCAAATCTAGAAATCTTCTCAGACCGACCCGATGTTTTCTCAAACCTTTTCCACCGGATCCTTTCCATGAGTATAGATCAGTCGCTCCCTTCGTCTTCCCGTATATCCATACTGTCCTTCATGATCAGTGCCTTTCAGTCGCTTGAGAATGCGTTGATCCGGAAAGAATGCGCACCGTTAGTTTCCATATCTATCTGGCATAATCTTCATAGTGAGGAGGCGAGAGAACGGGTGCTTGCGAAAGCCCCAAGTCTAAAAAAGGCATGGAGGGCATCTACGAAGCGCTATGAAGCGGGGGACGAAGCGACTAAGACAAGAATGCGATTCGAGAGGTCTTGGTTGTACACCATGCTTCTAGATTTCCTCCGAAGACTGAACGGGTCCGAGAAAGACGAGAGAGATGACCTTCGATATTGCGAACGGTTTCTTGAATTTCTTGTCGATCTCGAGAGCCAGCTTCCCACGAGACGATACGTAAATACTTTGCTCAAGGACCTTCACCTCCTACCTATCTTACGTCTATCTCAGCTATATCGCTCTGCAGAAAACGCGCTTTTCCGCGATTTCTATAATCTCCTCAAACATTTCGCTACCTTTGCAATTAACGATTATACGGGGGAGGCCCTCTCAGCCCAAGCAATGTACGATAGTCACTGTCATGACTTGGCGCAACTACAGAGGACCTCCATGAAACATTTTAGGGACAAACTGACAATCCTGGCTTTATCAAATTATGGTTCCATTGAACAGCGTTCTGAACTTGAGGGTCAACTAAGTTCGCTGGACGATTCAGAGCTTCAAATCCTATGCTCGCGCCTAGGATTTCGCACAAATTACCCTAAGCAAGCGAACGTCGCTTCCGATCGTCATTTTTACATGGAGGTGCTCCTGTCGTATCATGAACGAACAACCTCATTCCAAGAAGCCGCATCTAATCTAAGTGTTGTCCCGACGGAAGAAAATCTGTACGACCCATCTTTACTTCGAAATGAGACGTACGATGGATCCAGGCCACTCGCTATCCCCAAACTAAATCTTCAGTATCTCAGCCTCGGCGATTTTCTTTGGCGGTCATTCCTTTTATACCGGGCGGAGGCTTTTTTCCAAATCCGAAAGGACATGGAATCTATCATCAAGCGAATGCAACCTCGATCAAGTCAGGATGGAAAGACTTTGGTATTTGAAGGGTTTTCTCGTATGGCCATTCCAATTGCAAAGCCCGCCATCATTGAGGTCGCTCCTCCCAAAGTTGGATCCGATAAACCAGCTTTCGTGCGGGCGGAGATTACCATCGAGGTTGGAAGATTGGCAGACCACATCCGTACGGAGTGGGATTCTCTTCGCCCTGATGATGTCGTCTTCCTGCTCGCTGTGCAGCCTGGTAATCCTGGTAAATTTGGACTGAAAGATTCCAATGCTGCTCAGACGCCAGGTATTATTCATCTTAGGTCGGCTGATGTTGTACAAGTCCTCGATGAAGCGGGCCGTCCATTGCGCGACCCATCTTCTAGTCAGGCAAATGGGTACCGATCTCGCCCTCGCGTTAGAAGGTTACTGGTCAATTTAGACCCTGTTGCTTTCAAAGGGGATAAAGATCGTATTTTGCAAGAGAAGCCTGATGTCTACCCGCTGATCAATGTGGTTGCAAGAAGGAGAGGAAGAGAGAATAACTTCAAGTCGATCCTCGAAACGATGCAAAGGCTGATCGTGTCTGATATTACCTTACCACCATGGATCCAGGATATTTTCCTGGGCTATGGAGATCCCGCCGGAGCCCGCTTCACAGAATTGCCTAATCGGCTGAAGTCTGTGGACTTTAGAGATACATTTTTGGACTGGCAACATCTGATCGAGAGTTTCCCGGGCCTGACAATTGAGCCTTCTGGCGATGCTACATCGAGCTTTCCCCCGCCCTATGCCCTTGAATATATCGAGGAGCCCACCCAACTGCCTGTATCGGGCGCATCGAAGAAGCGTCGGAGGGACCAATTTGTGGAGGCGCAAGCGGCACCTAAGAGCCTTCGCGTTTCCACGTACAAGCCACCAAACCCAGGACCGTATCCAGTAGATGCGCCAAAGCTCAATACTGTCCGTTTCACACCGGCTCAAATTGATGCCATTGCTTCGGGAACGCAACCAGGGCTCACGGTTATTATCGGCCCTCCTGGAACCGGAAAGACTGATGTCGTCACCCAAATTATCAACAATATTTATCATAATTTCCCTCACGAGCGCACGCTACTTGTCGCACACAGCAACCAGGCCTTAAATCAACTATTCCAAAAAATTGTCGCCTTGGATATCGATGAGCGTCATCTACTGCGCCTCGGTCATGGCGAAGAAGAATTAGAGACAGAGTCCAGCTATAGCAAGTATGGCCGCGTTGAGTCGTTCCTCGACAATCGAAACTATTTTCTTGCGGAGGTCACACGCCTGGCAGCTTCGATCGGAGCGCAAGGTGCACACGGAAATTCCTGCGAGACTGCCGGCTACTTCAATACAGTCTACGTCAAGCCTGCGTGGGCGAAGTACTGGGATTCTGCTCGTGCTGATAATGCGTCCACCGAAGAAATCATCGCAACCTTCCCGTTCCACGAGTATTTCTCCAATGCGCCGGCGCCAGTGTTCGATCCTTCTGCTCCGAAGGAGGCACTGATTGATGTGGCAGAGGGTTGTGAGCGCCATATTGACAAGATTTTTTCTGAGCTAGAAGACATCCGCCCATTCGAGATTTTGAAACAGCCCAAGGACAAGGCGAACTATCTGCTTGTCAAAGAAGCGAGGATAATCGCAATGACAAGCACGCACGCGGCCATGCGACGTCAGGAGATTGCGGATCTTGGGTTCCATTACGACAATGTTGTCATGGAAGAAGCTGCACAGGTTACCGAAATTGAAAGTTTTGTCCCCGCTGCATTGCAAAATATGAAAGAAGGTCAACTGCCTCTGAAAAGAGTTGTTCTATGCGGAGACCACCTTCAGAATTCCCCGATCATCCAAAACATGGCCTTTCGACAATATGCCCATTTCGAACAAAGTCTTTTCCTTCGCTTAGTTCGACTTGGCGTCCCAGCCATCACTCTCGACCAACAGGGTCGTGCCAGACCAAGCATCGCAGAGCTTTTCCGGTGGCGGTACCAAAACCTCGGAAATCTCCCTATCGTTGACGAGGCGCAGGAGTTCAAACAGGCAAACGCAGGTTTCAAGTATGAATACCAGCTCATCAATGTTCCAGACTACCAAGGCTCTGGAGAACGCGAGCCGACTCCTCATTTTATCCAAAACCTTGGGGAAGCGGAGTATGCAGTTGCGATTTTTCAGTTCATGCGACTTCTTGGGTATCCCGCGTCAAAGATCTCGATCCTTGCAACCTATGCTGGTCAAACGGCATTGATTAAAGATGTCTTGAATCATCGGTGCGCCAAGAACACGTTGTTTGGCATGCCCAAGATCGTCACGACGGTAGACAGGTACCAAGGCGAGCAAAATGATTGTAAGTTCTCAGTATACATTTTATATCAGGTCAACGTCTCCATACTAACCACGGTTTTTCTCCAGATGTCATTCTTTCCCTTACGCGAACTCGAACAGTTGGATATCTCCGTGATGTACGCCGGCTAACGGTGGCACTTTCGCGTGCCCGCCTGGGGTTATATGTTCTTGGCCGCCGTGAGGTTTTTGAGTCATGCTACGAACTAAAACCCGCATTTGACTTGTTGTTACAACGCCCAGATAAACTCATGCTTGCCCCTGGAGAGATGTTCCCTGCCACTAGGACATTGGATGACGATGTTCAAGGGAGTCCCATGGAAGGTGTGGAGCACCTCGGCCAGTATGTGTTTGAGATGACCCAAGCCAAGATCAAAGCCATGGACGGACAAGACGCGGTTGTTGATGAGGAGATGCCAGATGAGGAGGGCGACCTTGTTGCAGAAGATGGAGATGAAGTTATGCTTGGGGCAGGTGAAGAAGGGGAGGAAGACCCATTGCACGAACATGTATACACTTGAACATGACATCTAAAAAAAAAAAATTAACGGAATGGCCGAGAACCGGAGCCTGACTTGATATTTATAAATTCCAATTTACAAATTGTGGTAAAAAAAAAGGTTCTAAGCACGCGCATTTATATATATCTATATTTATCTGGTATTTATTAGGATCGTCTGGTTCTTCATGCACGAAGCCCCCATATGCAAAAAGAATTTCTACGATGCTTTGCGCTCACTCAACTCCTCAACAATATTCTGAGGGTCTTTCCAGGCAAGCGCAACATATCTATTTGTTATTTATGTTAGCATGGATTGGAACAGCCTCCCAGCATTACATACTTAGTGTGGCTCCCCCTGGCGAAGATGTCGCCTTTGGGGTTCATAAACCTGATTGAGGTATATGCAAGGGTTTTGCCAACTGCAGATCAGTTAGAGAGGCGATCCTCATTGAACGGGAAGGCCGTGGCAGCTTTTCTGCACATAACACCTGGAAACATACATTTATCACAAGTCACCTCCTACAGTAAAGTTAGCCATATATTGATTAACCGAATTTGGATGGGTATGTGCAGGGTTGGACGAACCGCCAGAATCTTATCGCCGACCTTGCCACCAGAGCTGAGATATGTCACTGAAGATCGTTAGGTGTATTCCGAGATTAGCTCCCAGTTGGGGCAAACTATATCGCTACGCACCGTTTAGATCGGTGGATACACCTGTAGCATATAGCCCCCGGGATGCGACGGCCAATGAGCCACCGAGATCGACTTAAATATCCAAATGTCAGAGAGAATTCGGGAAAGAGAGGATGACGCATTTGGCACTACTTACCCATACTGGCGATGGTACCACCATGGAGGATACTCAAACGGTTCTGGCAATCCATCAGTCATTCTTTCCCGCAGCATAGGAAAGTTGCCATACCGTATGTTCCTTTTGGATATCCAATTCGAAATTCACAGTCCCAGGCTTTGCAGCAGTTACCCGGAGCTGGAGACATACTGATTAGCACATCGCGATATTCATAGCCGGCACTCTAGAAGTGACGAGAAAGCCTGAGAGATAATGGCTAGGCAAGAGCTGCCCAAAATCTCCAGAAACGATTGAATACTTACATTATCTAGCAGACTGTGGCCAGAACGAGGTCTGCGTTTAGCAATGGCTGGTCTCATCACACTGGCTGTAGTACTACCTACCGAGGCTCTAGCCCGGAAGTGGCCCGGAATGATTCCCAAACCTAATGCATTGGTTAGAAGCGATTAGACAATAGAAATCCGGGTTACAAAGAGACTAACAGATCTGACAAATCGCAAAGCAGTCATTTTTGATGATATAATCGGACTCACTGCAGAAGACCAGCACGGATATCGGGAGATGTACGGAGTATGCAAGCCGGGAGTATTGCGGCGTGAGATCACCGGCGCGGACTGCGCTTTAGGCCGTTTGGGCCGCCGGAGCAATTATTCGTACTCTGCTTTGGCCTCCATGCTTTCTTTCTTCTCTCACTCGCGCTTCTTCTCCGTCGGTATCGGCCGCATCATGCTCCAGAGGTGATAGTGCACCTTTGCTTCCGAAGGCAAGATGGCGGCGGCCCCGTCACGTCCTTTTGACTATCTCGAAAGCCTTCCCGGAACGGTCTTCTTCAAGCTCTACCAACAGCCCTCTACCGCGCTTGCTATCTTCAGGCGCATGCTGCCTGACCTGGGTACGTAGATATGTTATGGTCGGCGATTTCTTTCGGTCCTGGTTAACCTTCCACCTGCAACGATAGCAAAATGCTTCGTGATGGCGCTCCTCTATTTAAAGGATCCGCTACCAGCGGCGGACCTGGAGATTTGGGTGAGATCTGAGAGCTTGAAGTGAGTCATGTTCCCCCCTTTTTTGGTATTTTTGATACAGTTGTTGCAAATTTGTGGATAGCTAACCGATAATTTGTGTCTAGAGAACGGGATAGCGCTCTTTCAATCCTGGGAAGGTTACATATCCTCTCCAATACGACAAATGCGGCGAACGTCCGAGCTTACATGGTCACCGATCCATTTGCAGTTTCTCTTCGGCAAGCTCTTACAGGTGCTGAAAAAACACAGTCGTTTGGGGTGCTTTACCGATTATCAGATGGGGAGAATGTCTCGATCGCCAATCTTGATGACTATGCGCGCCGACAATGGGAAGGGGTGCTTGGTTATATGGTTGGCACTGGCGGGCTCGGAATACAACGTGATGCGAACCTGAGTAAAGGCGTTAAACAACTTTTACAAGCCGGGCATCTGGTGGAGATCAGAGATCGCCGCGTCGAAATTACTCAAGACGGATTCGCATTTGTCCTCCAAGATGTAGGCACGCAAGTCTGGCATATCTTGATTCTATACGTTGAGAGCGCAGAAGCCATTGGGATGGATAGTGTTGAGGTGCTTTCCTTTATATTTCTCCTCAGCAGTTTGGAACTCGGCAAATCGTACGAAAAGAGACATTTGACATCAAACCAACTCCGCACTCTAACCGATTTAGCGGATTTTGGCATCGTGTATCAGGATTCTCCCGAAGCGAGCCATTTTTATCCCACTCGTCTTGCGACCACCCTTACATCGGACTCAAGCGCCCTCGGAAATCCAATAGCCGGCACACTCTCTGGCCCCGCCGGAAGTGACTCTAACCAACCTGGCTCTGGCTTCATTATCATTGAAACAAACTATCGGCTTTATGCATATACATCCTCGCCACTTCAAATCTCTCTTATTGCATTATTTACGACTCTTAAGTATCGTTTCCCTAACCTAGTCACGGGCAAGATCACTCGGCAGTCTATTCGCCGGGCAATTGAAATGGGTATCACGGCCGATCAAATTGTCTCATACCTGGCTACACATGCACACCCGCAAATGCGCAAGCACAATGTGTCTCGGTCCACGTCCAATCAAGCCGGTATCCCGCCATCGGTCCTTCCGCCTACGGTTGTTGACCAGATCAGGCTTTGGCAGCTGGAGCGCGACCGTGTTAGAGCCACGGCCGGCTTTTTGTTCAAGGATTTTGTCAGTTTGGCCGAATACGAGGCCCCGTGTCGGTATGCTGAAGAGATCGGGGTTCTTATATGGAAGTCTGACCGCAAAAGAATGTTCTTTGTGACTAGACATGAACAAGTTGCGGCATTCCTGCGAAGCAGGAAATAAAACATTTCATCATCATACCGTATTTTCGGCGTTGGAGCAGAATTAATATTAGCTGATAACATCTGCCCATTCTATCTATGCATAGCTGCGACTGGGCGTTTTTGGGATTCGCGGGACACATTAAAAATGAGGGTTTTCAGGATTCACAGGATTGTAAAATAAGAACAAGATGAGAAGCTATAATCGGTTAAAGAATAACTCTCAGTGATTCGAACACCAATTATGTGTCTATAATGCATCTACAGGGCACTCCGAAGCCTGGGCGCCGCCGCAACGTATCAACAATAATCCGTGGATATCCGGCGGATCAACCCCGGAAGTGGCTCGGCACCCAAAAACGGGGGATGCTTGGAGCCCTCCTTACAGCAGCTGCAGTTCTTCCGTCTACGGAATGCTTAACTTTCCGGGTCGCACAATTCCCCGAGTTTGATCCCGGTGCCTCCTCAATCCTCTCCTTGAGTCCTTCCCATTATTTTTGGGCTCCTACTGAGTTCTCCACTCAATCCCACTTGTTGTTAGCTCCTGACCGGCACCGAAGACACGCTTCCCTCTAACTTTGCGCCATGATTTATGCGCCTTAGAATCCAAGCACCCAGATATAACCTCCGTAAACGATCAGACGGAATAAGTGACGGGATATGGTTGTATGACATACACCTACTGAGTGTACACTCGGACGCGGTGTGAACACCTACAGCAGCAGACCGCAAAAACAAAACGCATTACCTCCTTTCGCATTACACTACGAATTTTTTTCGATCTTATATATTCCTCCCGCACAAGAATATCATCTTCCTTTCCGATTCTACAGTGGTGATAACATAATATAATCAAGATGTCTTCTATGCGGGGTCTGGTTCAGTTCATTGCGGACCTGCGCAATGCCAGAGCTCGTGAGCTGGAGGAGAAACGGGTGAACAAAGAATTGGCCAACATTCGGCAGAAATTCAAATCTGGGAGCCTCGACGGATACCAGAAGAAGAAATATGTGTGCAAGCTGCTTTATGTCTACATTCAGGGGTACGATGTTGATTTCGGCCACCTGGAAGCTGTCAATTTAATATCGTCCAACAAGTATTCCGAGAAGCAGATTGGATACCTGGCAGTGACATTATTTCTTCATGAAGAACACGAGCTGCTGCATCTTGTTGTAAACAGCATCCGAAAAGACTTGCTGGATCAACACGAACTCAACAATTGTTTGGCTTTACACGCGGTTGCCAATGTTGGGAGCAGAGAGATGGGCGAAGCCCTCTCAACAGATGTTCACCGGCTGCTGATATCTCCGTGAGCAAGATTTCTCCCCTGTGGCCATTTGATCCCTGTCGCTGATATTCAATATAGTACCTCTAAAGCGTTTGTGAAAAAGAAAGCTGCTCTCACCCTCCTCCGTCTCTACCGAAAATACCCCAGCATTGTCCAAAATCAGTGGGCAGAGCGTATAATATCTCTGATGGATGATGCAGACATGGGCGTTACTTTATCTGTGACATCGTTAGTTATGGCGTTGGCGCAGGATAGACCAGAGGAATACCGAGGAAGTTACGTCAAGGCTGCTCAACGGTTAAAGAGGGTCGTTGTGGATAATGACATTGCGCCGGACTATCTTTATTACCGGGTCCCCTGCCCGTGGCTCCAGGTTAAGCTTCTGCGTTTGTTACAATATTACCCCCCATCAGGTAAGATAAGACCACCCCCCAAAACTCCTTCGACCTGGAACGGTGTAAACTAATGCAACGTAGGGGATAGTCATGTCCGCGATATCATTCGCGAGTCTCTCCAGCAAATAATGCAGATCGCAATGGATACACCGAAAAACGTGCAGCAAAACAATGCCCAGAATGCGGTCCTTTTCGAAGCGATCAATCTCCTCATCCACCTTGACACTGAGCATACCCTGATGATGCAGATATCCTCACGGTTAGGGAAGTACATTCAGTCGCGCGAGACAAACGTGCGTTACCTCGGTCTAGAAGCTATGACGCACTTCGCAGCCAGGGCTGAGACCCTGGACCCGATCAAGAAGCATCAAAATATAATTCTTGGCTCACTTCGGGACCGAGATATTAGTGTGCGCCGAAAGGGTCTTGACTTGATTTACAGTATGTGTGACTTGACAAACGCGGCACCGATCGTGAACGAATTGATGCGGTACCTCCAATCAGCGGACTACGCGATACGGGAGGAGATGGTTTTGAAGGTTGCCATTCTCACGGAAAAATATGCTACTGATGCGCAGTGGTACATTGACGTGACATTGAAGCTTTTGTCTCTCGCTGGTGATCATGTTAACGATGAGGTGTGGCAGCGGGTCATTCAAATCGTGACAAACAACGAGGAACTACAGGCATACGCTGCGCAAACGCTCCTTACATACCTGAAGAGCGACTGCCATGAGAGCCTGGTTAAGATTGGCTGCTATGTCCTTGGTGAATTTGGACATTTGGTGGCAGACAATCAAGGATCAAGCCCCATAGAACAGTTCCTCGCTTTGCAGGTTAAGATGATGAGCAGCACAGACAACACACGTGCTATGATTTTGTCTTCTTTTGTCAAATTCGTCAACCTTTTCCCTGAAATCAAGCCACAGCTACTACACATATTCCGCCTCTACAGCCACTCACCAGACCCCGAACTACAGCAACGCGCTTTTGAATATCTGTCGCTGGCGACACTTCCAACTGACGACCTTCTACGAACTGTTTGTGATGAGATGCCTCCATTCTCCGAGAGAGCTTCGATCCTACTATCCCGTCTCCACCAGAAGACGGCCGGGACGACCGATAAGAAGACCTGGGTTGTAGGCGGCAAGGATGCCAATACGGACAGCGCAGAGATATTGATGGCACAGAATACAGGCCTTAAGCGCACTTTTACTACAATTGTGAATGGCACCCGGACGGGAGCCAACGGGGCAACTGGAACGGCGAGCGCCTCAGGGGACTTAGCTGGACTCGATTTGAGTGCATCGTCCACGCCACCACCACCTACTACGAATATGGCAAGCGCGGCAAATCTTTCGCCTGACTGGGATATTGGATACAACAAGTTGTACTTTGCTGATGAAGGCGTATTGTTCGAGGATGCCCAGATCCAGGTTGGCGTGCGGTGCGAATTTCGGGGCCATTTGGGAGTGCTAAAACTCTACATAAGCAACAAGTCGTCTTTCTCCATCGGATCCCTAACTACGACTGTGGATAACCCATCTGCTCCGCATCTAAGAGCTGACTCCAAGAGTCTTCCAGAGCCGTCAGTTCCCGCAGCTGGCCAAACGCAGCAAACCCTTTTCTTCGAAGCCAAAGGCCCGTTTTCTGACGCGCCTACAATCCGTATCTCGTACCTTGCGGGTGCACTACAGGCTTACACTCTGCAGCTCCCGATTCTAATGCATCGGTACTTGGAGCCTTCAAGCCTAACAGCGGAAGATTTCTTCAAACGGTGGCGGCAGATTGGTGGTGCCCCACTAGAGGCACAAAACACCTTTGGGCTCGTGCCGAAGGCAGGGGCTGTCAACGAGAGCTTTACAAAACGGCTTGTGGAACAATTTGGCTGGAAGCTCCTGAGTGGTGTAGATCCGAACTCAGTAAACATCGTAGGCTGTGCGGTGTATCACTCTGCGCAAGGAAAGATCGGATGTCTTCTTCGATTGGAGCCCAACTACGAGCGGAAGGTAAGTTGCCTGTCCTTATGAATCAGGACCACACTGACGTATCTTAAGATGTACCGAGTAACGATCCGAGCCACACAAGAGAGAATACCCCAAGCGCTGGCGCGGCAGATGGAGCAGAGGCTATCGCAGGGTCCATTCTCAGACAGGACCTATATTCGCGAAAAGCCGCGAGCGGTTAGCCCTAGTGAAGATTCTATAGGCTACTAGAACTGGCCCCTATGCCTTTTTCAGCCTTACTGTCCTGTGCAGCTGCATTTGGGTAGTTTTGATGTTGTATTTATTGATATTAATTAGAGGACATAATGTTTTGAGCATGCCACGGAATGCAAGCTTGTCTGTGTAGCAATACAATTGGTTGATTCACCTATCAAACAACCTTAGCCTGATCCTTAGGTGGTCTGTCCCCAAAGATCGTTGTCCCGACACGCACTTCGTCACTCCCCAGCACGATCGCCCCTTCAAAGTCTTCACTCATCCCCATACTCAACTCCAGTTGCGCCTCATCCCCCTTTAAGCCGAGAGCCCTAACCACGCAATTCCGTGCCTCTTTCAAAGAGACAAAATCTTCATTCTCATTCTCTGCTGTTGTCGCCTTGGATCTCGCAATCGCCCCAATGGTCATCAGCCCCTGTAGCCTCAGCCGCGGACATTTCTCCCTAATGTACCGACACAACCCAATCACCCCGTCCTCAGGCTCAACACCGCTCTTATTCTCTTCACCAGAGGTGTTAACCTGCACAAACACCCTCAGCTTCTCCTCCCCACCTAAATCCGGTTTCCTCTCCCCCCACCCTCTATCCAACAGGCCCGCTTTCTTCTCACTGTCCACGCTTTCAACAGCCCAGAGCGCTCGCGTATCTCTCGCCAGAGTAACACACTTATTAGACTGCAGTCCACCAATAAAGTGCCATTTTATCGTAGGAGGCAGGAGTCGTGCTTTCTCTTGTAGCTCTTGGAGGTAATTTTCGCCGAAATGGGAATGGTCTGTGGGTTGATTGTGCAGCGCGAGAATATCAGAGGCCGGCTTAAGCTTCGAGACCGCAACGAGGCGCACGGGGGATTCTTTTGCGGGGGAGAGTTTAGCGGAGGCTGTTCGGACACGGGATGTTACGGAGGCAAGGTTTGAGACGAGCGTAGCCGTTCTGGCGGGAGATGGGGCCATTATTGTTGTTTCCGGTGACGACATAGCCTCTATACACTCTGGGGTCCGTTTCGGGCGAAGAGAGGCAGGCGCTGTGGGGAGGAGGAACTCGTCTGCGCTATGCTTGTAAAATTGTATAGGTGAGGGGTGCGGAGGGGAGATTGGAGAAATTGGCGGTGGGAAAGCCGAGACTGTTCCGTTCCGTTGGAGTAGCAGATTGGACTAGTATTTCTATGGCTGCAATTATGGCTTGTGGTACAGAATTATTATACAGCTCAATGGGAGTAGAATGGCAGCACTCTGGGTCTATTATGGGCAGGGAACATCAACGGTGTATGTTAATGTATATCATTAAGCTTTGAGCAATTGCCGCTGTCAGAGCGAGTCGTTCTCCCAGACCGCCACGTGATTGAGATCTGGTTGATGACGCACTAGCCACAACAGGCTAGCGCATCAGCCACCCAAGCCCGATCCGGATGAACCTCTGGTCCGTCTGCCGGCCTCTCCGCTGCACCGCCGCACGGCCTGCACCGATCAACATTCGAGCTCATCATCACTCGATCTTTTGGGAAGGGAACCAGTTTTCTGATGAAATCCCCAATCCATGGCATCTTTATTGGGCAACCCCGCCCGCCAAGCTCCGCCCAACAGGTTGTGGGCGACAAAGTGTACGCAAGCTACCAGTGCCACTGATGTCGAAAAGTTAGAATTCTGGAGAGGATGAGCGGTATCAGGTATCACACTCGGGTATCTTTGACTCTTTGTGTCTTTGCCGCAATGATTCCTGACCCGCTTCAATCGATTCCTTTTTTGTCGGCGGACTGATCACCTCAGACTGGAAGCCAAAACTTGAAAGCGCCTGATGAAACCCGTAATGGGAGTTGCAGAGCCATTCATCCAACGGCGCCGAGAGGAACGCAAACCATTGCGACCTGGCGGTGACAAGATCGGATTGGCTGGCCCAAAGAAAGAACAGGGCGAGGAGTAAAAAATAGCCTGGGACCCTGGCCAGATCGCACAAATCCCGGTAGAATGACCAATTCGCCGATGGAGTCAGTCGGTGTCGGCGGTTCATGGACTCCACCAAAGCGCTTCGCTGTTCTGGAGCTGACGTCAAACACTCGTGGCCCTTCACAGTAAAACTATATAGCCAGGCCTGCGCTCTGCAAGATTTTCACTCCAGAGTTACTACCATTTCCCCAGTCTTTAGAAACTTCCTGCCGGGCCGGGTCCTTTATTGGGCAGTCTTTGTTTCACTCACTTAACCTCCCCTCCCAACTTCACATCTCCTTGTTCATCCACCGCCTTATATCTCCTTCGCTTGGATATAAAGTGTCTTTGGCATTCCTACACACCATCATACCTGAAAGTCTTCATATTGTTTCATTATATTTAAGCATCTTCCGTTTCCCGGCAGCATACCGTGAACACCAACCGGACAGCCCTGGAGGCATATCGGCATCCCAATCTATACAACAGTCACGCAACTCAGCTTGGCAGACTGTAGAATCAACTCACCACACAAAAATTCTTTCATTGATTACCATTTTCCATTATCATTATCGTGCCTGCAGCTATCACACATAGCCTTTTTTTTTTTTTTTTTTTTTCCAACCCTGACTAAGACTTTTTGCTGGTCTTCCTCGATTGCCGGAACCCAGCGGAGGTGATCATCAATCTTGCTTATCCGATCGCCGAACAACGTCAGCGGCGTCAAAGAGGGCAACGATAGTCGCCACAACTCAACAAAAAAAAGAAAAGAAAAAAGACCTGACATTACCAAAATGTGCCGCCAATATCTCACACTCTACAACTGGTGCCAATGCGAAATAGATTCCGGCTACCAGGCATGTGGCGCCGGCCAGCCGGACCCAGAGTGTGCCGGCACTGGCTTTGAGACAGTCACCATGCATTGCTTTTGCGAAAAGCACGCGACAAAGAAGTTCACTACGGAGAAGAAGCACGAGAAGCACCAGAGAAAGCGAAGCCGCTCCTCGCGCTTGTCCATCACTAGCAGTTCCTCCCGCAACTCGCGGTACTCGGATGCCAGCCTCGTCCAGGTGGAGAATGACCCCCAGCAAGCTCCGAGTTTGCGGCAGAGGTGGTACCGCCGGTGGTCAGGCATTTTCTGAACCCTTCCGCTCGCGAAATGAAAGCCGTTCGTCCTTGAGATATTGATTTGAGTGCATATTTGGTGTTTGGTCCTTGGGATCCGGCGTTCTTTAGATCTCAAGAAGCGTCCTTATGACATGTTATGACCCTTATACATAGAACATACAACGATTGTTTATACTTCATACTGCATACCTTACACGTATTTGATAGTTCTTTCATGTTGCACATTTTATATGGATGATTCCGCACGTCCCTGATTGGCCAATGGTAGTGTAAGGTGGCGGTGGTGGGCAGCCCAACCTGACTATACAGATAAGGCAGTATGAGGAACTGCTGGAGAGAACAATCAGCATACCAGGAAGAAATTCTTAAAAAGTAATGTAGCATTAAAATCCACAATACACTCTAGAACGAAATATGAAAGAGTTAGATTGCAGAACAAGAAACAGTTGAAGAATGAGTGATCGACTGCCCCTTGACCCTTTAGAGGAGACGGCTGTTAGTTTCTTGTGATTGTTATGATTTCTACTTCACCATCCCTCCTTGTTTCTCCCCTTTCACCACATACCCACTGCTGTCTCTCTATACGCGCCTGGTCGCACTCTTGCAAACACTATCACGGATCGCACCCTGCCCGCTCTCAACTTTTACTGAAGAGATATTCAAATGGGTCTGACTTCTGCGCCATGGACCCCTCCAAACCATTCACTGCAGCTCCCACCAAAACCCCCTCAAGAACGCCTCCGCGCCCTCCACCCCCCATCGATCCCTCCATCTTTTCCGACCGCCTGAATGATCCATCGCCTGCTGCGATTCCTGCTCCCGTCTCTCCGGGTACTCTAGGCTCCTCACTTCTATCGCCGTCCGATTTCCCCGTGCGTTCGGGCGTCCACCCAACACCGCAGCAGCAGCCCCAACCCCAAACACAACCCACTCCCCGACGCACTCCAAGCTCCAGTTCATTGAGGGATGAAAGGCGCAAATCTACACCTAATCTGAAGAAACAATCTTCCACTGCCTCGCTTCGTTCAAGCCAATTCGGAGGCCCTGCCTCTCCGCGGCCTAGTCTGTCGCGCCGCTCATCCTCCACTCTCGCGACGTCACCCACCGCAGCTGCCTCACTTAGTGCCAGCGGTTATACAATATCTTCTAGAAACGCCTCGTTATCTGCGGCGACGGAACAGCCAGTGCCAACTGCTGCTTCCATTGCGGCCGCTCACTTCAAGAAGGAAATCGACCACCACCAATCGACCGATCTGCAATCGCAGACCTTAGTTGTCATCCACGATGCGTGTTATGGCCATCGCTTCTCGCGCCCCCGCGCCTCCCGTGCCATCCTGAGCTCGATTGTTGAGCGACCAGAACGTGTTCAGGCTTGTGTTGTCGGTATATCCGCCGCGTATGTTCGACTTGCCCGCAGATATACTGGTGGATCGTTCGCCCCTCATCCCGATGTGAACCTTCACCAGCTTCCAGTTCCTCCGTTTCAGATTCGCAAAACTTCACGCACAATGGCGATAGGCTCTACGGCCGTCACTCATGTGCATGGGACTAAGTGGATGGAGGACCTCAAGTCTATGTGCGACGCCGCTGAATCACGACTTGCATCGAACGGCAAGGAATTGGTACGGCCTCGCAGCAGTGGCAGGGATAGCGCGACCGGGAACTCCCCTGCGCCCGCCTTCCACGAAGGGGATCTATATTTGTGTTCAGAGTCCTTGAACGCCTTTGAGGGGGCCTTGGGTGGAGTATGTGAAGGCATAGATGGGGTGTTTAGCCCAGGACCTACGAAGCGCGCATTTGTTTGCATTCGCCCTCCAGGCCACCACTGCTCGTCTGGCCACCCGTCCGGATTTTGCTGGATTAACAATGTCCACGTGGGCATTTCCTACGCCGCGATGACCCATGGTCTGACCCATGCAGCGATTTTGGACTTTGACCTTCATCATGGTGACGGCTCGCAGGATATCACTTGGGGGCAGAACCAAAAAGCGTCCACTGCGCCGCGAAATGCAGCTGCTCACAAAAAGGCCATGGTGGGGTATTTTAGTTTGCATGATATCAATTCGTACCCTTGTGAAATGGGTGAACCGGAGAAAGTACGCAATGCAAGTGTATGCATCGAAAAAGCACATGGGCAATCTATTTGGAACGTCCACCTAGAGCCGTGGAAAACCGAGCAGGACTTCTGGGAACTTTATTCGACCAAATATACCATTTTGATTAAGAAGGCTCGTGATTTCTTGAAAATGCACACCGATCGCCTCGCAAGTGTACCCAATGGCCCTACGCCCAAGGCTGCAATTTTCATTTCTGCCGGCTTCGATGCTAGTGAATGGGAAGGTGCAGGCATGCAAAGGCACAAGGTGAATGTCCCTACCGAATTTTATGCCAGGTTCACTGCCGATGTTGCGCGCATGGCAGAGGAGGAAGGACTCGGTGTTGATGGGCGGGTCGTCAGTGTTTTGGAAGGGGGCTACAGCAATCGAGCTCTGACCACCGGTGTCATGAGCCACTTGTCAGGATTGGGAGATACTACACAAAATGTAGAACCGGCTGGTATTGATCAGATCAACCGCTTGGCAACTGAAATGACAGATCGTCTTGGTCTGTATGATACGACACCTGTTCCCAGCCAGGAACCTGTTTTTGCGGCCGCCTATGATCAAGAATGGTGGTCCCCCGCCCCGTTGGAAGAGCTGGAGTCCTTGGTTTATCCACCACCCCCTGCCAGCAAACCTCGGGAAAAGATGGCACCGACATACTTTGCTCCAACCCAGTCGTTTGCCGCAAAGGTTGTCCCTCCAAGTAGAGACCGGAGATCCACCGGTTCCCACGCCAGCTCAGACCTGGAACCATCCCCGCTACCACCGGTGGGCTGGGCGGTGGCTGCCCATGAATTATCCAAGGTTCTGATACCGAGTGACCGTCAAACCTCCAGTTATAGACCTGAGGAGCTCAACGCCGAAGCCTCGCGTTTGAGGCGGGAACGACATGCTGCTACCACCGATGCTGTTCGTTCGACGGCAGGAACGCCAACTGAAGCAGCTGTAGGTGAGGAAAACAAGATGAAACTTCGCATTAGGAAACCCAAGGCTTCGCTACCGAGCACACCTAGACCTGAGACCCCAGCACGCCGTACCAACAGGAACAGTCGCAGAACAACATTTGATTCTCCTGGTGCCCTCCCCGACCCATCTAGTTCCCCTGGACCCCGTGCGTCTCGTAGAAAGAGCGCGACCTCAACAAACTCCGAGCGAGATGGACCAGCTTCGAGACCTGTGTCACAGGGCTCGGTGACTTCACGCAAGCCAAGCACATCCCGGCCTGGGACCCCGAGACGCGCAGCAAGTCCAAGGAAAGCACCGCCCGTGCCCCGCGTTCCATCTACGGTCCTCACTGGTATGTCCCCGGACGACCAGCCTATTACATCAGAGCCTACATCTGGCGGTAGCGAGCATGCGCAGGATGACATGGACACCTTGACGGCTGATGTGAAGAAGCTAAACATTAAACTGAAAGTGCCTACTCCAGAGGAGAATTCGGCCCGAGAGAAGAAGATGGCAGAAGAGAGCAGGCGTAAACCCCTGAAGGCTCCGCCGAAGACGTCCCGCTCTCCTAGGAAAGTGTCAGCAGGCAAGAGACCGGTTGCAAACACTACTTCAAAGGCGGCTTCTCGACCTCCAGCCAGCTCCCACGACGAGCCCCCGCTTCCAGACGTCTCTAGGCAGATGCATACCGAGCAGCAGCATGCAGAGACTGTCAAAGGACAGGTGGGAAATTCCCTGGTAACACCAGACGCATCATCGCCTATCCCTATTGAAGAGAACAAAGAGCCAAAAATCGAACCTGCCACTGAAGAGCATCGATGGAATCAGAACCCAGTTCTCAGTGAGCCTATCGCTGGCTCTTCTGAAACCGCGTACGCGAACATTTCTCCGCCTTTGACCCCAGGAGCGGCGGGTGACTCCATAAGTCCAAAGTCCATGGTGTATTCGGCCCCTGCGTCAGCGGCAGTGACTAGGCAAGGCCTCCCTGTATTCATGTCTCACGGCCCCATTCCTTTTGCACCTTCGGACTCCACTAAAGAATCCGCTGAATCGAAGCCCGAGTCCACCTGAGCGACATATACTGGCCGTTGGTGATTTGGAGTTGGGGTTCTGGTTTGTTTGTTGCTATTCTGTTATTGCACTCTGGGACCTTTATTTGATATACCCCTTCTGTTGGAGTTCCAATTTGTTTTATGTGGCTAATATTGAAATCCGTATTGCGTTGTCCAATCCTAATGTTCATTCGAATGGATCATGAAGTCAGTTTACTAGCTAGAGTTCTAGTGAATCTCACCGACAAAGCTATTCGCTGCCGCCGGGACGTCTCTCTGTGTACACAGCCCATCCAAGCTCTCCCTGGAGCTTATGTGAGCCACACACCTAACACCACTGTTGTATTTATAACAATACAACCACTCATTAAGCACTTAATACACAGAACCTCAACTCCAGTACTACTGCTCACCCTTTGTTTTAAGGTTGACCATAACCATCAAATCACGACATAGATGAGTCTGAAGTAACGGCGCATCCTATTTGTTTCTCTCATCAATGAGGAGATGAACATGAACTGAGAGAGTGATGAGGTTGACGAGAAGAGTGTATTTAACCAATCAAGTTATCGTTGTTTAGAAACGGGACCTGACTGCCCACCGCATTCCATGAATGGCAAAATGACTACAGTACCTAACCTTACCCACGGGCGGGAGTAGGGAGTACTTGAACAACCCTAATTGGAATGTTTAGTGTGTTACTATTTGTGGATGTGAGGGTTATGGATGCGCGTCCGGCTGGCCCACTATTCAATCATGAGTAGATGAGCAGGAACTGACAGAGCTCGCATTCATGAGTCCGGACGTGACCCACGATGATTCATTCCTGGACATTGTAGAGTCATTTCGGATCCGGCGTGGACATTGTCAGTGAAATACGGGCTTGGAAGGCGGATCGCGCCAATGAGCTGACTGGATCGCGCATTGTGAGTCAACGAGTGGATTTTCGCGCTTCCGTGGTCGTGAACCCGGAGCGATTTAATCCGGCTCCGACGCGCCTCCCGTATCTCTTATCTGTCCCCGTCCATCCCCGCTCGATCTCGTCTTGGAGGCTCCCTCTGCTTGTATTCAAAATCGACACCTCATTGAAGAGATTCGCGTGCATTGGCCCAACGTTGCGACAAAATCTGCGAAAACAATCGCAGCTTCCGCACTCTCCCGCATCCAGTTTCGCCACAGATCCTCCGCCGCACCGTTCACTATGGCAATCCATCCCGGTTTCCCATCGCAAGCGGATGTCAGGGGGCCGTTGTCTCCACAGCAGGCGCAGGCGATATCAACTTGGACGGAACAGGCTGCTGCTTCATTGGGGGGGCTGAGAATTACCGACTCGACGCCGAGGAACGAGGGAACCGCTGCGCTACGGGGAGCATCTGTCTCGTTGTCAATTCCTCTGGATGACCCTGTTCCGGCTACCGATGTTAGCCCTAACCCGGGAGTCAGAGTGGTGGGTCAAATCCCAGAGGAGTCCCGAAAGGTGCCGGCAGTCACCTTCCGACGTCGAGAACCCCTCCGTCGGGACAGCTTGAAGAGACGCGAGGCCCTGTTGAAGGGAAAGGATGGCAGTCGCCGCAGACAACGCTGGGAGAATGGTATGTCATAAGTGGCTGAAGATGATGTAGTCAGGGTAGTTTCCTATACTGCCATCTTTATCCATATTCTCCGCCATGTTTTGCGGGTTTTAGAACGCTGACAGGTCATGCTTCGTTCAAAGATCGCCTCTTACATAACCCATGGGCTGAACCGCCGTCCTCTAGGGACTGGATGCCACAGCCAACCCATACCCGCCATGAACATATGCCGTACTTCCTGGCTCCGCTTTGGGATAAGCATTATGCGCACCTTGATCGTTCACCTAAGCAGGGACAAGACGCAAAATCCGAAAGATATCATATTCCGAAGGAACTTCGCTTGAAGCTGAAGCACGCTCGTGCTGCGCGTGGGATGTTGCAGGACCTAGAAGAAGATATTAGGCAGTTCATTGAACGGTGGAACCAGAGACAGCTGGTGCGCCAAAAGGACGGTCTTGCCGATGCACCGTCGTCGTCCGACGAAGACTCTGAAGACGAAGTCGTCTTTGTGGGACGAAACGGACAGATGCATGACTCGCCCGATCGCCGAACAAAGCTGCAAAGTATGCGCGAGACGATGAGTTCGTACAATGAGCGCGACGGCGAGAAGATGGTGTTTGAGAGTCTTGTCGATGATCGTGCAGCTGGATTTGGGTGAGTCTTTCATAAAGAGTAGCATAATGTTCTCCCTACTTACGTTAATTCACAGTCGCTGGCTCGTACATTCAATTGCCTCCTACTACGGTCTCCACACATGGTCTGTGACTGTTGGAAGCCCCGCTCGACGCGAAGCCTATGTTGGATTTTACCCACCTTCCTCAGGAAGTCGCGTTGGCTTGCTTTCGCATCCACCGAAGAGCTGCCGTGAGGAAACAACGATCCAGCCGGGAGAGAAACTGCCGAGACCGCTGTGGTCGCAGGTGTGATTCTCCTGGACCCGAGAATCGGAATCGTCTACATTGTTTGTAAATGGTGCGTACGACTGTTGTGTTTATAGACTCTAGACTGGCTGGTGAACTGCAGCCTGGTTTAGACAGATGGAAACAGCACATCACTGTTCTCAAAGTATGGTCGTAAGATAGAGATATCTAATTGATGCCCTGTGTTCATCCAAGTGAGTGCTGTTGAGAGCGGAATGTGCAGATGCCTGAGTACATGTTAGCTTCGGTCATCCCCGCCACCCGGACCACCGGGAAGGGGCGCCGGTGTAAACTGCAAAGCGCAAGGGATGTCAACTTTGACATTATGAAGTACGTACCTTACCTGTGTTATTCAACCCATCAGGGACGAGGCAATATGTGAAGTGCCGAGTTGGTTCTCATTCTCGAGCCCTGATGTACCCAGTAATCTGGCTAGCCTCTTCCAGCAATTTCTCTGGCTCTCTCTCGGTGCTCTTTCAGAGAAGCGTACTCTAGATGACGTACGAGTGGAAACTATACAAACTTCCCGGTCGATCTAACACACAGCCTGATTATGAGCCCGCATATCCAACCTCACGTGGCTGGTCTAGTTTTGACATTGTCAAAACGGCAGGGAACAAACAGTGTCCCGCCTGTCTACCTTTACCTATACATTGCAATGTTGGTTACATCATCTGTTGTTAGGTAAGTGCTCCGGTGTGGAAATCATGTATAGTAATATCATGGCAATATCTTAGCCCAAACACGGTACGTCTGGTCCCCGCTCTTCGTGGGGGTCCGCAATCCTGTGGTGACACCCTGTTTGACAATCATCTTCGTGGCTCGCTGAACTGCGCTGTGCACATGGAGAAGATAGCCTGACTAATAAGGATCCATCCAGAAAATGCATGGATGCGGTGCCCTCTTGAGGCCTGGGAGACAGCGCGGGGTGTCATCAAATCATGGTATGGACAACACCGGAAGGGCCATCGCCTCGTGGCATTTGAAAGCAGCTGCATTGTTCCGTAAATTTGAAGGGTAAGGCAGCGGATTCTTGCTTCTCCGGAGAGTACTACATTGCCGTTAACTGGTCATACTCATGGGGGTGGCTTCTGAACGAGCTAAAAGGGTAAAACAAGTATATCTGGTTGATGATCGTTGGGCAGGAGGTCGATCATTTGGTGGTTGCATGGCTGTGGAGCTGGCGCGGTTTGAGGCTGGAAAGCTGATTGTGGAGAGTCGTAGCTGGAGTGACTTGTAAGTCTGTCGGAGTACGGTGTAGTTCGTAGGCACAACCGATATCGGGCCAGCAGCAAGAGAGAACCCCAGGCATCCAATGATACCCAGAGACTGAGCCTGGACTCTGGGACTCTGGACCAAGACGTTTGTGAACTGGCCCCCGGTCCGGTCCGTTGGCAATCCATGGTCCGCGACAGGCTGACAGTCAGCCCATCTTCTTCGGGCGTTAGGTGTTCAGGCACCCATCAAACGAAGCTGTTCTGACTCCCAGGCGACTGGCGGATTGCCCTCCGAGTATACCTATACCATGCCTCGTTCGAACCCCTGGCGCTTCGCTCAGGCCAGCAAGGCGAGCACCTGTCAGCTTCCTGTCCGCCTTTCGTTCTTCAATGCGGGTGTCTAGGGTTGTCAGTGCATGTGAAACGGCTGGCTGGACTGGAGCACGGTATTCTTTTTCTTCTTTTCCCTGTTTTTCCCTGCATGATGCGACCGTTCACTCGCTCAGTTGGGGTTGAAAGTTGGGGAATCATGCAACCGCTTGCTCCCCGAGATACCCCGCTGGCTGGGGTGTCGCCTTTCGCGGGAAATCATCGTAAAAGGATGACGAACCCTACTGGCCCTTGGCAAGACGGTCAGCCTTAATCCGAGCCACTATCCAAACGGCGATGGGATGGATGAAAGCGGCTGGAGGGTGAAGTCGTGGGATGACTGTACGGCTGGCCCGCTCCCTCTCAGCCATTCAGGCTGGTCGAATTGCAGTAGTTGGACAGTGACCAGAGTGCTGGTACAGGGTACAGAACTACTAAGCTGATGTCCTTACTTGGGAATCGAGGACAATCATCAAGAATAGTTCCCTGACTACTGCCGGACTAAAGATTCCTCTCGTACTCGCACGAGGGAGCAATAATTGAATGCGATGACCGGCCAAGTCAGCGGCGTGGCCGACGTGGCTCCTGTGTTGTTCCGTCTCGCTCTCGCTCTGCATTCTCCTTCGTTGCCCTCCGATACAACAAACATCCTGCGCCACTCCCTTTCCGCAGTCCTGCTGCTTCCTGCGCCTGGGTGAAATTCTGGATCTGACCCTTCTCCCGGGTTCGTCATCTGCTATGCTCCCTGGCCCCTCGCATCCTCACGTCCCCCATTCTTCGCCTTTTCCGCCAGCAATCGGCTGCCTTCTGCTCGAATTTATTACTCCGTACTATTCTTTCTTGTTCACCCCCTTCGCCCCCCCGCCTTAAGTTATATATAAAGGTTTTGTAATATTTTCCAACTCCTTTTTAGTCGCCCTGCTGTCGTATGACCAAATTGTTAACCCTTTCTCCCCTCGCCTCCAGGTTGTGGTACATCCTCTATAGAGCATTTCCCTCTTGGGTCTGTCCGAGTGGTGCGACTACCAAGTCAAGCCTGTGACTATGATTTAAACTCATTTTACCTGTATATCTTCTCATCATCACCTTCTTCTCTTCTCTTTGCTTTTTTATCTTATTTTTATTTTATTTTTTATTCACTCCTCTTTTGGGCATAATCATCCAACATCCATCTTGTGGTAGTGATTCTTTCTCCCAATCGGGCAGCCTGACAACACACCCTCTGACGTCCCAGAGCCCAGCCCAGCAATCCGTCATCTCCAAAGGACAACGACCCCTGCGAACAGACTCCGCTTGCATTTGCATACTTTCGACACTATTTCTCTTGTACTAGCGCCGCCATGGAGTCGTACAGAGCCACATCCTGTCCAGATGCCATGGCAACCTTGCGGAATCCAGCCAGCTCTAGCTCCACGGACAGTGATGCCTCAGATCGGTCAAAGAGCACAGCACCCACGATCTACAGTGAGCCCATGTCGAAACTCCGAGCAGAGGAGATGGATATTTACGACGATGATGACACGGACGAGGAAGACGGCGTAAACTCGACAGCCTCTGCTTCAACATTTGGATCAACTGACACTTCAACTGACCACGATGAGATTGACAATCTTCCGCTGTATGCGGTGACGGATCGCAAACGCGATATGTTTCTAACAGATGTGATGCCATCTAGCTCCTCAACTTTTGGCAAACTGTTTCCTTCTTGCCGGAGGTTGCTTATCCGCCATGACGATGCAACTCTCGACGGCAACATGAACCTCCGTGTGGATACGATGGTTCCGCACCGTGCTGGCTACCAGCAAGACGTAATCCTTTTTCATCTACGCATGTATGACTTGTTCACCAGAAAATTTTCCTTTCGTCGCTATTTTCGGGAGTCGGGCCGCGAGGTTTGCCATACAGAGAGGAGGGCGACATCATCAAACTGTGACAAGCCGGCGATGCTTCAACGCTCGTGGAGTAGTGTGTTGGCTAGTCTGCGACCAGGATCGAGCGGGCTCGGACCCCTCTCAGGCGCGCACCACAAACGGCGAGGATCTGAGCAGAACAATGTGTTCGAGGAAGACGTCAATGGATCCAGGAGCGGCATCGATCGGCCGGCCACGCTCGCTGATAGCATCATGATGGAGTTTTCGAACTACGCGCATGTAGAACTGAAGCGGAGAGGTGCCGGCATGACAAAGCGATACGAGTATGAGTACTGGGGTACCAAATACCAATGGAGGCACGAGTCACGGAGAGAAGGCGACCTACGTGAAGTCTCCTATCACCTTGTCAACATGCGGACATCCCAAAAGGTTGCGCATATCGTCCCCGAGATTTTGACTCCGATGGAAGCGATCGATGAGGAGAGAAAGGGAGGCTGGATCCCCCCCTCCTCGATGTGGATCAGTGACACCTCTGCATATAAGAACATGCATGACGTTGCCGAGTAAGAGCGCTGCATCTGAACATTACTACATGGCATTTGAACTAATTTGCATGCAGTGTGATTGTCGCCACAGGCCTGGTAGCACTGGTCGACGATTGCATACGCCGGCGATGGCACCGGAGCGGCCCTTCCCAATTTATGCTCCCGATCCGATCCTCCTTCTCAAAACCGAAGCGACTTCTTGACGAGGTGTTCCATCGATCCTAAGCACAGCAGACATGCTGCCACCCTCGATAAGCATACCGCACCCACCCCTCACCGGGCCTAACTCGAGGCGTCGAGTCGTTTTTAGCTGAGATCATGGTTATAAGAGCCTACTACGGCGTCGAGTTATTCCCCACTGCTTGCTCCAACGTGGTTCTTGTTCCGCTGGATACACATTATAGAGCTAGCTCTCGACCTAATGGCGTTGTTGTCACGACAGCGGATACCACGGACTTGTATTTTTTTTTTTTTTTTTTTTTTT